AATGCGCGGGGGGACTTTCCGACCCTGGTTGTTGGAACCTGGACCTGGACCTGGATTCATTCAAAAGACCATCTCCCCACTTGTAGAGCTCGTGACATCCACGCCACCTGCCGCCGTCCTACTCTTTCCCCTGTCTTTCCTGGCGACTGCTGGCTGGGGTCGGCCACTCCTGTGCGCGGCAAGCAGCTGACTTGCTTACCTGCCGACTTACACGCACACACAGGGCAGCAAAGGCAGTGGGGATATCCGTCACGACTCACACCTGAGCTTGACCGCCTTACTGTGGTCCGCTTTGCTATCGTGTCGAATCGGTGGCAGGTCGGCTCTACCGTCCATGTGTCGCCTGCTATTCTGGTTGGATCTCCTATCCTGCACAATGCTGCATTGGCCGTGTAGCAGTAGTACACGGCAGCCTGCCATTGACACTCTATCCTCTCCGCAATCGGTGGCCGATTTCCCAACGAGGTCCAGAGGTACATACCGTAGCTGATGCTGACTATAGCGAGTCTTGTGTGTGCATATATGTGCGTTGGGCATTGGGGAGAACATTCTGCGGGCGCGGGATGGGACACCAGCCTAGCACTCAACGTTTCAAGCCCACATGGCACGCGGGGGCCAGCCCGCGTCCCTGTGGAGCGACTCAATTCAGTTTCAATCTGGCCAAACAACGTGTCAGCAAAGTTTATCTGTCGTCCGTGCGAGCGCCCAGTACCCAAAACACTCTGCCATGCACACGACAGGTTGTTCAATTGCCAGAACCAGAGCCATGCCCAGCCAGAGCCCGAGATCCGGGCCTTGCGGGTCCGCCACAGTCTCCGGAGTATCTGGGTAAGGTGTGCCGTTGTGCCGCCTCGAGGGACCTGCATAACAAAGCCGGACGAAGACTGATCGGTATCCGCAAGATACTTTGGTCCGGAGAATGACCCGGATATCTCCCAATCTGCCAATCCACACTCTGGGAGCCGCCTACCAGCAGGCCTGCTCGTTATCTCGCCTGATAAAGTTGCTGCCGGTGCTCCCATCACCTCGTGGACTGCGGCGTCTCAATCTCGCTCTACGGGAGCTCTAACCCCGTATTCTTTTGGTACCAGTTGCACAATCATTTTCGTCCGTCGAAGCTGTGGCTGGGCATGGAGCAGCAGTACTTCTAATGGAATCCACTCACCGTCAGTTGCGTAGGGATTTCTGGCCTTAGCGTGGGAACTTCATCTTGTGAGAAGCCATCAGAGACCGGATCGAGAGACAGGTGGCCAGCCATTGCTTCTGGGACTCTTTTGACCGGCATCCATCCTTAACGGCAGACATCAAAGGAGCAACCGTGAGCTTATTCAAGTGGTTTGCAGGTCTGAACGGCGGACCTTCTCAGCTGGCATGACTTTGCAAGCGCAAATCGCCAAGGCGAGGACTTATCGGTAGGGATTGCGGTCAGATGTTGGACGATTCAAGCCATCCTCGCAAGCTCTTACAACAATCTAAGTGAGTGTACATCGCAATGATCGCCACTGATATGCCGTTCCTGATACGTGCGTCCTATTCCTCAAGCTTCTCTCTATCTAGCACTCCCGGATCAGGCATATCTCCAAGAGGGAATCAAAAACCTCTGCAGGGAATCTAGAATATCCAAACATCCCTGCCTGCCTTGGTGACGGAGTTTGCCTTCGAACGCCTGTGACACTATCCCTGGGAAATTGTCTAATAGGAATTCAACTCATATCAGATTATCTTATAGCAGGTTATCTCAAATCATGGTCTCAGCATGTTGTCCTGCAGGAAATTGTCCCGGCTTGATAGGATAAGGGGAATATGTTAGGATTGTACCTAATGGTATCTGCCTAATGGCAAAGGACTTTGGCATCGATCTAGAGTTTCTTTTGTGTCCCTTGAGGACTCGCCAGGGGTGTGGCGAACAGACGGGCGTCTAATATACACTTGAATGGGCTTTTTGTAAGCGTTGACCAGGACGTCCGGCTTAGCTAAGTGAGTGCGGTCTTTGCAAGATCACCAGGTCAAACACGTTTGTTGTAGATTAAGTATCGCGGTTGTGATTTTTCGTGGGGTATGCGGCATTGGCGCGTCTTTGTATACCCAGAACCTGTACAAGGTCTCTGCCGTGTCGAACCGCTCAGGTAGGGGATGGGGATACATGTCTTAACCAACATGTCCTCGTCTCTTTACTCGCCCATTCTACGTATTCATCTCTGGTACTGCTATCGAACCATATGGGGAGCGAGCAGTTGAGCATGCTCATGCAAGCTTTGGACCTGTGCAACCTTCATTGACACTACGACAGGTTGGGTGGGAGGTCCCTAGATTGGCGCTCGAGGGCGTTACAAGCTGCGGTTGGCAGGTCAGTGGTGCGAAACCGTCCATGGTTCTTGGTATAAGCGTACGTCAAAATGACGGCAGGCGTGTGTTATCCGGCCAGCCACTCGGGCCGGATTGAAATTCGCACAGCTGCACGACTCAATACTTCATTTCAGACGTGCAAGGTTCCTCGGGCGAAAAGTGAGATTGCGTGGGAAGGGAAATGAAAGCACCTCGCGAGGACAGGATGTAGGTTCGACACAGACCTCGCTAATAAATTGTCTTATCATCTGGCGTTTAACAGTAGTCCTTGATTACCCAGGAGAGAAACGGTGCAGGACGGTGGTCCATGGCCCGCCCCTTCTGGCTTCCCGCCGTTGCCCTGGGTTTGGACTCGAAATAGCACTGGTGCATGCTCGGAACAAACCGAGATTCGCACAGACACACGGCGTTGAACTCGGCCGAGAAAGGGGCCTAGCGCAGAGCCACCAGTCAGTCAGTCAGTCAGTCAGGCAGTCCGCCAGTCAGTCGGTTAATCGATGAAGGCAGTCAAGCTGGCAATGCAGCGACAACCCCGTCGGAAGACAAGCCATGAAAGGCTATCTGGCCATTGACGGCGTGGATGCAAGAGCCGTTTGTTGTCGCCGCATTGTTGTATCGGGCCCACCGCTCTCGTGTGTGTGTGTGTGTGTACTGGTGTATTCCATTGTATGTAGATCTAGGCCGTCGGCGACGTGTGTGATGAGATAGCCACCTAGTCAGATGAAAGCCCACTCAGACGGAGAGGCGTTATCAGCGGCGGTAGTGTGGGATGCAACGCTGCAAAGGATGCTCATGCATGAGGTTGCGAAGCTGCACATGCAGGAAAAGTCTATGTACTGACTGTTCCAGTCCACAGACTGACAGGTGATGCCACCCTGCCAATCCTGCCACCCTGCCACCCTGCCGAGCCTGCCTCTGCCCACATATCGTACTGTAGGTAGGTACCTAGATACCCCTGTGCCCACGTTGGATGGAAACGGACCCGGGGATAAGCCGCCGTGCTGCGCGTTGCGTTGCGTTGCGTTGCTGCGTTGCGTGTGGCCAACTGGGGGCACGCGACACAGTACACAGTAAGCATATCGATCTTTTGCCCGCCAGTCTGCGTGCCTGCTCTGCTCGCATTTTGCTGCATTTATGTTGGCATGTATGTAGATACAGCACAGCAGACACACGCAGATATGCGTGCAGAGAGCATGACACAAGCTGACCTCACCCATCTCGTACTTGTATGTTGAGGTCCAGGTCCAGCTTCAGCTTTGTCCTTGTCTTGGTCCTCCAAGGCCTGCCAGGTTCATTTGGTGTGCCAAGACGAGGGAGCGAAAAACCTTGAATACGGGGCCTGGCGACCTTATCAAACCTTATCATCATCGCCATTTCCACTTTCCACTGCTCGGCTCGGGGTGACGCGACACGTCACGAATCGATTGAGTTGGGTTGAACTGAGTTGAGTTGTGGAAATAGCCCGCTTCCTTCTGGGTAAGCATAGGTACTGTACTGTCAGGCAGGCAGAGTTCCAGTCCTGCAGCCACCCCCAAGCCCGAGAGGTGGCAATGATACGGCAAAGGGGCCGGCAGGAGGAGGATATTGTGCATGTTGTAGACATAGGATTGCACCCAGATTCAGTAGTTTCAGTGTGGATGGAGAAAAAGAAACAAGCGGAAGAGAAAAAGCAAGATTGTAATCAGCTGTGCGTCAGGTACCATCCATAGCGCCGGTAGTGAACTGGGTAAGGTACCTAGGCACGGAGGTAGTAGGCAGACAGAAAGTTGGCAGAGCAGCAGAGTACCTAGTCTTTGCTTTGGGTGTCTAGTTCAGATAGATGGTAGACTGGCAGACTGGGTGACTAGGCTGTGGTGGTGGTGACAGTCACGCTTGTCGGTTTGCTTGTCGCTCGCTAGTCGGGCGGTCGGCGGGTGCGCCTCTTGTCTTTGTCTCTGGCCCCAATAGGCTCTCTCCTGTTTCCACAACCATACCCATACCTAGTCTATTCCCGTACCCAGACCCATCTCCATCTCCATCCAGATCCAAACCCAACCCCAGATCCATGTTCACGTTCAAACTCATGTCCTTGTCCAAGGTCCAGTACCCACATCCATGTCCACCGAGCACTCCCAGGAAACACGAGCAAACAGACAAGCACTAGTCTAGCATTTCTCTCCCGCTGCCCCCTTCCCAGCCATTGACTGGACTGGACTTGGACTGCTAGCACTTTGCCTTCTTCTGTCCTGGACGCGCGCCGCCATAGATATCTGTCACATTGACGACACCACGCACATTCCTTTGTTGCGTGCCCAGCCACGGCGAAGCGGTTCGAGGACCAGGGCTACCATCACCACGAGGTCGAGGACGAGACAAACCACAAACGACGAACCACGAGGACGGCGAGGACGAGGATACTGACCTTGCCGCGCCTCAGATCATGTCCATCTTAAACAGACAATTGCTGCGTCCGTCTCTTGATACCCACATCCACATCTACACCCTCGCTGCCACGGCTCACTGAGAAGAAGAAGCCCACTTGCGCACCTACTAGTCTACTACTTGCTGCATCACCCCCTCGGTGACATCGCTCTTTACTCTACCATCATAGTCGCGTCTGCACCTTGGTGACGTGACCCGGGACTGCTGTTTGCTACGCCTGGCCCGTCGCAGCAATGGATCACGATGTCGGCACGCACGGTGTCGACGCACATGCACAAATCAGACCCATAAAGCCACAGACACAGCCAGAGCCAGAGCCAGAGGCACAGGCACAGGCACAGGCACAGGCACATGCACAGGCACCGGAGCCGTCAACACGAGCCCTAGGCCCCATCGCTGCGGACGGGAATGGAGCCCCTGACATTGGCACTTCTGCCGCTGCACCCACACTGCCAGGCGATGGCGATACCGCGGAAAAGGGGCAAACCGTGTTCTCGCCGGCCTCGCCATCCACGCCCTCCAGCCTCGACTCCATTTCCAATCCCCGTCACTCGCTCGACCATGCCAACCCGCTCCACCACGACCAAGACATCCTGTCCAGCCCCAGGCACGAGCTAGAGCTTATTCCCGAAGACCGATCCCTCGACGGCGTTGCTTCTCCTTCTGTCGCCAGCCTAGCCAACTCCTCCACCTCCCCGCTGCACATCAACACCAACGCCACCACCCTATCCTCCTCCCACTCCAATCGAACCTCTGGTGCATCCACCCCCGAGACAGGCATCATCCGGCCTGCAGTTCGACGCCCTGCACCCCACCCACTGCCGCCGCGCCCATCCTCACGATCTCCCGTGTTGTCCTCCTCTCCCATCGAGCCGCCTCAGTCACCCGTCATCCGCAGTGCCTCTACACACTCTGTTCTGCGTCACCCTGCCCCCGACAACGTGGTGAACGCCCGGTCTGGCTCCTACACCGGCAACATTGCCGCCCTCGAGGCTACAGCCGAGCGCTTTTCCATGACGAGCAGTATAGAGGACGCCATCAGGAACGCCCACGAAGAACTAAAGCGCAGTGACAGCCGTCGCTCGTCCATCCTTGCTGCTAGTGTCAGGAGCGGCGGCGACTTTGGCATCGACACCCCCCCGGGCATCACTCCAGCGCCCTTGTTCGCGCGCCAGAGCTCCATTGTCGGCCTGAACACCGAGGCGAGGCTCGGGGGTTATTCTCCTGGCGGCTACATCATGAGTCCTACCCAGTCGCTCACCGGCCGCCTCAGGAGCGCAAGCAAGAGCAGCGGCGCATTGTCGAGGGCTAACAGCACCAGGAGCAAGCCTGAGACCGTCGACGGCGAGGCTTTCCCCAACCTGTCCGCCTCGTCCATGTCCAGGTCTGGCCAGGGCAAGGGATCTGTGCGGAGTGTGCATAGCATACAAAGTGTCCACAGCGTCCAGAGCAATCGCTCCGGACCTCTCTCCCTAGCAGAGATCGCCGAGATGGAGCCCCCGTCTGCTTTGACCATGGACGCCATGGACGAAGCTGATCGGACCATTGCCAACCTGCAGGACCTCGGAGACGACGAGGACGCGATACTCGCAAGGGCCCACCAACACGTCGAACCAAACGCCACAGACATAGAAATCGCCGAGGAAATGGCGAGGCGGGCTTCAATGGACTTTGACAGGACGCCCATGCTGGACCACTCTGCGGATTCATATTGGGATAACCACGAGGAGACAAATTTCCAGCTTCGGAACCCCCAGGACCCCCCTTCAGCCCGCGTGCGAGACGAGTACCAACCCCCGGCTGAGCAACGACCTGACGGGACGGGCTCGCCTGACACAGAAGATGAGGACAACGCCTTTGCTGATTTTGACGGCATGCACTGTGATCCCGACACTGTGGCCGAGCAGTTCCCCGTCCAGCCAGAAGATGCCCAGTACCCGCGATCGCGCCAGAGGCAGTCACAGATGCCAAGGGCACGACCGCAGTCATACCTCGATCCCGAGACAGGCCAACAGATGCTTTACTACCCTGCGCGTGTTCCTGCCATGCTTAACCTCCCCCCGAAACTTGGCAAGGGGGTCAAGTCCAAGCAGCGCAACATGCGTCGAAGTCAGGTGCTCAGCCAGATGCCACAGGCAGCTCGGGAGAGCAGAGCCTGGCTGCCTGACCCGCTGGAAGGCGAGGGCCAGATAGATTTGATGGGGGATGACTATCCAGCCGGCTCGGTACACTCGAGCTCGCGAGATCAAGGCGCCCGGGACCCGCTTGCGACAGCTGGAGAACCCGAGACTTCTTTCCCAGAACAGTCGGCAGATGCATCCGAGATGCAGCCCCTACGGCGCCCCGGCAAGCTACGAGACCCTGACCACCGCAAATCCCGCATGAATCTCTCCGAGCTTCCACCGCAGCTGCGTGCTAGTGTCTTTTTCGACCTGCCAGGCGAGACTCCCAAGATAGAGGTCAAGGACGGCTCCGCCATGAAGACGCTTGACAGCATTCTCGACGCGGCAGCTTCGGCGCCAGTCAATGCTTTCACCGACCATGCCTTCGCTGGTCGTCTGGGCCCCGAGGTCTATGGGCTTGGTAACAAGAATAATCGAAAGAGTAGAATGATGTTGACAGCTGAAGACGCTGGTGGAGACAACGAGGGCAATAGCCACACGCTGTCAAAGAGCACGACTTCTCTAGCCGTGCCAGAGGCGGAGAAGCGGAAGTCCGTGTGGTCTCTACTGGCAGGGCGTAACAAATCAAGGAGCAGCAGTAATCTTCTCGCCGAGAGAGACGAAGATGCCCGCTCAAGGCTGTCGGGCTCAGGTCGCGGCGACAGGGACTCGTCCCCCGACGCTGATGAGCGTTCAGCCCTAGCGCCCGATGAGCAAGCGGAAGGCTTTGGGTCCGAGGAGGATGAACAAGTCTACACCGGCCCGCCCACGACTCTTTTGGCAGAGTTACAGCTGCGCAAACAGCAACATAAGAACCGCACCCGCAACCCGATGCACAGTACCAACGGCCTCCACAGCACACTCTTGGAGCTTGATGCAGTGGCGCAGATTGAGGCACGGGCTCGAAAGAACAAGAAGGTCAACCTTGCGTGGGCAGCCAATCCGGACGAGCCGGAGGAGTCGGACGACGAGGATGTGCCTCTCGGCCTCCTGGCAGCTAAAAAGCAGATAGGGCCCAACGCGACGGACCGTGACCTGGCCGTTGCTGCACAGGAGATCAGCAGGCCCTTGGGGCTGATGGAGAAGCGCGACCTGGAGGACAACGAGCCGTTGTCCCGCAGACGTGATAGACTGCAAGGCAGGGAGGTCGCCCCCAGCATGTACCTCCAGCCAGGCGCGAACGGGACCAGGATGACGCTGATGCCCGGGACCAACAGCCCGCGCCTCTTGCTTCCTGTCAGCCCCGGCGCGTCTGGACCTCACTCTCGGAGTGGAAGTATGGCAAGTCAGGGACGGGTGGAAGAGGAAATAGAGGGCGAGACTCTCGGGCAACGCTTGAAGAGACTTCGCGCCAAGGAAGACGGTGACAACCCCTTGCCAAGCGCTAGGCCGGTCAGCACGGCCTTCTCCACCGAGCTGCTCGGCGAGCTGGGGATAGACGAGGAGGGGGGTGAGAAGAAGAAGAACAGCGCGCAGGCTGTAGACAAGGGAAAGGGCAAGGAAATCGAAGCACCTCCAGCCGAGGAGGAAGAGACGCTGGGCCAGCGCCGACGCCGTCTGCAAGCCGAGCGCGAGGCTCGCGAAAGGGAGATGGGCATACGGGTTGTGTCGGGCGGCAGCCAGAGGGAGGGAGTCTCCAGCCGTCTTGACTTGGCAGATGTGCTCCGCGTGAATCCGGTGGAAGGACCGCAAGGCAGGATAGACCCCCGGGAGGCCGAACGCATTCAGAAGGAGCACGAGGCCTCGCGAGCAGCGCGCGAGCAGTCGGCAAAGATGGCCGCGTTCCGGGCCCAGGTCCCGCAGAGGCAGCGCGATCCGAGCGGCGGCATCGTGAAGGCAGGTGGCTACCAGGGCGGGAGATTCAACGACAGCACCGGTGGCCACGGGCTAGTCGGGGTCCTTGGACAGCCTCAAGGGCACAACCTTCGAGCGAGCATGAGCATGGGCCAGCTGGGACAAGGCGGACAGGCCGCGATGACGAACGGCATGGGCGGCATGCGCATGGGGACGCAGCACAATGCGACAAACCTGATAGGGGCTGCTGGCAACTACGGCAACCCAAATGTCGGGCCGGATGGTATGAACCCAGTCTTCTCAAAGGGCAACACATTTGGGCGAGGGTACAATGGTGGTCTGCTGCAGCAGCCACAGTACCAAGAGCCCACACCGTTCGTTAACGGTAGCTTGCTCGCATCGGGAGGGTACGGTGCATTTGGGGGAGGGATCGGGGCTGCAGGAGGTTATGCGCATAACCAAACGGCGTACGGGGCCGGAGTGGGCTTTGCTGGAGGCCTGCACGGTGGCTACGGGATGCAGGCGGGCACACCACTGAGCATGGGGGTGAACACGCAGGGCCATTCCGACCGTGTCGAGAGTTGGAGACAGGGCATCAGATAGAGAGGTCAGACTGTTCGATTGCCACCAGGTTCAGCTACAGACCGGGTGGGGGCAACAAGGATTCATATGGAGGAACGGGGAACATCAGCATCAACCAGCATCATACACGGGAAGAGGACAGGACGGTACAGGACAGGACAGGACAGGAGAACATGGGACGGGATGGCATGGCACGCCCATAGGATGGAACACAGGTGGGACAAAATGCATCTGTGTATACGAGCGTTGAGACTTTGCATTGCGGCGGCGTCTGGGCCTCTCTTGTGAGGGACAGGGAAGGGGGGATCCTTTGATCGGGGCGAGTATGTTTATATACATGTGCGCACGTATACATGTACATATACTGCATACGTGTGCACGCAGATCTAATTCTTAAATTATCACCACCATCACCACCGCCATAAGGAGTCTTGGATCGTGATATCCTTAGAAGTCTGCCTACCTAGATTACCTGGGTAGGTAGACTAAGGTAGGTAGTCTACTTGGGCGTCTGTGGAGGTGGAGCACCCTCGCCCCTTGCCCCTTGCCCCCTGGAAGCTCCCCCACGTTTCCTGGCGGCAACCCTCGAAGCGCGTCACGGTCGGTCAATTTACGCGTCCCCCCCCAACTTGAACCTTGCCCGAATCTCGACATTCGACATTCGACCCCCAAACTCGACCTCCCATCTTCGACCTTAATCTCAGCCTGGAGCCCAATTTCTTTAAAACCGCCTAGATGAGGCGCGCTCTTTGTTCCTCCACTCGATCGCCGAAACGTCCTTACTACAATGGTGCTCTGTCCAATATGCAACCAGACAGTCAAATCCTCCGAGATCAACGGCCATATTGACTCCGGGTGCACAACCTTCGTCGTCGACAATGCCTCCGCCGACAGCAACACCAGCTTGAAGTCCTCATCCTCGCAGGCACACCCACAGTCACAGTCTCAGTTACAACCGCAACCACAGTCACAGGCACAGGCACATTCAATCTCGCAATCCCAGCCGCCGCCACAACCCCAGGGCCTGCCTCCTCCGTCCACGATGAAGAGGTCCGCTGCAGACTTCTTCGCAACGCCCGCTGCTAAACGACAGGCCACCACCTCCAAAGTCTTGACCCCGGTCTTGAATGGCTCGGCCAATGGCTCAACCGGCTCCACAGTCAGGCCGTCCCCGGTTTATTCGACCGTGAAAACCATAGGCGTCAAGAGATCCTTCGATCAGGGGCCGGGCAGCACGCCGCCCGCCCAGACAAGTCGTGGTGACTCCCCGCAGGATACCCCTATGGCCGAAGCCCAGCCTCTGTCGCTGCTTGCGCCGCCTGTCAAGAAACACAAGGCCAACCCAAACGCCCCCCTCGCGGAACGCGTGCGCCCCACCACTCTCGACGACATTGCCGGTCAGGATCTTGTCGGCCCCAACGGCGTGTTGCGGGCCTTGATCGAGTCCCAGTCGCTGCCATCCATCATACTGTGGGGCGGGTCGGGCACGGGCAAGACTACTATAGCCCGCGTTGTTGCCAACATGGTCGGGAGCCGCTTCATCGAGATCAACGCCACGTCCAGCGGCGCTGCCGAGTGCAAGAAATTGTTCCAAGACGCTGCCAACGAGCTGGCGCTGACCGGGAGGAGGACAATCATCTTTTGCGACGAGATACACCGCTTCACCAAGGCGCAGCAGGACGTCTTCCTCAAGCCTGTCGAAGCTGGCACAATCACCTTGATCGGGGCTACGACCGAGAATCCGTCATTTAAAATCCAAGCAGCCCTCCTGTCCCGTTGCCGCACTTTCACCTTGCAGAAGCTGTCGAACGAGCACGTTCGGAACATTTTGACGAGGGCGTTGGAGCACGCGTTTGAGAACGACCCGTCAAAGCTACCGCCGCTGATCGACGAGGAGCTCCTCATCTACCTTTCCGCCTTCGCAGACGGTGACGCCCGCACCGCCCTGAATCTCCTAGAACTCGCCATATCACTCACCATCAAACCACCTGCCGACCCCGCCTCGCCCCTCACAAAAGAAGACATCAAAGCAGCCCTCACCAAGACCTTGGTATATGACAGGGCTGGCGACCAGCACTACGACACGATATCGGCTTTCCACAAGGCAGTGCGGGGGTCCGACAGTGACGCCGCGCTCTACTACCTCGCGCGCATGCTACAGTCTGGCGAGGATCCTCTGTTCGTCGCCCGCCGCATGGTAGTCATCGCGTCCGAAGACGTGGGCCTCGCTGACAACTCGCTTCTCTCGCTCGCCACTGCGACGTACACAGCGGTCGAGAAGATCGGCATGCCGGAGGCTCGCATCCCATTAGGCCACTGCGCGACTGCTCTATGCCTTGCCCCGAAGAGCACGCGTGCGTATCGTGGGCTCAATAATGCTTATGCTGCGCTTCGGGAGCCGGGTGTGGCTGGCCTGCCAATTCCCATACATTTGAGGAACGCACCGACGAGGCTAATGAAGGAGATGGGCTACGGCAAGGAGTACAAATACAATCCGAACTACAAGGGAGGCAGAGTCAGGCAGGATTACTTGCCCGAACAGCTGCTGGGGAGGAAATTTCTGGAGGATAGAGACCTGGGGACTGAGGTCGACCCTGATTTGGATATGGAAGACTGAGGCCTCAAAACGTCTGTGGCTTGACCAGGCATGCGAAGACACCTGTATAGACACATACACACACGAAGGCGTACAGCGACTTGGATGCGGCCTTGGATCACAAGAGACGCCTGTCTTTGAACACACATAGCCACTCTCAGCTATGATAGGGACGGCCTAGATTACTCGAAGACGCCTCGTCCCCGACGGGACTAGGTACCGATCCAATCTGAAATTTCATGAAGACTCAGGATTGCATCCTGGCCTTGTCTTTCCGTCTGTTGGAAGATGACTTTGACCATCGCCGATTCGCACGTGAACATGGCCGCTCGGCTTCTTGAGCTTTGCAGAAACGCTACCATGATTACGTATATCCGTCACGTCCGTCAGGTCAAAGAACCATATACATCGGACGAGCTGATACTAATCGGGGTATTCAAACTCAGAGTCATGGTAAAATGTGTGCGTTTGGACATCACTTTTAGCTAAGTGGGAGTGCTGTTCCTACTGCACTACGCAATTTTTGCTCTTGCTTGTTTGACACTTCCAGTATGCAGAACCCAATATCTCCAGCCCACTAGGGTGTCGCTCGTTGTCAATGTAAGAAGTCTGGACCAATGCGTACCACGATCGACCCGTCACTCTAAACTTACAATACGATGCCTCCTCAGCCACTCTTGACCCACATCTTTGTAGTCTTGAGGACCGTAGGGCTCTAGAATTTCTGCCAAGGCCCCCCTCTTGCGGTGGACTTGAAGGCCCAGGTCGCGCATCAGCAAGTCGATATACGGCTGGGCATCGAAGACGAAGTCGGGATACTGGCTTCCGTGGCCAGCTGGGTACCTCCACTTGCCGAATCGGCTGTGCAAGACAGCCTGATACTGCGTATCCTCGACGTCGTCGGGAAGGGAAAGGCCGTCGCCACGAAAATACGCATTGATCCAGAGGGACTGTACGTGCATCGTGAGCGGGACGTTGAAATTCATCAAAATTCCTGCGAAAGCAATATCGCGGTGTTGTAACATCTCCTGAGATGGCGGCACCATGAAGTGATAGAGCGTCCAGGGAGTCAGAGAGTTTGACTGGGGCGAGTCGACGGCCCCTCTGTTAGCTGACACGCCCTTCTGCTCAGTAAGAGGGATGTAGTCTTTGTTCTGGACGGGTGGGCACTTTAAGCGGGGAAATTTGTCGAGAATTTCCTGGTCAGCCTTGTCCATGAGATGGCCTAGACGACTGTGCGTGTGGGCGTGTGGGATACCAAGGTCCTCGTCGATACCCTCGGGCAGGAACCTCAGCGGCGGCGTCCACTTCCAGCCCGTAACGCAGCACATAATCTCAGACTCGAGCTCCGTGCCATCTGACAGGTGCACTTTGCCGGCCGAAAGGTGTGTGACATCGGCGATATGGACTTTGACAGTGCCACTGCGCAGGAGCTCAAAGAAATCCGTATCATAGTTCAGGATAGAGAAGCTCGAGGCCACAAACATGGGGTGGCTCCAAGGCTTGATCTTCGCCGTCTCAGGGTGAGAATCATACTTGTTGAGGGTGAGAACGTCGTTGCCCAGAATAAACCAGAATTTATCCGTGATGAACCGCCCGACTGCTGTCCCATGCAAGAATCTGCGAATCCTGGTGTAGCCATCTGCAGACCCCCAGATGCAAGGGCTAAACCAGGTCAACAGCCTAGTCATGACCAGCTTCTCCAGCCACTTCCTCAAAGGCGTCACATATGGCGGAGCCATCCAGGAAGGGCCATGACCAGACGATCGAATAACCCAGTTGACCGGGACCCCCCGCGTAGCGTATGCATAGACTGCGTCCCAACCGGATTTCGTACCGCCAAAGATGGTGACCCGCTTGGCCGTGTCTAAAGTGTCTGCAAACTTGGGAAAGTCCTTGATGTGGAATACATTACCACCGAAAATATCCTCGCCGTCAAATCTGGGTCTGAAAGGCTCTGAGGTCAGCCCGGTCGCAACCACAAGCTTCCGGGCTATGACCTTATATTCGATGAGGTCCTTTGCCTCATGACCTCCCAAGCCATCGATCTTGCAGACTCTCAGTAACCAACCACCAGAGTTATTATGCTCCGCCGAGATCACGCGGGATGTATAGCGGATCTTTTCGGCGATGCCAAACTGCTCTGCATACTTTGTGAGATACTCGTGGCAGACCCGTCCAGGAATGTGCTGTCCAGGCTTGACATCGAACACGTCCGGGCTCATTGGAAAGTCGGGATACTCGTAGGTCCCGAGCATATTGTTTGTTTTGAGGCCTGGGTAGAGTCGCTCACTCGCCCAAACCCCTCCTAAGGTTTTCGCCGACTCAAAGATGGCCAGAGATTTCTGCGGACTGAGCTCAGAGAACGTTTTTGCAGCTGCCAGCCCGGCCCATCCTTTGCGCGACATCCATCAGCTTCTGCCTCTCGTGCTCCTGCCAATACACTGGCTTTTGTGCGACCGTTTACCATCGACTCACCTGCACCAATGACAACCAGGTCCATTTCCTCCATAGTGTCGAAGTTGTTTACGGGTACCGTCTTGCAAGTTAGACCAGGCCTGTTAAGGGTAATGTGACAAGAGCCACGCCAGGGCGCTGTCACACTTTGAAATCCTTCTCGGCTGAAGTGGACCCTCGACACCGCAGCGGCTTTTCCCTTTCCGCCATCAGCGCCAACCTGATAGGTGCCTTTACACACCAGTGATTCTAGAGAAACAGGAACGGACTCTAGACAGACAGCGGACAAAATGTAAATAACCGTTATCACCGCAGAATAACACGAATTTTGAGACTTTGATGTTGCTCGGCCTACCTGTCTAGATCCACAGGTATGCACAATTTATTTGACGCGCTACTGCAGGCTTCTGATGGCTTTTTGTACTGATGGTCAACGATTGTGAAATGTACACTGCCGCAAATGAGAATGCATCTTGATCGTCCAGAACCCGCATATCCATTCCAGCATAGGGATTGTCAATATTTCTTTATTCATGGGAAAACTCCATCACGATCTTCCATTATACAGCTCACAATAACCCCAGGCATAAAATTTGATCAGTGTCGATTTCCCTATAGGACAACCACACACGGTATGGTCAACTATGGGACAATCCACTATGGGATGTGCAAGTGGTAGTGACAGTCTGGTTTGGACATGACATTTGCCAAGTGGCCAAGTCGAAAGAACCTCTGTGTTCGCACGCTAAGTATGATCCTGAAGCCACCTCCGCTCGCTTATATCTCCTTTAAGCATCCCATCATTTCGAGATCAGCTTTTCTTTTTGAGAAAAAAGAACAAGCTAGAAAAGAATAGACCATCGCAACTTAGCTAAGCTTGTGACACCCAACTACGATGCCTTCTTGTATCACAGTGGTCCCTGCCTTTACGCAGGCAGGTAATGAGACTATTCGCGCTCTTCTGAGTTCTCCTGAGGCCCCAGTGGTGCGCGGAATCTATCTTGATCTCTGAGTGCTCCAGCTGAGTTCACTGGCAACCCGCGGTTGAGGTGGCCAAAGGTGACGTGGGCACGAGTACAGGCCTTACAGGCCTAGACTTCAATGGTTTCGACGCCGTCTTCTGTACGTATGAACCTGTTCTAGGACATCAAGAATTTCGGATAAGATCTTACGTTGAGTCTCCCTCGAACATCGCTGACATATCACTGCCAACCTGCGACAGTACTCACTATAACGAATCCGCCACATGAACTGCGAATAACATAAAATTCTCTTCAGAGGACCCAGAGTGTTCAAAGACTTTTTCTGCACTCGGATATATACCCGAACAAATTAATGCACCGCTGCTTCCCTACTCTGCGGCCCAGAGAGTATCTCATGCTCACTTCTTATAGGGCTTAGTCGGATGATCGAGACGACTCAATGAGCGGGATCCTGCGGATGACAGCTTGAAAATTCCCCATCATCATATTCAACTCCGTTTGGTCGTTTGTTTCCTTGCTGCGATACCTTTGAAATTCCGTGACGCTCTCGTGCTGACCGTATTGTCCTCGACCTCAATCAATCTCCCTTACTTCATTGCCAGGTCTTCCTTCCTTGCTGTTTCCCCCCGCACGCATGTCTGGATGTGAATCAATTTCCATAAAGGCCGCCAACTCTTCGTCAAAAGTCATTGTTGGGTTTTGTTGCTCCCACTCATGAGTCTCGACTTGTGTGGATAGATGATCAGCATTCTCTTGACGAGTCTCGGCTGTGGTCGTCGTCTGTTTGGAGGCTTTGGACCCCCAGGTAACATTGATCGAGCCCCATAAGCTATTATCATGATTTCGAACTTGTCTCCTATATGAGGACCTCGACGTCCGTGGCACATTCGCTGGCGCTTTGTGTTGTCGCTTGAGTATCACTGCGAACAATACGTTGAGTGATGGGAGACAAGCGCAAATGACGCCAATAGTGAGTTCGAGCAGACTTTAAAGTATTTAGCACTTATAGTGACAGGAATACGACATAATATTCGTGCTCACGTGAAAATAGATAAAACTGTAAAGTCTGCGGTGGGGTCGGTCGATCCCAGGAACTGGATGACCTTCACCATTCGATATATCGTTGTCGCCGTTCTGTGAACCTGGGGCGTCAGTAGGGTAGACTCAATTCCATGAGCGAATGAAATACAGCTTGAAAATGGTTGGTGAAGGAAAAGCCTCCATATTCAGATTCATGAAGGAATTAAGCCACTTACGCAGCCCCACCGGCACTAAGAAGTAATATAATCTGCACTTTCTGCTTGAATGAAAGACAATTCATGGATAGAGCCAAGGGAATAGGGACAATGAGGATGATGAAGTCCGTCAGCACGGCCACAGATATATCGGCAATGAAGATGTGCGATTGATTGAGGCAATAGGGGTTCTGCCCAGTCACACCCACTTTGGCAGTGATCTCCCAGTATGCTGAAATAGGCGTGCACACCATAACCTTGGGGATTTGGATGCCCGAATAGACTATTCCTAGGCCGATCATGAACCACCGCAATGCCTTGGATACAAGCTCCTTCACAGCAAAGATGCGTGCTATAAGCAACAGCAACGTCACCTTGGTCGCAAACGCAGCGGGTCCATAAACAACCGTGCAAATGTAGAGCCACAAAAGGAAATCTCGGTACTGTGACTGACTCAACTCCCAGACGTGATATCCTTCGCCATAATGGGTGAGCATGAGGACCCCGATGATGATCAACGCGGTCATGGCCCATGCTGCGATGAAGGCATAATCTTCAAGGAGAAACCGGTCACGCCGTGCAACGAGCTTGACGTATAACCGAACCGCCGAAAAGATGGTGACTAATGCGAGACATAGGCCAGTATTAATCCAGTTTATAACATGGTGAACATCACGAGGATGGTCGAAATCGGGCGTTGCGCTTGGTGGAGGCGGCGCGGCTGGAACAAAGCTTGCTAGAGATGAGCTCATTGTCTACTGGGCTCTATATTTGTGATGTGAACGAGGTGTTCGATCACGAGGAGAGGCCACCGCTTGCAAGTCTCGATAAGATCACATTCAGCCGAGACTGGACGCATGAGGCTGTCTCGGCCTGGCCTCATGTGTATTAGTACTGAAGCTTGACAAATGTGATTTACAAACTCTGACGAACTCGTACGATTGTGCGGGATCGTGCTTCGCTCGAATTCCTGTTCAACAACCTTGAATCCTAAAATCCGAGGATTGATCTCAGGGCAGGCTGACCTGGAATTCTGTCGTCGAATATGCTAAATATCCGGCAAGAGGTTTTAATTCGCGATGTCCTCAAAGAAACCTCTACATACTTCCGTCCTGACTCGTGTCTCGTCAGAACTAAGTTCAGCACACATTATCCCTGCGAGAAATCGCTGCAGCAAAAGCAAAATTTACATTATAGGCACGCTAAGCCCGCGGCTGCCGGAGCTTACGAGCAAAGTTCAAGATGTGTGCGAGGATCCGCCCAGGAGCCCTCCAGTAAGAGTCAGTTCTGGTTGCACGATACATCGATATTGTGAATCTCCTCCATGCAGCTTGTGGCCAGAACAATGCAACTTGCTGGAAGCACATTTCCGGATTATTGCTTGACTGGACATTCGCAAGACATGTACAGTTGAAGACTGCGAATAAGATTTAATGATCCCTGGTGAAAAATCAATTTCTTGGAGCCCTGGATACTTCTGTTTTCAGATGATCGAATACTTGATTTCTCGTCTGAAAGTGAGTAACAAAATCCTGGTGCAATTTCTTGGAAGCTTGTAGCATGCCATACATCACCTGCAAGATCAAGTACTGCAGGCTCTACGTCTGACAGCACCGCCGCATTCTCAAAGCCTCAGAATAGTTGGTTTCCCAATGTTATACGTGCTTGGATCACCATCACCGTTTCACTTCTTGTGGACTTGAGTGATGTCTGTGTGGAGCTTATTTGCACAGAGAGGCCTGACGATCGCTTCAAATTGACTCTCTCATCACAGCTCGAACGCCTTTACTTCCTTTCCGCGGGAAAGGGATAAAAGAGTCGCTCGTAGGCCTGACATCATCAATGGTTGTCTCATGCAACTGCAAATGTGGAAACACCCGCAAGACGAGCATCGACAATGTGAGGTATATCTCGCAATAGGCAAGGCTAGATGAATGATAGAATCAGCTTATCAATAGTACGATTCACAAAGCCGGATGGATCAATGGGCTTACTGCATTCCAAGACAGATTCTACTGCCTCGGTTAAACGACATGAGATGTCGTTCAAGATTCTTGCTCCGGCTCCCATCCTCGCGAAGCCACCGCTCTGGAAGGAACCGATGCGAATCTGGGAACACGGATTCATTATGATGTGTCATATTGTTAGACATGCTGACAGCGTACCCCTTTGGTATCGTGTAGCTGACCTGAGTCGGAGCGGAGTTGGATTGTAGCGGTGTCCACGATCCATGATAAAGAAGATCTTCTTGCGTCGGTACGCGTGGTATTCTCTGAACCACACCGTAGGAGAGGCGCAAACCTTCATGAACAACTGCATTGAGGTAGGGCAGCTGTTCCAGAGCAGACCATTTGGGAAGCCAAGAAGGTGACTCCACCACTCTCGCCAGCTCCTCTGTGAGCTTGTCGAGGACTTTCCTGTCCATGAGGATGTAGAATGTTAGAACAGTCAATGCCCAGCTAGTCGTCTCCGTGCCGGCGAGTAGAATAGCAACAACTTCACCCGTGATCCTCTTGTCCTTCTTTTCCTGCTCGGGTAAGTCTGACTCGAGGAGAACATCAAAGACCGTCTGGCGTTGCTTGGAAATTCCCGCCTCATGCTCGGCCTTAGCCTGCTGGAATCTGCGAGGAAATTCTACATCATTGAGATGCTGGAACTGAGCCACTTCCTCGGGCAAAAATGGCGCGAACCATCGCCCACCGTAGCCAAACAGCCACTTCAGTGGCGGTATCCACCGGAAAACAAAGTAGGTCGTGAATATGGCGTAGCTTGCACGCTTCAAGTTTGGCTGGAATCCTTGCTGCTGCTCCACGAAGCCGAATGGCTCGCCGAAGACCTGCAAAGATGCCGCGTCCGAGCTGAGACAGCTCATTGCGTCCTGAACATCAAAGACGGCCCTGCTGGCGAGTATTTTATCTCCAAGGCGTTGTGCAAGGGCGTGTACCTCGGTTTCTAGCTTGGACACCTGAGCGATGGAGAACTTCTTCCTGAGGGGGTCACGACGAAGGCGGTGTAGGTCGTGGTTTGTTGTGGCAAAGCTCGAGACCTGGTTCGCCCCTGTCAAATGGCTCACATACAGTTCTGGCTTGTCTCTCTTCCGGTTTCCAGAGGCGTAGACCTCGTCGGCGAAGTCTGGGTCATTGCAGTGCAGTTCCCCTGGGTTGATACGGATGATCGGGCCTTCGAACCGGAAGTCTGATCAGCAACTATGTATAATGCGAAGCTCGGTACTGTTGCAGATTAGATTACCGTAGATGTCATGAAGCCTCTTTATTTCAAATGTATACTGGCCGCCTTTGATCAAGTCGAACCAGATTTCATAGAAATATGAGGCTGCCGCCAATTTTGGGCCTGGAAACTTGTGCAGTGGATGGAATGGGGAGAGTCTGTACACAGCAAGTAGGGCATGATAAGACAACACAGAGACGAAGAAGATTGTGGTACCGCGAGAAGAGACCAGCTCCTGAACATCCGCTGAGAGCTTTGAAAACATCATTTTCCCTCTGCGCAACAATAAGCTAAGCTGAGCAAAAGGAAACGCGGCGTATGTTTTGATGATGAACGAGGGACAATTCGTGCGATTCTATCAGGCTTTTGTACGTAGCGCTGAGGGGTGACTGAGTGCATATCTGCGTGTGCTGATCCTGCGTGCCCTGGTGCGACTGAGCACCACTCACATGGTCTCATTATCTGCTGCACGCCCACAGTTTGCTGCTCGATTTGGACAAGCTCACGCCTATACTGAACAAGTAGCACCTCGTTCAGCATGGCTGCATTTCGATGTCTGCAACAAGAGAGTACAATCCATTTCGCCATAATTTCTCTTGCTCTAGTTGGGGCGGAAGTTGCTGTTGTTTTATGTGTCAGCTTCCTCGCTTTCGGCCTCGACGATTGTCATCTAACCCCATCTCCTCCACTGTGTCGGTACCGCGTCCCCCTCTGGTTTCGGAGGTCCTGGCAAGATCTCCCTCAACAATGAATTAATATCCTTGCCCGATTTCCTCACGTCATCCCATTGCCTCGGATAGCCCCAGCTGCACTCCTCAAACCTCACACCGTCCTTCCAGTCAGTCCTCCTCACGTGCAGGTGCCCAGAGACCACGACCTTGGCATTGTATCTCTTGTGCCAGTCGTCCGTCTTTTTTGTGCCACACCACAGCGTGAATCTTGGAGCCTTGGGTATCCAGATGAGATCCTCTCGTAGCGGCCAGTGGTTGACAATGATCAAGGGCAGACCACGATTCATGGCAGTTTCAAGCTTGGCCTGTGTGTTTTCGACAAGTGCATCGCACCATTTCTCGCGAGACGGATACGGGTCTGGATGCAAGATGAACTCGTCCGTCGCCACTGTGTCCATCTCCTCGGCCCATTTCAAAGCCTCGGCCTTGTCCTTGATGTGATCTGGCCGGAAGGAATAGTCGTACAGAGTGAATATTGGAGCAATCAATGCGGGCCCTCCTTCGCCCTCCCAGACCACGAACTCATCTTCAGGGGTATGCACCCCGTACTTCCGTGCGATGGCGACACACTGATTATATTTTGCCTCGCCGCGCAGCTGCGGCGGAGCCCCAGCTGACGAAGCGAGGGTATATAGCTCGTGGTTGCCGGGACACCAGAAGACCTCCCTGAAGCACTTGGTCGCAGTGGAGAATGCGAGCTCAAGTTGCTCTGCCTTCTCGCCCAAGTCGCCACACAGAATAAGCCCGTCGTCGAGATGGAGGTCAAGCTCAGACCAGGCGTCACGGTTGGCTGGGTAGCTGAGGTGCAGATCACCTATTGCGTAAAGTTTCATGATGGGGTTCTATGACCTGTGGGCAGGCTGTGGCCGATTGATATCGTGGGATGCTTTGGACGCGGCGAGATTGACTTGACATGACTTAATTCGGCTGAGGAGGCGCGATGGTAATCAGTGATGATAACCAGCAGCTCTTCCCCTCGGATCCCGGAGCCCGTCAGCAGAATGACAGTGAGTGCGTTACATAATCATGACCGGGTGAATGTATGGCCCAAATAGGTGTCGTAACGAGCTGTGCTGAGGAGGTACAAGTACGAAGTGCAAGCATCGGAGTAGGTGAGTCTTAGTACACCCCGGTACTCTTGGAATGAGGAACGGGCAGTGGATAACGTATGCAGACAGTGAGGGAGCCCTGGGGCCAGTGAATACGAGTGAGTGTTTGGCGGATACTAATTACACAGTAGACAGACTAAAATCAATTCGCCCCCTCTACTTGTTTGGAGGGAGAGGTGGGGTCCGTTGCAGCACTCAGCGTGTATTACTCATCAGCTACAGGGGACCTTGACGACGACAACAACGACGGCAAGCAACAACAACCACGATAAACAACAAGCAACGACGTGTCTTACCCCTCCAACAATCGAGCAGTAAATGGAATGGGAATGCTGTGTCGAGTCGAAAGCCTTCTAGACAACGATGTGCCGGCCTCAGCGCTGCTATGGGTGACTCCAAGCGCGACGGGGCGAGATGGCCGCTCTCCTTCCAGATGAGCCCGACTGGCCACCGGTTCTGGAGCCACAAACTGTACCGCGGTCCGCAGGACCAACCAGTAAGGGTGCTTTACAGCAGGACCAAGCTCGAGTCGGACGAGATCGCCCATGAATTCCTCAGCGAGAAGGTTGTCGGCTTTGATATGGAATGGCCCTGGGACGCCAATAGCACAGACGCACGTCTACAGCAGAGAATCGGTCTAATTCAGATCGCCTGTGAGGACAAGATTGCACTTTTCCATATCGGCTTGCATTCTGGAAGTACTGCAAAGGACCTGTTGGCACCATCACTGCGAAAACTCATCGAGGACCCTGCCATCGCCAAGTGTGGAGTCGCCGTTCACAATGCGGATTTTGCTCGATTGCAGCAATGGTTTGGCCTCAAACCGCGCGGTGCATTCGAGCTGAGCCATCTGCACAATTTGGTCACCCATGGTGCCTCCAGCCCCACAAAGTGTACCACGAAGCTTAAAAAGTTGGCTGTGCAGGTCGAGCAGCATCTGGGCCTTCCGCTCTTCAAGGGGAAGGTGAGGACCAGTAACTGGAGCGAGCCACTTAGCAAGGACCAAGTCAATTATGCTGCTGCAGATGCATATGCTGGTTTCATGTTATATCACTGCATGAACGCGAAGAGAGCGGCCATGGACCCTACTCCTCCGCCACCTGTCTACGCTGAGACATACAGGCACACATTCCGAGGGCAGCCGCCGAAACAGCCACTTCAACTGGCACCGGTAGATGGGGATGTAACCCCTTTGAGCGTTTTGCATTTCTACAAAACGTTAGAAGACGCTGCTGAGGATCAATCGGACGCACAGTCAGCGGATGGGGAAGCTGAACCCAGGCAGCGCGACCAGGCCGCAGCTGATCAGGAAGTTTCTTGCCAATCCAACGACGATTGTGAGTATGTCAGAATCGGTCGGCGTGGCAAACACGTCCTCTTTGCCAAGGCTGCAGATGTCGGCGTGGATGTCATACAACAACTACGAGATCAGCATGCTGCCGAACAGCAACGAGCAGAAATACCGGCTGGCACATCACCACCGAAGATAGCAGTAGCGACATCAAAATCCTCAAAAGCCAAGAGAGCCGCGCCAGCCGTGGAGTCCGGGATCCTCGATGAGACCAGGACAGAACTCCTGTTTCGAGAGCTCAGGAAACATCGCAGGGACCTGGCGAAAGAACGCGAATGCCCTCCATTCGTCATTGCTCATGACAGCCTACTTCACGCGATATCTCGAAAATGCCCACGAAGAGATGTTGAATTGCTGCGCATAAAAGGCATCGGGAAGAAGAAAGCAGCCGATTGTGGTGCAGCTTGGTTAGCGATTGTGAGAAATTTCGTCGAGAACTCGGGTATCGATGGATTCGGAGCGAATGACGGCAGTCCGCAGGGCACTCCAGCTGTGCCCGCGGCCTCACAACATGAAATGCCTGCTTCGCAGGTAAATTTTGAGGAACCCGACCGATCAACTCCTAGCTTGCACACGGGACTATCGTTCAGTATGCAAAACGCAAGTCTGGACCACGAGAAAGATGACAAGGACGTCGTAGATGCCCTTGATGAGGATGAGGCATCAGACGACGAATTGGCGTTTGCAATTCCCCGGAGAGAGCCTTTCCCATCTGTTCTCAAGCGCAAGCGAGACGACGTAGACGCGGACCAGAAGCTTGCTTCAATGCGGCCGAGACAGCCCCAGAGAAGATACCAGACAGTAGCAGAGGGAGCGAAGTTACCACCTCAACCATCACCAGCAGTAACTATCACGCCGCTACCCCAGCTCTTGTCAACACTACCTCGAAATGACTCAGAGTCAACCTCTCTATTGTTGCAGAGTCCTTGCGCCGACCGTGAGAGTACGCTCGCCGCCCAAGACGATACCAGAACGACAGCTCTAGCGCCCGCGGGCCAACTCCCGCCAGACGCCATGAGCAAGATCCATCCAATACAACGTTCGACAGTAAAGCCTGGCATAGATCCATTACCTACCGCTAGACAATCGAATGACAGTGAACTCCAGTGCAGGATACTCCGCAACAAGATCATCGCCTTCAACAAGCTTGTAAACACCACCGTACAATTGCCAGTGAGCACGATCGAACACCTTGCGCATCAACCCCCGAGGACGATGGAGGAGCTTCTGCAAGTCCCGGGCATCATGCCCTTTGCTAACGCGTGTTCGAGAGCGAATCGCGACCTGCTTGGGTTTCTTGTCAAATCTGCACCCGCCACGAGATGACAGCTGAGCCCCTACCGCTGCCAACAAACGAGCATAGGAGAAGCGAGCATGCCGCTTCTCAGAAGCTGTTTTCTACGTACTAGCCTTCGAGTGTTCTCGGACAAAATTACAGCATCCATGCAAGGCGATTTCGGGAAGTCCCTGTTTTTGATCCTTGGGCGAGCACGAATCATGGCATGACGCTATCTAGGCAGCTGTCATCCAGTCCTAGGCGCTGCAAGCAACACTTGATTGCGCTCTCTTGGAGAGAATTCTTAGGATAGATGGTACGTCTCGGATAGCGGGTCAAAGCCACAATGATTCGGCTTGCGGCAAGCACTGTAGTAGCTGGACATAAATATGACCGCTTCGTGTGGTGACTCTTTCATTACTGGTGGCCGAGACTTCGCCCAGGGCTACACCGTCGTCAACTGGAAGCGGGACTTTAGCAAGTACCGGTTTGAGAGGGGCCGTGATGTGGCATTCTCCGGTGAGGACATCTCTCAGCAGGCAGCCAGTCAGTCAGTCTCTGAGGTGAAGTTGAAGTGACTCAGTAGGCCTGTTCCGGTAATGGTAGTTGCTTACAACCTGCCCTCCAACAACGTGTTCTCGTCGTGACGGCATGATGCTTATTCGTCCATGACGAACGTGTTTTTGACCGAACGGCTCGATTTTGTATGCCAAAAATGTATTGATTGAGGTCTGCCGATGTTTGCACCGCCACTTTTATGGTGAGCGAGTCTTCCAACCGGCAACCGAGATGGTCTAGTTCAGCGCTTGCATTCCTTATCAAGACCGCCTTTTCCATCAGCTTAGAGGCGCTGCAGAATAAATGGATGTGTCTGCTAATAATGGAAGGCCAAACACGAAAGAGAGAGGCTAGACCTTTTGATGTTCGTAGTGGTCAAGGGATGTAAAGCGAGGATTACAGCTTGGATTGGAGGTCCCCTGTACACAGTCAGGGGCTGCCGTCAGAATGGGCTGATCGGGACAAGATCCGAGGCGTTGGGGCCGAGTTTCTGTGGGCTCGCAAACCCAGTCTGCCAGTCTGGCCAGGAAAACCACCTGCTGGGCAAATGCGTGCTCGTTTTCTGGTTTGCCTCACCACGTGTCAGCGCCGGGCAGACAACGCCATCCGACCGCCGGATGGCTTTGGCCAAGCCTGAAGCAGAACCCTGGCTGATGTGATGGCACCAAACCAGACCAGACCCGAGGCAGATGGCCAGACGTTGAGGTCACTGCTGCTGTACCGCGCCACGCAATAGTGTGCCGTGTGGTGACACGCACGACCTGGAACCACGGCGGCGAGCAAGGTTTTTCAGTGATACGATCGGGAAAAGGAGGCTCTGTCTGCAGGCTCAACGCTGATCGCTGATGCGACCGCACTGACATCGGGCACTAACGGGAGTTGGGATCCCACTCAGCTGCCCAGCCGGCCGGTTGCAAACCTTGGAGCCGTTGCATGCGTGGCGGCGCCTGCAGGGTGGGGGCACCCAGCCTACCTGAGAGCTCTGGGTCACCAACTGCAGCGGGCGTCTATTTTCCTTTTTATAGACGGGAAGCTGCCTCTTCGTTCACTTGGGTAGCCATGTCGCTTGTCTATCTTTGGAGAGCACTCTTCTATCATGAATCATCGACGACAACTTCAACAACTTGGCACAAGTCTAGTCAAGAATACAAACACAAGCCCAGACACAGACACAGACTCAGAAAATTACGCAGACGACACGACACCGTTCTTGTACGGTTGAGCAACACAGTGACTGATATCCCAGCCCGTCTGTTCGATAAGGAACGGCATCATGGAGCCCCGAGTTCGTGATTTCCCAGACCCGGAAAAACAGGCCAAACCGCTGCCGGATGGATCAACCACGGAGGATGGGGATCTCACGCGAGAGCCGACTCCACGAGTGAACCTCGAGAGAATCCCGACATACCTGCAGCCACCAATATCGGTGCGAGAACGTCTACGGCACTTCACGTTTGCATGGTACACCGTCACGTAAGCCAAACCAGCCAACTAATCAACAACCCACAATCCGCACGCAACCGGACCACCGCGGATCACAGCAACTAACCATCGCAACAGCATGTCGACTGGTGGTATTGCCCTCACCCTGAGCCTGACGCCTCATCGGTTCCGTGGACTCGACACAATAGGCCTCATTGTGTTCCTCTTCGACCTGGTCTGCTTCATCCTCATCACCGCATGTCTACTCCTGCGGTTCCTGCTTTACAAGCACACTTTCTCAAAGACTCTCACACACCCCAAGGAGGCCCTCTTCGTGTCCACATTCTTCCTGTCCATCGCCGCACTCCTGTCCAACGCAGAAAAGTACGGCAGCTTGTTTCTCTCCACGAGTGCCCAGGACGGCCTCGCTGTGTTCCACCGCATAATGTATTGGCTTTATCTCGCCGTCACCTTCCTCGTCTCGGTGATCCAGTACCACCTCCTCTTCACCGTCAAGGAGCAGCGCCGTCTCCAAGCGCACGCTATGACGCCAGCCTGGATCCTGCCGATATTCCCCGTCATGCTTGCCGGTACTATCGCAGCCTTCGATTCGCAGACGCAAACGCCGGCACAAGCACTAGCCATGATCACTTCTGGCCTTGCGGCGCAGGGGCTGGGGTTCATGGTCTCCATCTTCATGTACGCGACATACCTAAGCAGGCTGATGGTATATGGCCTGCCTGCTCAGCGCCCTGGAATGTTCATCGCTGTCGGTCCTCCGAGTTTTACCTGTGCCGCGTTGGTCTCCATGGCGGACGACGTGCCGAGGATCTTCGCGGCCCAGGTGCCCGTCATCGAGGGCATGGTCAGCCCATCAGTGCTAGCTGATGGTGTAAGGCTGGCGTCGCTGTACTGCTCGCTATTCCTGTGGGGGCTGAGTTTCTGGTTCTTCACGTCCGCGCTGATGGCCGTGGTCGCGGGCATGCCCGACAGGAAGTTCCATCTCAGCTGGTGGAGTTTTGTGTTTCCAAACGCAGGCTTCACCATCTCAACGATCAGGGTTGCCAGTGCTGTGGGCAATGAGGGGCTGTTATGGTTCAGCACGGTCATGACCATCGTTCTGGTTGTGGTCTGGCTGTTCATCGCATGGAGGTGTGCTTATGCAGTGGTGCAGCGGGAAATTGTCTGGCCAGGCCATGATGAAGACTCGGACTAGGGGATGGGTGCAGTCATCTCCGGGCAACCGAATACGCGACTATGTCGCAAGGGCATCTACTCGAGAGGAAGCAGCGATTGTCAACTCGGATGTGATGACCGTGGGAATGCACCGTTCATCCGACAGCACGCAACCGCGACCCCCTTGCCGTCCCCCACGCGCACGATTCTAAGCCCCGATCGGCCTCGAACCTTGGGAGGAAGCGTTCGTGGAAGGGGATATCAGAAGGATTGGAGCGAGAGCTACTCTATACCGTCGGAGTATGGTTATCCGTGGCCCGGCTGATTGACAAATACAAGCTTGGTAAGCCGCCCTTGGGGAGCAGAGGAGCGAGTAGCGAGCCCGGGACCCACTCAGGATTTGATTCTAAGTTCCTAACCAGGCAGTAGCACCCAAGAAGACCAGGCGAGTCTAGGCGATATATTCATGCTTGCCACTCTTCACGGCACAGATATTCATGTTTGCAATCCAGTCTGAGATTGCCTTCGCCTGCAATACCATTGCCCAGCGATCATCATGGATATCACCGACATCAAAGCCGCCGCCTCGGCGACTAAATTACGAGCCGACAGCACAATCTGCTTTGATCCTGAATATGCAGCTGTTCTTCAAGAACTTGACATGTCCGGTATCGAGAGACCTGTCATTAAGACCGCACAAGACCTACGCGCCTTTAGCAACGCCATGATTGGAATGGCCCTCAAGCGAGACCCGTATCCTGGTGCCGAACAAGTCATACAGACCAAGCACGACATCATCACCTTCGACGGGTCGACAATCAGCGTCTCGCGTTTCGCGACGCGAGGACAAGGCCGGCAAGGATGATGCGGATGTGAGCATCTATGCTGCACCGGGACGCGCGAGGGTGGAGGACCTGGCCGGGCTGCCCAGGACGTACATCGACACGCCTGGGCTGGACCTGTTCCGCGATGAGAATTTGAGGTATGCACAGGCTCTGTTGCAGGCTGACGCCGAGGTCGAGTTCCATTTATACCCTGGTGTGCCACATGGTTTTGATAGCTTTGACACATTGCGAGTGGTGGCGGGGGCGCACGACAACCGGACCAGAGCAATAAAGTCGGTGTGACGAGATTAAGGATGAGAAGCAGCAGCATGGCGTAGGTAGCATAGCACGTGTTGATGCGTATTATTGAATCCTCATATGTGTCATGCTCAAGACAGTCACGGGTCGATGGCAAGCAATTCATCCGTGTTTTTCCCGATATGGTCATGAACGGGAATGAGAGGGCATGTGAGAGCAGGGCAGAGGTGCAGTAAGCTACGGCATCTGAGAACATGCATCGTATTTTACGCCCCACTCCTCTCTCTTCCTCCCTCCTTCTCGAGATACTGCACTTTCTACTCAGATCTGCCAGATGCAGGGTCCAAACATGACTCAGCTGTCACCCTGACATATCAACTTCCCTTTTCAGCCTCTCATAAACAAACTCGTCAGCAGTCACTGGTAACAAAAGGGTGGCAGGCTCTGCAGCTCCCGGGTCTTTACATAACACCATACCCTCTTGCCTCATAGGCGCATGAATCTGTCAAAGATTGGCCCTATGAGATTTGACTCGTTATTATCCATTGGCCACTAGTGAACCCTGTCGCCTGCGGTGGTGGGACCTTGCGAACAAGCGTGTCGCCCGTCAGATTTTTTTTTCCTTGCCTTTCCCGCCCGAATTTTTTCATAAGCCTGCAAACGAAGTGATCCATGCAATGTCGTAGTGCCTGAATATTTATATGGTTGATTTTTTCCACATACACAACACGCGCACGTAACTCATTGTTTTGCACTCTCACCCAACCACTCACACTAAACTCCTCATCACACACACATTTTTCTTTACCTTATGATCGAAGACATTAGCGCCAGAGACCGTCACCGCCACCTACTGTCCATCATGAACTCCTCCGAGGACTTTGTCATTGAGCCCGCGGCCATCAAGGAGCTGCAGCTCATCGAGGCATCCCTCAGCGATGTCGACACTGAGATCACGGCCAAGCAGTACCTGATGGCCAAGGACATCCTGGCCGCACGTCAGAACACAATCTCCAAGATCCCCGGCTTCTGGGCCGTCGTCTTCGACCACGCTAGCAGCGAGCTCGAGGCCGCCATCACCGGTGTTGACCTGGAGGTCTTTGCCAACGCCCTGAAGGGTGTCGAGGTCGGCCGCCCCGAGATCCCCGCCTCTGCTTCCGTCAGCGACGTCGGCCTGGACAAGTTTGGCGAGCCTCGCAGCGTCACCATCCGCTTCCACTTCGGCGAGAACAAGTGGTTCTCCGACTCGCTGCTCGAGAAGACCTTCTGGTACCGCTACGGCAAGGACGGCTCCGCAGGCCTGGTCTCTGACCCCGTGCGTGTCAACTGGAAGCAGGGCCAGGATTTGACCGAGGGTCTGACGGACGCCGCCTACGCCTTCTGGGCCGCCCAGAAGCAGAACCCCGCCCAGCAGCTCGACGGCATCGTCACCGGTGACGCCCGCAAGAGCCGTGACGCTGCCGCGCGTGAGATGCCCGAGTACAAGGCGCTCGCCGAAAGACTCGAGGCTGCCACCAACGGCGCCGTCTCCTTCTTCAACTTCTTCAGCTACCGTGGCAGGTGGACCAGCGCCGCCGAGAGCGTTGAGGCCAAGGCGGAGCTGCTGGCCAAGAGACAGGCTGCGCTGAGCGGTAACGCCCAGGATTCGGACGACGAGGATGACGAGGACGAAGACTTTCCCGAAGAGGATGTGGAAACGTTCCCCGCCGGTCACGAGGTCGCAGTGTCCATTGCGGAGGATATCTGGCCCTCGGCAATCGATTATTTCATGGCGGATACAATTGACTCGGATTCAGAATTAGACGGGCTTCAAGTGGACGACAGTGACGAGGATGACGACGACGTGGAAATGTCGTAGGCTGCTGAAAGGCTGAGAGGGTTTGGAAAGCATCTGTGCAGCCAGCTTCGTGTTAGGGAAGGGTTATGGAAAATTGCAACGTCATGAGAGATACCACATTAGATTGTTTCCTTTAGTTTCAACGAGATTTGGCAAGTACTCGCAAATAATATCGAGTCGACGTGCTCACGAGAATGACGATAATACCTTTTGTGACTGGCCTCTCTAGCACAGTGACTGCGTTCTTTGCCGGCAGCAGGGCTCCTGGGGTCCAGAACGGCGATGACGGGAGGGATATGTGTGATACAAGCAGCAGACTTACTCATTTGTCATATTCAGCTGAAGGCTCTCATATAAAACCTTCCTCCTTTACCGAAATGATATGCGTCAATTACACCAGTTTCCACCTGCAACAGGAAAACCGCCAGAAATGGGGCTTGATAAGAAGAAAACCCACTGCGATTGTCATAAGTTTCTCCCCTCGAATCCTCTGCTGGAAGCACCGGCGTATTCCACTGAGTACAAGCACCTTCCTCCGGCGACTTCCTTTGAATTTCAAGAAGACGACCAGCCTCCAATATCGCATTCAGCCATAATCGAGGACGACAACTACCCCCAGGCACCGGGACTTGCGAGATACGAAGACACATCCACTTCAACTTCAGACCTCCCTCCTCCTTGTACTCGAGGCACGATGGAGTCGGTGGCCCACAGAATTTTGATAAAAAAGCAAATAGATGATGAACGCAGTAAGAGGACCAGGTCATACGTGACTACTCTCTTACTGTCTCTCGCACTGGGAATATGCTTTATCGGGTTGATGGTGGTTTTGACTCTTTACGGTATGAAAACCCCTCCCTTTCCTGCAATGCGAATGCACGCGGGAAACATGACACTCACGACGAAATGATTACTGAAATGTCATTTCTTAGCAACAAAGGCTGGCGCTGCCTCCTCCGCCGCTAATGGAAGCCCTGCCACTGTCACACTGACCCAGCAAGGCTTGGGCATGACGACTGTGACAGAAGAATCAAACCCCACGACGGTCCTGAGTAACGTGTTCTCGACAAAGACAAAGACATTTTCGAGAGACAGCGCAGGTTACACCACTACTTTACTGAGTTTTGTGACTACAACCGTGCCTAGTCTCACGATCACGGTCACGGTCACAGCATCCGGTAAGTTACTCAGTGAAACGCACTGCAAGCACTTGAGGGTTAGACACTTGGTGTTAACGACTAATATTTTTTCTTTAGGCAGCATATCTTCGAATTCCGCACCATGCACAACTTCCAGCTTGATTCGCGGCGCTGACCTGATTGAGAGTTGTGATTATGATTTAGTCGATTCCATCATTTCCATCCTGATGGACGAGGACATGACCAAGAATCTTGCCAGCGATAACAAAGGGTACCGGAAGGTGGCGCAATTTTCAATTTTCGAGTGCAAGGATGACGGCTCGCTTGCCTACAACCAGTATTGCCACAGGGGCATTACCTGGCTTGGATCACGTTACGAGTGTCTGTAGACGCCCATGAGCAAAGCAATCTACATCCGAAATCATGCGAGAAGGATCAACCTAGGCAAAGGTGAAGGCTTATAAGTAGTTGTGGACTTCCGACTACCTGCAAGGTGCCCGTATGAATACAACGACCATAAAGGTCATTAGCCTTGCTTGTGTCAACACCAGCTGGTACTTGAGTTCGTCGCTGGAACCAACCAAGACTGTACCGTGAGCACAGGAAAATCATCGTGGGCGACTCTCTTGATGTGAAATAGAGACACCGGGAGAAAGAGAAGTGGAAAAGAAGGATTATTTGAAACGGCAGGACTGCTGGTTACAGGCATTTTTGGATAGTCCTATGTTGGGTCAATTCAGGCGCATTTGACTGGATTACGACCTGACTGAGATGGCACCTAGGAAAATTGATGCTGGAGGGCAGCTTTGGGCGAGCCACTACCTAAAAAAGGGCTCTAAAATGGCTTGTTTGGGTTCATGTTTGGCACACGTGATAAGAGTTTGGATTTGCCATGTCTTACGATCTTTATTTTCCCCTCCTCACTAGGATACTGAAGAACGTTGGCCATATAAGTCGGAATCGCGAATCGGGGGAAGCATATTTTGGATAGCACAACAGAGCGGACAAGTCTTAGTCAGACACCTAATGTACATTTTCTAAAAACCTTATGGCATGTGAAGGATGTCTTAAAAGACATCTAGCAGCAATGCGTCTAATGAGCGGTAGAGTGGTGATGAACAATGCTTTGGAGGCAAGCCTTGCTGATAGTCTTCAGGATATAAATAGACCTTCAACCCACTCGACGGTATGAGCCACGACAATTCATATCGGTCGGCTCAGTCTGTCACGAGAATTTTTGAGTTTGATCTAGGAGAGTACTCTTCTTTCTCAAAATCTCCGTTTGATATCGGTCATGATCCACGACAGAGCTGGCAAATAAATCCTAGAGCCAGACAAAGCAACGGCCTTTCATCAGATGTATCAACAATATGTGTTTTTTTGCTGGTTAGATTAATAGTGTGATGAGGGCCTTCATTTACATAAATCCGAGCCTCTTGTCATATCTCAGGCATCAGCCTTCATCACAGCAATCCAGCCTCTGTTGAGCTGCCGTATTTGCGCGAAAATAAGCAGTCTTCAAGCTGCGGCTGCATTGAGAAGGTGATGGATCTGGCTGTGCGAAGGCTGGTCAGAGTTGTTATCACACGCGGTTTGGGGTGACGACAAAAAACATATGCTGCCTGAGGCCATCTCCGCGGTCACCAGGATCTAGCGAAAATGATTCCATCACAGGCCCAACTCGTCCTGGTACTCAATTGACAAGTCATTCACCAGGCGTTCTGTTATTCCCTGACGATGCAGCTCATGGTGCGCGGAAAACACAAACCCGCCCTGGCAGGTGGATACAAGGCTAACAATGCACAGCATAGAACAAGTCGTTCTGTCCTCAGACAAAAAAGAAAATACCTCCACATAGCTCATGAGCCGTAACGGCCACTCGTCCAAGTGAAAAACTTCCATTGCATGAAAAGGTACATGCTGTTGCATTATCGATGCGCCCAAAATAATGCTAACCTGGGGCATACTTTGTTCTATATGGCCCGGGCCGTTAGAAATACCAGGCGAAGTACGAGCAGAGCTAGGCGTGGATTACATGCTCCATAAAGCTGCTTCCAAAGACTACTAGCACCATGATCACGGTAGAGCCTTATTGCCGCTTTTCCTGTTCAAAGCCTTCAAAAGTACATCTTCCAACTTCGTGGATTATGCTTCTTGTTTCCGCCTTTGCCGACGATTGAACCTGGTAAATTTACTTTGGCGATTGCGTGATGCATGTGTGAGCTCCAAGTTCGTCAAGCCATATTGACATGAAGTTATTCTTGAGAGCTACATGATCGACGTCGACTGGGTGACGACTAATCAGGTGATGATTTCTTCCGTCGGTTTAGAATCGTCGACATGCCCATGGGCACCTCTGATTTCGGCTTCAGCATTGTTGTTCTCCTGTAAAACCCGAGTCAAGCCAATCTCATCCTGGATAGCTGACAGTAGCTCCGCATCCTCAATACTGGTGGTGGAGCTAATCAATCTGTTAGCAAGCAGCGACTCAAGGGGATGTCATACCGCACTTACCCAAAAACGACGTCCATTTCTTCCAAGGTCTTCCCTTTCGTTTCTGGGAGGAAGAAAACAACAAACAACCCTCCAACCAAGCACCAAGCGCTAAAGAAGATGAAAGTGCCCCATCGGAGCCCGTCGAGCATTGGTGGGGTCATGAAAGCCACCGCGAAGTTGTTCATCCAGTTTGAAGATGCACTTATGGAAGTACCCTTGGCTCGGATGGACAAGGGGAAAATTTCAGCAATCAGTGTCCAGCTGCCCGGACCCCATGAGAACGCAAAGAAGACGACGTAAAGCCAGATCATGACGACAGCGCCCCAGCCTGCTGCTCTGTTAGCAGCCCAAGAAGATTCGTACCTAGCGCCAAGGACACCGGTTATGAGCTGGCAGATCAGCATGCCAAGAGAGCCGCAAATAAGTAGTTTCTTCCGACCAATCTTGTCGATGAAGTACATGGCTGGGATTGTGCTCAAGACATTGAGGATGCCCACAACGCCAGTGGCAAGCAGAGAAATGGTGTTGTCTGTAAAGCCGAAGTTCTGAAACACAATGGGTGCGTAGTAGATGATGGAGTCAATACCTGCCTCTCGACCTCAGCATGTCTCCTCAATTTTCACATGTATGCGCTTGATGCGACTCGTGCTATATGTAGTAAGTGCCCAGGTGGGCCGCCGAAGCTTGGCCGGCATACAATTTCCTGGAGCCAACAGGGAGTTGAGAAGTGAGATAGAAACTAACGTACCCGACCATTGCTGGAAGAACATGATGGTGCCTCCTATAGCTACACGTTTGAACGAGTCCTTGTTCCGGAATATGTTGCTGTACTGAGCTAGCTCTCGAAGAAGTCTGTTGCCTCTTGCTTTGACTGCGAGGGTGGGAGATCTTCTCTCAAAAACCCTCTTTTCAAATTCACTCTCGGCTTTGATCTCCAGGTACTCGATTCGAATGAGCGGGTCATTCAGGGGCAATCTTCTCAGGCGGCTCAACGTCTGCAGCGCCTCTTCGTCTCGGCCGTGATTGACTAGTAGGCGAGGGGAAAAAGGAAGACACCAAACCCCGACAGCAAGTATGACTGCTGGTATGCCCTGGATAATGAGTGGCAAGCGCCAGGCGAGCTCTTTCTGGCTGTCGCCGGTGCCACCAATGTAGTTGGTGCCGTAACCTACCCAGTAGGCCCCCATAATTCCCAAGGTGGTGGCAAGTTGTTGCATTGAGATGATCATGCCGCGGATTTCGGGTGGAGCAAGTTCGGCGTTGTACAACGGTCTGCAAGAGTAGCCAGTGGATTAGCGATTGAACTTCGAGAGACGTTGTCCGCCGAATCTTGTACTCACCCGGTCGCGGACAAGGTTCCAACCCCAATTCCCGTCAAAAAGCGTCCCGCATACATGTAAACCTCTGTATGGGCGCCTGCTGTGAGATAGGAACCCAAGATCACCCAGAGAGCGCCGCCAAATATGGTGTGCTTGCGCGAAAATATCTCGCACAAGATGCCTGCGGAAAGCGCTCCCGCCCAGCCTCCAAGTTGTAGAATCGACGTCAGCCATCCTTTGGCGTTTGAGTCCGATGCAATATGAGGGAATTGTCTCTGAAAAGCAGGCATGACCAATGCTTGGCCCAGGACGCCCTGCTGGTAGCCATAGAGCAGACCACCCTTCATGCACGGGGGAGCCTGTCAGCAATCGGAGATGCCGGAAACATAGGTTAGCTTGGTCGAGACTTACAAACGAGGCAAACAGGGCGATCGAAAGGACGTGAAGGTTTGACCACAGCACCTTCAGGCCAGACTTATTACCGGAAGCCTGCTGTCTCAAAACCGCAGCTGTCCCAAGAGCGCTCGCATCTTCTATGTTAACCATGCTGCTTTTGCCAATCTATATTGTGATCGGACCGGATCGAAGGGGACTAAGGCTCATACATAGACTTGCGCCGGAGAAAAGGAGTGTCAATTAGCTTCTAAAAAAGCGGATTGAAGGAACGCTGCAGACATATTCCCTTTTAAAAGACGGAAACTGGCCCCCGGGCCCTTAGAGACCAGGTCAGGTCATGCGCCTCTCTCCTCCCTCTTACCCCAGAAAATCATCCCCAGATTTACGACTTTCTGGGCCCTCCCTCCCCTCTCAAAATGTGTCAAATGTGACATGCGAGTGCCGTGGTTCCATTAGTAGGATGTGATGCGAACAGGGAATCAAGATGTCCTGGCCGACTCGCGGCGGATCGGAAAGTAACCGCTTTTGGCTAGCCCCCGAATGAGAAAGATCCCGCGATGTCACGCCTAGCTGAGGTCGGCACTCATCCCGCTGTCTCTTCGCGATGACGTCCGAGTCTTCGTTTAGTGGTCAACAGCCTCCGATGTCCACGGCTCCGCCCGTGTCACTAATTCACGTCGCCGCAGGAGCCGCACAGACTAAACGGTCACCTCCAACAAACCATTATCATCCTGGAGAGCCGTGTCCCCCCATGCAGACCGGGTATTACAACCAGTCCGGCCCCCTGAGAAACACACAGCTCAAATTTACACCAATCTCACTATGTCTGTGCCGCAGAAACTCGGAGTAGGCGTCATTGGCGCCGGAGTAAGTACAGCTGCCCCTCAATGCTCCCATTGACTGACAGTGCCCACGCGCAGGAAGTTTTTCAAGTTTGCCATGGCCCCTGCCTGCTCCTCCTCTCCCATCTTTTCAAGATCGAGTCCATTTGCGATGTCTCGCCCACTCACAACGACCACTGCGCCACCAAGTTTTCTATTCCTCACAAGACAATGAAGCCCGAGGAGACTATCGACCACCCCAAGGTGGATGTGGTCTTCATACTGACGTCCGATGAGACCCACGCGGCGTTGGCAATCCGGAGTCTCCAGGCCGGTAAGCACGTGTTTGTTGAGAAACCTGTGAGCCTGTCGATTCCCTCGGTTCAGCGGATCATCGAGGCCGAAAAAGAGGCCAAGGGCGGTGCCCGAGTTTTTGTTGGATACATGCGTCGCTACGCACCTAGCTATGTTCAGGCTTTTAAGCGTGAAGTGGCATCAATGCCCAAGATCTTGTACGCGCGGGTACGTGATTTCAGTGGGCCGAACGCTCAATTTGTGAACCAGAGTGGAACTTTCCAGGTCAAAGGCACCGACTTCCCTGCCAGTGCTGCCCAAGAGCGCAATGAGAAGCTCCAGAAGCTGTTCGAAGAAGCCTTTCCCCAGCAGGAGATCACAGACAACAAGAAGAAGGCGTGTCGATTCCTTGGGAGCTTGGGCTCACATGACATCTCTTTGATGCGTGAGACCCTGGGATTTCCCGAGAGAATATTGACATTCACGGCCAATGACCCTTTCTACAACGCCATTTTGCAATTCCGAAACTCGGACGGGTCGTCTTACTCTGTCACCTATGAGAGCGGCATTGACGAGGTTCCTGTCTTTGATGCTCATCTGAGCGTTTACGGGGCGCGGAAGAGGGTCACAATCAAGGTCAGTCTCTGCAACATGAACAAACAGCAGCATCGGAGGGAGCTCACTAGGCTAATCCGTGTCACTCACATAGTACGATAGCCCGTATGTCAAAGCTCTGCCAATCGTGGTCGAGGTGGAGGAGGTCAACGAACATGGGGAAATCCAAAGGAGGTCCATGGTCTCGTCTTACGAAGATACGTACACGGCGGAACTGCAGCAACTCCATGAGTGTCTGGTCAGTGGTGCAGAGATCAAAACAACAGTGGAAGACGCGATCAAGGACGTCCAGATCTACGACATGATGTACAAGGCTTGGCAAGCGTAGAAGTCAACATTGAATGGGATGGCCTGATGGGCTTGGATTCGCCGACGAGGTGATAGTCGTCTAGGTGTTTATAGCTATAGAACATCTTTGGACCTTGGATAATTCCGCTGTGACTCCAAAATGCCTCTTGGTGCCCCGTCTTCACATCAATCTTCGGAAGTCTCAAGCCGGACGTTATTACCGAGGAAATGCGCAAGCCGGCTTACTTGAACAAATTCTCGACCTGCTGGGCACGGCACGGGCGCACCGTCTGAGCCACCTAATTGACACCTATGTAGATTTCATTGGGGGCCCTAAAGGAAATTTGATGATGAGAATCACCCGTAGTATTGATGTGTATGTAGAGACGTTCCCAGCCAAAATGCTTACAAAAAATCTCTTATGACACTCGGCCCACACCGGGGCGTTCTTTCACACACCACACCCTTTTGCGGTCGACCGGCGCTAAGTCAGCAAGGAGAGCACTCACGTACTTCAGTATATTTGCAACGCAGTCCCCTGCCCTGCTCACCCTAACCCATGACTGTAACAACAATTTGACTTGGCTGGCCGTGACACACGTCCTTAGTCTCAAATCAGCATCACTTTCCGTGCCCTCCCCTTCTGGAAGAAGCACGCAGTGCTCTAGGCCTAGGCACTTGCGGGACATGCAGGGCATTCTGTCATTTGTTAGTGACGAAAGCGCCACCAAACGGCGCAAGGCGTTGCGTGCGTGCCAAAAATGCAAGGAATCCAAGGTATGCGTGCACCTCATCGCAAATGCTTCACCACTCCTCCGCCGTAGTTGGACCTCAATAACACGATCGCCTAGAAACGATGCACGGTGATCGAGGGGTCTTCTCGCTGTAGAAGATGTGCCGAAGATGGATGGACGTGCTCCTTCACGGGTGTCGAGATGCAGGGCCCAATGGAGACCGAGCAGAATGGCCATGCAAGCTGCGAGCATGCCAACACTGCCACTAGCGATAATAGCAACACAGTCGACGGGTCGCCAATTTCAGTGCGACCACCGCACAGATCGCCTGATGCCTGTCTCCCAAACCCTTCCATACCTTCGCTCGCATCAAGTCTTCCACGGATTCGACCGCCTCTCTTGGACGATGAAGGCGCCGAAGGACTGGGACTGCCACAGGCCAGAGCAACTACCACACAATCAGCTCAAACGAGTTCATCCGTGTCGTCTTCACGGGTTGGCCAGAACACGGACGAATATGTATCCTCAATTTCTAAGGGCGATGGGCCGAGAAGTGAGTTGCGATATGCGACCATGCTGAGCCTTTTGGACAGGAGGGAAGCTGGCCAAACGCCTAAAGGCCATTCGACCAAACTCATCGCGGGCACAAATCCACTGTCTGCTCTTCTTGGCAAAGATCTCAAACACAAGATCGTCACCAACAGTTGCTCCTTCCGCACTCCTGATCCACCGCACACCGCCGGGCTCCCGGCTCTGATGCGGGGGTCGGGAATTCACAGCTGCGATTGGGAACAATGCTATCGAAGCATGGGGTTGCCCGAAGCCCGCCTGCAGTATCTCAAGGCAATCAATTGCTTCACGCTACCCAGTCCATCGCGATGCGCTGGGCTCCTTGAAATCTTCTTCTCTTATGTACATCCCATGGTGCCCATCATTGACCGAAAGGACTTTCTTTCCCGCTACTACGGAGGAGACGTGCCTCCGTCCCTAGTCATCCTTCATGCCGTTTTTCTCTCGGCATCGCGGTATGCATACGATAGCGGACACCCCAATGACGGTGTCTCAGAAGTACGAAGCATGTGCGACGAGCTTCATAACAAGGTGAAGGCTCTAATCGAAGCAGAGATAACGTCCGACAGGATCGCGGCAACTCAAGCCAGCATTTTAGCGAGTCTGCACTGGGAGGGCCGCGAAGGCCTGAACTCAGCGATTGACAATCTGAGTATTGCCGTTCGAGCTTGTCAGGAAATGGGACTCCATCGAAAGCAGCAGGTCAACAATCACTCACCCAAGGGACAGCAATCGCTCCAGCGCCGTCTATGGTGGTGTTTATACGCGATGGACCGTCTTAACGCTGCCCAGGAAGGCACTCCTTTTCTTATCAACGAGCTGGAGTGCGATGTAGACCTGTTGACCTCTAAGGATGTCGCTGACGAGGACCAGCTAACACAGTCAGTTGCTGTTTTGAATATTTCCCTCTCTCGCCTTGTGGAGGACGCTGTCAGAAGCTTGTACATGCCTGGCGAAGATCACACAACATTGTTCTCATCCAGGGGCGCCTTGTTACGACAAAGGCTAGATCTTCAGCTCGAACAGCTCGCGCAACTGATCACGCGCAAGCTATTGTCGGGCGGTAACCCCTCTGGAGGCTCGTCAAGTACCCAGCCAGACAGATATTCGCTATTCGGCTCAATCCTCTTAACTCAGTGAGTCTTTCTTGTGAACAACGATGCAGACATTTCGACCACTAACGTCAGATGGCGGATGATAGCCTAGATGCGGTGCGAATCCTTGTACATCGTCCTTTCCTACTTTACCCTGAGCCACAGAGCCTTGGTATTTATGCATCAAGGGATGCCTGCCGTGTGCACGCACTGGCCATTCTGTCGCGTCTGCAGTCTCTTCATCTTCATGGCCAACTTCGGTACTCGTGGCCGTTCACAGTCTACGCGGTGGTAAACAGCCTTCTCATATTTTGGTATGATATCTCTGCGCCATCGTCGCAAGATCTAGCAGCACTATCCGCAGCACGGCAGCACTATGCATCCGTCGTCCAGCTTCTACGCCATATGGGCTCTACTTGGTGGGCCGCATCAGCCAAATATCGGCTTGCGCAAGCTCTGGCGCGGGCTGCTGACGAATTGCATCTCAAAAACACGCGAGATCACACGGCCATGCCGGCTACGATACCGAGTGACAGAGACAGCCTACGCGTGGCGCAGGGGCACCCACTGACGCCTGCTTCAGCTTCCCAGGATCAGTCGTACTACGGTGCCGGAGAATGGCCAGATATGGACATCTTTGCAGACTGTGACATGAATGACTACTGGGCATCTATTGGTCTGGACTTTGACCTAGATGTCGCGTGTAACGTCTTCAGTATATCGGATTTCCCAGGACCATAGCGTAATGTTGCTGATTTCATGACGGAACTTCGACGATCTAGTGCTAGCTAGCTATATCACTTTATCCTTCCACTATGTGACTAGCTCACGTCTATTTATTTACGGAACATCATTTCAGGTTTTCAGAAATTGGTTCGAGTCGATGCTGATAGTCTTGCCTGTTTCCGAGCTCTCTCGGGCAAGCTCGACTAATCGTATGACATTACGCGCCTCCCGTGCATCGACTGGCACTGGGTTCTTGCCCTCCAAGGCCCCTAGGAGGATGGTGTAGAACGCGCCGTAGGTTGGCGGCGGGTCATTCTCCAGTGTAAACGCCTGAAGTTTTCCATCTTGCTCGACCGTGAGTACTCCTAGTGATGGGTTAGCGCCACGAGCCCTTGGCGGAATGAATTCGTTGGCCGGCCTACCGGCTTGAGTTGTCTGCTCTACGCCGAAGGAGGGATCTCCTGGCTTGATACCACTGACCAACTGAGGCTCTTGTGGGTCGAAATGGTACTTGGGAAAGATCAGTATAACATTCCTTTGTGTTGGAATTGCGCAGGGCGAACAGCCGTTCCTTTGATTTAGGGTATTCCAACTCACTTTCTTGTAACTTCCCTTGCTTCCTCGGACCCAAAACCGCAGCTGAACCTCATCGCAGGTCATAGGACTGGCCTTTACGGTCGCAAGAAGGCCTGAGCCATAATGCAGCAATACCGAGCATGCATCAAATGGCCCTCCGGAGTCAGATCTCTCTCGCTGCCTGCCAAGAAAACCCGTGACTCCTGTAGGCGGACCATAGATGTCCAATATTTGATCGAAGAGGTGAGTGCCGAGGTCGTAAATGACGCCAGAGCCAGGGCTGTCTACCAAGTCGCGAGGCGGGACAACTGGATCGTAGCGGTCAAAGTGTGATTCGAATTCGACAACACGGCCAAGCTGATTTTCGGCCAAAATTCTCTTGAGGGTGACAAAGTCGGCGTCCCAACGACGATTTTGGAAGACGGTCAAGATTTTCCCCTTGTCCTTGGCGAGGGCGATCAAACAGTCACATTCTGTGCTGGAGGGACAGAATGGCTTCTCGACAACCACTGGAGATTAACATTGATTCATCAGCACACATCTTCTGTTCACCCTGGAAAATACACTTACCGTGCTTGCTGGCCTTGAGAGCCGCCGCCACCAACTCAAAGTGTGTGGCCGGAGGCGTAGAGACGACAACTATGTCGACTCTCTCATCTGCCAGGATCTCTGCCGGCGAGCTGTATATGGTAGCTTCCGGGTGCTGCTCTCGCGCCTCGTTGCCGGAGCGCTGCACGATAGCGCGAAGCTCGAATCCCGGAGTCGACTGGATGTATGGAATTTGGAAAATCTTGGCAGAGAGGCCGTAGCCAATGATGCCGACTTGATACTGCCTCGACATGGTAATGAGCGGTATGACATGTATATTCTTCGGGAAAATTGAAGGAATGAGGATCGGATAGGCAACACCAGAAATCCTTGACTTCGAAAGCAGGTGCTGCAATAAACATTGTTCAACCGTGAAGTATCCGATATAGGCCCCATACCGGGTGGGTAATGCTGCGTTCTTTCGCGATTGAGTATCGGAACAAGCCTCGAAAAAGCTAGCTTCCGACGGTTGTAAGTGTCCCCACGTTCTCCATGTTTTTATCAGGCTCCGCCCTGCACCCCAGAGTGTCTCCGCAATTCCATACTTGAGATCCCACGTCTTGCTTGGGTTCTTGGTTCACACAGCACGGCTTAAAATAAGCAAAAGCCGTATTGATGAAACAGCTACAGAGATCCAGGACGTTGGAAAACATTAAGATAGTTAGCCTATCCGCGCAATACAAAAAATAGTTTATGTCTTCTGCCAGCTTCTTGTAGTTCGATCCAGTGTTTTGATGTCCATCTGAGCGGCGCGGAGACCAGTTTGACTGCGACATGAATGTAGTACTGCGATACTTCACGAACGTACAGCTCAACTGCCGGTCACAAACTCCGGAATATCACCTGCCCCAGATGTGCCATTTGGGTTGCAATAAAAACGTCGGCTACTAACTGCAAACGATTCAGATCCCTCGCACATAACATACTTGCAGCTTGCGGGGAAGGATGCGCAGTGTCATCTGTGCGCAAGGTTTTGGCAGGTCGAATCCGTAGCGACAACCGGCTGTGAGAGTCTTCGTTAATATGAAGGCCTGAGACGTCCGGCCTGAGACGTCCAAGGACTATCGCTGCAGTAAATTGCGACCACTTCCTTTGATGATTTGGTCATTGCGATTCGTTACTGCGAGAAATTGACTCAAGATTTTACCATTCCATTAAGAATCAGGCCAAAACCTACCATGAAATTGTCGTACAGTTTATTTCTGTTGTGGACTCTGGTGGCTCTAGGCCAGGGAGACTATCAAATTGTCGACCCAAATCTCTTCTTCCCCCGGGAGCCAGTCACACCTTACTCCTTCCCTAGTCCCAACGCGACTGGGATGGGCGGGTGGGATGTTGCCATTGCAAGAGCGAGGCGATTTGTTACTGAGCTGACGATCGAAGAAAAAGTTTCCATTTGCACCGGCAATGGGTTCCCGTGAGTGACGGCTGCAATATTTTTTCTTTTCCCTATGAGACCATCAAGGGGCCTGAACTTCTGAAACTTATCAGCGCGAGGATAAATAACAAAGTCTGTAGCCCCACCGCATCGATACCTCACCTCTCCTGCCAGGGAGGTATCTCCCCCATAGAAAGGGTTAACTTCACTGGACTTTGCTACGTGGACAGTGATACAGGTGAAGAGACTCTAATGATCAGCAGCCTTGTACGTTGTGCTCACGGTCTCTAGGAATCGGAAACGCTCATAGCTACGGCACTGGATTTCCCGCCGGTGTGACCGCTGCATCGACCTGGAATCGCGAGCTCATCCGGGCCCGCGCCTATGCGATCGCCACGGAGTTCAAAGCTAAAGGGATACACGCAGTTCTTGGACCTGTCCTAGCTCTGGCCAGGTTTCCTGGCGGTGGCACAAACTTTGAAGGCTTCGGGGCTGATCCCTTTCTTATCGGCGTGGCGGGATATGAGACAGTCATTGGGCACCAGGGAGCTGGAGTGCAAGCTGAAGCGAAGCAGTTTCTCGGATATGATGGCCAGCAGTACAATCGCACGTACTATTCCAGTAACATCGACGACAAGACGCTGCACGAAGTAGAGGTCTGGCCCTACGCCGAGGCGGTGCGAGCTGGAACAGCATGCGTCATGACGAGCTACCCCTATGTCAACAACTCCCAAGCTTCTCAGAATGCACACCTCATAAACGATATTCTCAAGACTCATCTAGGATTTCAAGGCTATACACAAAGCGATTGGTTTGCCCTCAAGTCTGGTGTTTCAGCCATACTGGCCGGCTTGGATCAAGACATGCCAGGCACAGCTGTCTCCGACACCGACACCACATGGTCTTATTATGGGAAAAATTACACCACTGCGGTCATCAACGGTTCAGTGCCAGTGGGGCGTCTGACAGATGCGGCGACACGCATCTTGACTCCATATTTTTGGCTGGGACAGGACCGCAACTATCCATCGATTAACTTGGAGGACGATCCCCGCAGAACCATTACAAATGCTCAGCGCCAGAGACATCGTGCGATTGCGCGTGAGGTTGCTGCCGCAGGGATGGTTCTTCTGAAGAATACTGCTGGTAGAAAGGGCCTGCCTCTGGCAAGACCCACCACAATCGCGCTTTTTGGCCCGGCAGCAGGACAAAACCCTTACGGGCCCAATCAATACGGGTATGGTCCCCGCGCCGACCCTGCGGACTTCGAAATACCTTTAGGATACGGATCGACGCCGTTGACGATGGGGATTGCTCAGGGTACTCTAGCCGGGGGTGGTGGCTCTGGTACTACATTTTGTCAGTGTGGCGTGCTATTTCTCAAAGGCCTGGTCTAACAAAATGTCACAGATCCTAGACTAGAGGATCCAATCAGCGCGATACAAGAGCGTGCCAGTAAAGATCTGACGTTGGTAGACTGGTCGACTACGACGAACTTAAATATGGCCTCTTTCGTGGCAAAGCGGGCAACCGTATGTCTCCCTATCGTATCATCCTTCTCCGGCGAGGGCACCGATCGAAATTTGAGCCTTCTTCAAAACGGCGACGACTTGATAAGAACCGTGGCAAACGGCTGTGACAACACCATACCCGTTATTCAGTCTGTAGGCCAAGTGAACCTGGAGGCAAGTAGCTTCTTGTCTGTCTAGAGTCATTGTCAGACCAGAACACGATTTACTGTCTAGCCTTGATTCACCCACTTACAATCAAGCTCATGGACTGACTTCCTACCCTAGGCCTGGATCGATCACCCGAACGTGACAGCAGTCGTCTGGGCCAATTTGGGTGGTCAGGAACTTGGCCCTGCCTTGGTTGATATTCTGTATGGAGCTGTGAACCCTTCGGGACGGCTGGTCTACACGATTGCAAGGAACGACTCGGACTACGCGCAACCTCACACCGTCACTACGCCTCAGCCATATCCGCAGCTAAATTATACTGAGGGCGTGTCCGTCGACTACCGCGGCTTTGAGAAGAACAATAAAACGCCAAGGTACTGGTTTGGGCATGGCTTGTCTTATTCCAACTTTACCTACAGTGGCCTCTTGATACTGGCACAAGCGGGCCTCTCGGAATCGCTTAGACAACCTATTGACTACGTCGCCGATGCACCTGGTGGAGACAGCAGACTCTACGATGTCGCAATCGTAGTTGAGTTTCAGCTGCGCAATGAAGGACCTTGGGACGGCACTGAGATTCCCCAGCTATACCTTGAGATGCCTCCGAAGGCCGGCAACCCGACGAAGGTACTTCGAGGATTCGAAAATGTTCACATTCGTGATGGCGAAACAAAACCCGTCAAAATTTTCCTGACACGTAAGGACATTAGCTATTGGGATGTTGTGGAACAGACGTGGGTTGTGGCTAGTGGTAGTTTCACTGTTTTCGTTGGAGCCTCGTCAAACGATATTCGTCTAACGGATGACTTTTCCATTTAAGGGTCGATTTGATAGTTTTTAAAAAAAGGTTTCAGAGGCATAAGTAGCTTTGGTCTAAAAATCAGTCAATGTTGAATTGGTGCTATGTTTGGTTGAGAGGGGAGGCTAGTCGAGGGCAGCACGGCCTAAAAGCAAAGGGTTGATGGAACATCTGGTGTCGCTGCAATTCTTTGGCAGTCGGTGTTGCAAATGCGAGTGACTCTATGTAACAAGCAGCACACTTTGCAGGTGGCTGTGGAGTGAGCAATATACACATAGCCAGTCCCTTTGGGCGGCTCATGGCCCCTGACTACTGTAGGTGCCTGTTCGGGCTAGGGCCGTGCCGTCTGCGCGTGGAGCTTGGGTGAACCAGGCAGGACCCTGGTTTGAAACGCTTGGGCGCGCATTCTCTGTGCCTGTGCCTGTGCCGGTGCGTGTGCCAGAGCAATGAAACCTGGGGCCACGACTCACTCTGGATAGATTCCTTTCACGGCAACTGCACAAGGAAGTCTTGAACATCCGCAGTACTTCTTCTCCATCACTTGCTGTCGCTGTTTGGGCTTCAAGGCTCGCAGCAGAGACCGTGTTGACGAAGGCGCCCTAACCCTGAAATTGCCCCAGGCCGTTTGGAACGTGTCCTTATTTTCCCAGACCGGTTGGTTGACCTCTGTGGAACTCGCCTCACCTGTCAACCAGCAGGTACACACACACATACATACATACATACATACTCACACACATACACAAACACCCTCACTCACTCAATCACATATATACGCGAAATCCTATGCTGGTCTACGACACATCGCCGCCCACACCAGCCGTGTGGTGACCCTGAACCACCATGGGCCCCCTCATGCAGACCGCCATCCGGGCACTCTTCCTCAAAGCCGGCGCCAACATTACTGCCCAGCTGGCCTCACGCTGGCACACCCAGGACCCTATTCCCCAGCCCATCGACCGCCAGCGTATCCTTGAGTTTGCCATCTACGGCTTTTTCCAGGCACAGCTCGGTTACTGCTGGCACGTCTTCCTCGAGCGGCTCTTCCCAAGCCGCCACTCTCTCCCAGCCGAGTCGCCTGCACCTCCCAAACCCGAGAAAAAGGACGATGATGAGGAGCGTCGCATGAGCACAGAGGGCACCTCTGCAAAGTTCTTAGAATCCCTGCGGACCACAGGCACAGGCGTTAGATGGCCATGCATCATAGCAAAACTGGTGCTCGACCAGACAATCGGCATGGTCACCTTTCTCACCATCTTCATCGTCTGGACCAACTGGTTCCGCGTCGACACCTTTGCCGAAATAGCAGCCATATGGAGGTCCAAGATATTCGTGATCCTGTCCACCGGATGGATGATCTGGCCATGGGTCATGCTGCTCAACTTCGTCTTTGTCCCGGTAGAGAAACGGCAGCTCGTGTCTGTCTGCGTTGGGTTTTGCTGGAATGTCATACTGAGTCTCCTTACCCACCCTGATCCGCCTCACTCGCACCACTGAAGTACGAGGCAGGCACAAGGGTGAAATTGTCGTATATTTAAACCTAAACGCAGCAATAGAAGCTGCTGTCCATCTCGCCCAAGATCCCCAGTGGCAGAGACAGAGTGAGTCATATGCTCAATCCCTCCTAAGGGCTCTGTCAGCCAAAAGTCACCTTGATATTGTTTCAGAGTGATGGCCCCTTGATCTCGGGGCTGCGCCGACGACCTCATACTTCTCAACGACTCGTTCAGACCGGAATCTCCTGCAGCCTCAGGACTTGTCTACTTGTCTTAGGACGCCGAGTGTACGGCCCTTTGCTGAGTCAGAGGGCTCTCTTTACGTTACGGTGTCCTCGAGCTCGTCGGTCGAATTTGAAGAAGATCGCGAATTGGAGCCTAATGAGTAGGATACAAGAGTCTCGGGGCTTGATCCTAGGCATTATGTTGTCAACGCCATAGCAGTGTCGTCTATACAATAAAGACCGACTCAAGAGGTCTGCAAGCCACGCAGGGAACGCGATCGTACGATGTCACCAAAGGTGTTAGGTTGGCTGTGGCTTTCACCTGTTGACCGTGAAATTGTTTGGGGGGCATATCTTCCAAATCGACTGACTCATGTTGAATTTGAGTCGACTCATTTGGACGGCTGAGTTGGAAACCAAGAAAAGCGTGGACAGATGATGCTGCACTCCTGCTGTTCATGGTCAGTCACACGGGCGATACGACGGGATGCATGTATTACATGCTGGCACGACGGTCATGAGAGTCCGAAATTTGGAAATGATGGCTCAGAATCACTCAGCCCAGAAGTGCTGCAAATATGGCCCTGTGTGTGCAATCAGGGCCGCCCGGTAACAACGGACAACAGACCTTTCAGCATAAGTCACTGCATGAGATAGAGTAATTGACTTCTACAGTAGAATGACATTTGGTATAATGCGACCGGCCTAGTCAATGGCTAATATCACAGCGTTGTGCAAGCCAGATATTCAAAAGGACATGCTTGATGAGCTTAGAAGTGGCAATGTTGAAGAGGGCTGCCGCGCCTTGCTTGATCATTGATGTTAGGCAGGACCTCCAACGATGCCAATGTTGTACTCGCAACCCAAAGTAGTAAGATCCTCAGCGATATATATCAGCATGGCTTATCCGCCAATCATGACATAGTGAGACCATCGAGTGCAGGACATCGGGGTCAGTGGATGCATGTCTTACATATGATAGATATCGAAACTCTGGCCCGGCAGCCCCTCAATCCACCTCATTCATGGGACCAAACACTCAAATCTACTTGCTGCTTTCAACTTCAGAAGCCTTCCAGAACCACTTCGACAAACTTTGCGGCGACTATACTTGGACAGCAATCATGGCGTCCAACGAGAAGCATGATCTGGTTCAAGTTGGCATTGCCAATGAGACGAGTACCTCCGCAATTTCGCCTGACATCCAGCAGGACCAGTCCCTTCTAGAGAAGCAGACCCGTACTCTTCGACTTTTCTCAAAGTCACAACTTTTCGCTTTTTCCCTCGTTTACCTGGGAACTGGGTACTATGTCGCAGGGTCAGTTGTCTGCCATGTCCCGGCCTTTGCTCCCCCCCCCCCCGGGGCCAATCTATGCTTATCCACAGTAAACCAAGATTTTGTTCTCGCTGACACCTTGATAGGAATATGTATTTCGCTCTCGCCAATGGTGGCCCTGCAGCCTGGGTCTTCAGTTACCTTGTTGTCGCGGCCGGTGTGCTCTGCCAAGTGGCCGCTTTTAGCGAGATGGCCTCGATCCAACCTATCGCGGGCGCCCAGTACTATTGGACGTGGCATTTTGCACCCCAAAGCCTTAAGCGCTTCCTCACGTGGATTCAAGGGTGGTCCACGTGGGCAGGATATATCGCTTTATTAGCGAGCTGCCTGAACGGCAACACGGTCATTTTAGAAGGACTCATTCAACTGGCTCACCCGGAATACAAGACTGGTGGCTGGCACACTGCACTTATAATGATTGCAACGGTGGCTTTTTGCGCTATCATAAACATGTACGCATTCTGGCTCGTTCCGTGGTTCGAGCTATTGACTGGCTTTCTCAACGTCTGCATGGTCACTGCTCTTTTTATTGTCCTCTGGGCCATGGCTCCCCGGAACAGCGCCGACATATTCATGCAGACCAATGTGTCTTCAGGATGGGGCAATTACTTCGTCTCTGCTAACCTCGGCGCTTTGTCTAATATCTACCTCTTCATTTGTAAGTAGCATTGATCCTGTTGGCGGATGTTTGACTGAAAACGGAGCCACAGCCTTCGAAAGCGTTGTTCACATGGGCGAAGAGACACAAAATGCCAAATCTGCTGTGCCTTTCGCTTTGTTTTGGTCTACAGTAACCAATGCTTTTATGGGCCTCGTCATGATCATAACGTTCGCTGTGAGTATAAAAGACAATCAGATGCATTGATGGCGTCGGGTGCAAAATATTACTCCGTATACACAAAACACGTTCTTACCCCTGACTTCCACAGATGGGAATGCCATCCCTCGATGTTCTGCTAGACTCGGCCAGCCCTATTGTTACTACTTTGCTATACGCCACGGCCTCAACAAAAGCCACGATAGTTATCATCAGTGGGTTAGTTGTGCTTGGAATTTCTGGAACCATGGGCGTAGTCTCATCTGTCTCTCGCTTAACATGGGCTTGGGCAAGAGACGGTGGTCTGCCTCAGTACTTTGGTCATGTTGATGCGGTTCAACGAGTGCCTCTGCGGGCCGTGGTGCTGGCAACAATCATTGCATCTCTACTATCTCTTCTCAACATTGGGAGCAGCACATACATTGCTTTCAGCGCTATCATATCGCTATCAAGTCTCGCCGTCTATCTGAGCTATGCTATTGTCCTGGCTTGCCTTCTTTATGCCCGGCTTAATGGCGGATTTAAGCCTGGACCCTGGAACCTTGGCCGGGCTGGCTCAATTGTCAACATGCTCGGGCTGGTCTATACGGTCTACATTATGGTCTGGCTACCATTTCCTAATTACCTTCCGGTCACGGCTGCCAATATGAATTATTGCGGTCCAGTGTTTGGTTTGATAATAATAGGTGTTGTTAGTCTGTGGTTCATCCGCGGAAGGGAACATTGGAAGGGTCCGAACCGCGCAGTGGTCGAGATTGTGCTAGGAGAGGAAGATTAGAGTGATGAGGCGGACGATATAAATGAATGAATGAATGAGGAATTCACTGGGATTCAAAAGGTGCAAAGGCGAAACAGACTTGCAAGTCATAAGCCCGTCAGGCTGCCATTGGGCTCGTATTCATCAATCATATCATCCGCCATGATCATCATAAGTCCTGCGATACAATTATGTTTATTCGATGATTTGCGTGTAAAGTAGCTATTTGAACTGATCTCAGCAAGAAGATACATCCGCTTGGGCCATGTCATTCGATGGACATGCAAAAAAAGTTCTGGACGAGGAGCTGGACCATCTGCAGCGGATCCTGAGGTATGTAATGCCAACTACGAAGCATTCGATTCGTTCTCACATTGGCTGGAAGCTTCCAGTCCAACTCTATCTTGGAAACATGGGGTACAGGCAATTTATTAATAGGTGCCATCCTCATTCCCGTCCAAGCTCATGGATAACCATTTGGAGATGCCGTCGCCACCAGTGCTGCCGAGTACTTAAGTATCCATAGTCAGAATGCGTGAGCTTGTAGTCGCCTTCGCAGTGAATGCAGACCACATTAAGGATCCATGCGCTTCACAACATTGTAGTACACTTTTGCCATTCGCCTGCACCACTTCCGAGTTACTGTGTGGGTGCCGCATTCATGCTCGAGACTACCGCATGGGGCTGAGTGATTAGGTTCTACTGCATATGTAGGCTGATTTTGGAGGCGTACAATCACTTACTCTTCCAAGAATTGATCATCAATGCGACGCTTCGTGGTTTTATTTAACCTTTCCTGGATGCGATAATTGCGAAGGCCGAAATCGTGACGATGGCAAGCAGGCAAGAAGTCCCATCTCCAGATTTCGTCGGGTGCCTTTGTGCACCCGTCTGATGACTAGTCAAGGTTGGGAGGATGGCGCGAATTGCGTTTGGCTGTGAAACTCTCGATGCTGAGTTGGAACAGGTACTTGTCGGTGGTTTCGGTAATGTTGTTAGGATCGAGGTAGTCATAGCTGGCGATACTGGCATGGCGTTCCCTAAGTGCTTTTTGGACGTCCATGGGAATCTGATCGTCGCGTGGCTCAGTATAGCGGATAGGCTTCTGTGAAGAGAGCATATTTGAGACAAAGAGAGTCGTATGATCAAGGCCCAGAGTATCGATGGTGATGGCTGAGGCCGTCGCCAGTGACATGACCAAGAGACCGAAAACGGATGCCATCATTCTGAAATTGCAGTTGGAAGGCAGAAAGAGGACTTCCCAGTCAGTCTTGAAGTCCGGACAGTTAAGAGATGCTCGTCACAGAAGATAATCAGGGGGCAACCAATGCTGGAGCAGGCGTATATGAAGGCGAAAAAGGGGTTGTAGAGTCTCTGGGGATGAGATGCTTGGTCACTGGACTCGCAACAGACGGGAGGCAACTAAACAAGCGCGGATCTTGAGGGTTTCGGAATGATGCAGCAGTGGTGTCAACTCCGCCCTGCATATAAAATGTCTGCATTGTATGAGAAGGCACGATTTGAGACACTTGAATGCACCCGACTGTTTCTCAACAGCCTGCGCGATGCAAGCTTGTGCAATGCCAGTGCGGCCAGTGAGCAAGACTGAACGGAGACATGCGATGGGGTGATGGTAATATTATGTATCAGATTCCAAATGCCTTGAGCACAGCCAGACTCACAACTGGGTATCCCATTATCTTGTCATGCACCCCATACTGGGTGATGTGCTCTCTGATGACGCCCTTCCCAGTCTCCCGAGTGACAGACCAGCCTCCAGCATCCGTGTGCACCTTCGCGACTTCTTTCTGCTTATTGAGCTCTTCGAAGCTGATACCGACGGGCAAGGACGCGTTCACGGCGTGCCAAAATAACTGTTCACTATGGGACCACGGTATATCGAGATCATCTTCCGCGTGAATGATGGATATGTGGTACGCGCTCGATCCGTCCGGCATGCTACCATATCGTCGTACAATTTCAGCGATTCTCTCCTTGGTCGGCCATTTATCCAGAATGAACGTGTTAAGGAAGTCATGGACGAGAGGAAAGCGTGCAATCGGATCGAGAAGAGGGACTTTGCCTGCAACACGGTAGGTAGCTGTGAGGGAAGTCACATCCGCAAATGGCGCCACAAGGAGAAGCCCCGAGAACAGCACAGGCTCATCGCGGAAGGCCATACGGTGGACCAAGCTGGTGGCGACTGCGGTGCCCAGAGATTGACCCCAGATGATGATTCGGTGTGCCGGTATGCCAGCCTCGATCATGGCCCAGTCAACCAACGCAGTCGCATCCGTCAACAACCCATCTTCAGAAGGCGTCCCGGTGCTCAATCCGAAACCTCGGTAGTCCATGGCCACGATATGAATCCTTCCTGGTGCGCCGGCGGATATTGCCCGGTAGCTGGGTGGTCTGTGACCAGAGCCCAGAGTCCCTCCGGCACCGTGCAGATACAGGACCAACAACGACTCGGGATCGTCCCGCAAGAGTTCAAAAGCCAGTTTTTGCTTGACGTTGAGCGCGAGCCCTGATGGCTCCTTCAGGATTCTTTCCTCGTGTTGTCGATAGAGCCCTAGCGGTAAGATGTGCCACGCATGCAGGTTCTCTCCATCTGACGTGCTAAGAGAAAAGGGGGTGACCTGGTTGTGCAAAAAACCCCATTGTTCGGGAACGTTGAGATCCTGAGTCCCAGTTTGAGTGAAACTGTGAAGATAGATCACCTGCCTCTGAAGCGACGGAAAGGTGAGCAACGCAAGGAAGACCGTGTACAGGCCGCTTGATGCAAGAAGTGCGTAAAGCACAGATTGCAGCATGGCAACGGGGCTGGCCGAGGTTCCCCAGTTCATCTTGCTGTTCATGCGGCGGCTTGGCGTTGCAGCACGAGAGGTAGACCTGCTTTGTGGGTGATGAGAAGGCCGAAAGGACCCCTAGTGTTTGTGGGCCGAACGGCAAGGAAGCTGCTCAAAATGCTAAAAATAAATTAAGGCTAGATCTAGAAATTCCAGTTTGCTCCACTCCTCACACACGGCCACTCAACCCTAGCCCTGCGCCCATCGCATAACGTTGATGATTGATCTCAACGACGCAACACAGAGTGTCAGTAGAACTCTGGGTAATGATCACTGTCTATGTTTCGACGTTGTCCCATCGCCGCAGAGGTTTGAAGAAAGTGGTGAGACTCCAGACCTGTGCTTGCGTCGGAAGCCCTGACTCCATGCTAGCGCTACTCCATCCGAGTCGTGTACCGGCTGATTGATGTGAGTCAGTAAAGGTTGGCAGAAAATACCCTCTGTAGGTATGCTGGCTTAGGTGTTGTATCAGAAAGACCACCATGGGTGAGTCTTTGCAGGCTAGAGACACCACGTGTGCATTGAACCCCGATGTGAAAGCCGAGCCTCATAACTCCCTTGCAGCGTGGATGTAATACACTGCGAGCTCCATCCAGGCCAGGCAATCATCTAAATTCGTGAATCCAGGCGGGCGACGAGTTTCGATAGTGTCGCTATTATGAGGCCAACCGCTAATCAAGACGTTGATGTAGTTCCAGGCCATGAACTTGCACATACCGGCCAGCGGCTGCACATCTCTGCATTTGACTATCGCCCGAAAACACTTCGCCAGATCAAAGACCTCGGTCTTCGCCTCATTGATCTCGATGAATTGTCGGTTGTTGAAACGATTGTTCCTACAGAACTTGCATCGCTGACATGTCTCTGGGACAAGGACTTCTATGGTCTCTTCAAAATACAGTATAGCCTGGCATATTTCTTTCGGTTCATTACTTCCTCAGATGCCGTCGATAGGGCACAGATGGACAAATGTGGCGCAACTTCTGTTGGTGAAGAGTTCACATGCCTTTTGCATCTTGGCCGACATGTACCGGACCTCGGATTGACACGTGTTACTCCCGTTGAGTTTCATCATAGGCGACATGATCTCTACGCCATCTTTCCCTACTTACCAGCAAGCTCAAAATAAGTTAAAAAAAAATATGGTCGAGGTAAATCTTAGCTTATTGAGATACACTGGCAGATGTTTCTCTTCTCACCGCCTCCCTTGATACTCTCATCTATCGTCAATGACGGTTCTGTAACATTCTCACCTTCCTATTTGACATGGGAGTCATAATTCATTCTTGTCTAACTCTTGGGAATCCTTGTGTTGTGATTCGTCGCTAAGGATTCAGTGAGCGTGGAGGCTCTGCCCGAAGGCGGCTCGGTCCTCTGATTGAAGCGACACTTCAACCTCAGGCCCGGTATCCGGATACCACGAGGGACAAGTTTCACGTGAAATATCGCCGGGAAAGAATCCAAGCAAAGGTGTCGTGGTTGCAAAATAATGCCGAGGGTATGTCGAAAACCTTTGTAGGAACTCTCTTGTGGACCGCCCACCTGGGCAAAACACATACACTATTGGAACAAGGCTGCCGTTCTCACATCAAATGCAAAAATTCCATCGCAAAGCCCCCTGTGCTTTAGTTACTTCCCCGTATAGAAAGTCATTCAACAGGAAAGTACTGTACAAGAGGTTATCCCAGGGTAGGTTATTCCAAGGAAGGTTCTCCCATGAGAGATTATTCTACTGTTTATTATCCTATACTCCTCCCTTCATCTTTTACCTATTCATCACAGACATACTGTGGCTGCGAAGCGTACACACGGGCTTAAGCTCGTTTCATGAGTTAGGGCGTTATTTAGTAGAGAGCTTTTGTAAGATCACTGCCAGTAATCCTTCACCGATTTGATCACGGCAGAAGAGGTCTTTACTAAATATCGCAGGCTAGGTTTGTAAGTTTAGGGCACCTAGTTCCGACCTTGAGCCGACTGCCTTGTCCTTCTTAAGCCGTTTCTGATAGGCAAAGTGTTGGATATTCTTCGGCTACAATCTCCCTTGATCCTATGGATGTTCAGATTTCGCTAGATTTGAACCAATGCAAACATCGTCGTGAAGGCCTTGTACATGGTCGCTTCGCGACCTGACTCGGCGTTCTAGTGAGCGCAGAGATCTCAGCAATGCGGCTGGGGCTTGAATAGGGCCACTTTACCAACTCTGCCAGTTTGGAGCGTGTCTTGTTCAGCCCTATTTGACCGTGAAAAACTAAAAACCTGGCTCCGCCTGATTATCCTGTGAGGCTTTCAATCAAATGGTTGGTCACAAAATGGTCCAGATTGGAACGATTCGAAGGAGCAAGCTGGAGAAAGGTCTGCAGCCCGTCATGCAGACCGCAAATGGCACACATTAGTTCTCATGTCACAACACAGACTTTTGTGATTAGATTGTACCAGAGGCTGCTCATTTACTTCAGAATTTGAGGCCGAAGCCTACGTCTGCATTTTGGGACTCGCGCACATTGCACCCTTCAAGACTTTGAAATACCTCTGGCACTTATTTCAACCACCAAAAGATCCACACATGGGCCTAGGCTTGAACGGCGAGCATCGATCCGATACTTTGCCAAGTAAGCGGTTTGCTGGGATAGGCTTGCTAGCACTAAACCGAAAGCACATAGGGTTTTCTCGTCTTCAAGCTTTATGCTGAGGATTAGATTGAAACAATTCTGCATCAAACGAACATGTGTTTGCTTCAATTGCATACTTTGCAGAAGATTAAGCTTAAATCTATACTTTATATGCCGATTTCCCGTAGAGAGCGCATATGTGGATGAAACATATCTTTTGTTTACTGCTCACTTTGTCAAAATTTGGGTATTACATGTGGACTTGGTATAAGTCTGGAGATCTGGTATGCTTAGTTTGTGGAAACATGACTATATTTTACCTGGGAAGTTGTGTATGGCGTGGCCACGTACGTAGTGCGTAGGCACCGTGCCGCTAAGCCCCCCTTTTCTCGCACCGGTGGCTTAGTATGCTGTGGATCGACCAACACCAGCCTCCTGGTGATACTACCTCTTGGCAATGCGTTCAAGGCGCGCGCACTGTGAGTAGCGCCCCAAGAATAGCTTATATGACGCTGCTCAATGTCTGGGCAGAACTCCGTGGGTCATGATGCATCGTTGGAGCTCATCTGGAGCCATCCCGGGCACTGAAGTGTTTGCATCGTCATATTTTGCAATACCTAGGTACCTAGAGTGTTTCACAGGCAGTCCTGCTGGCATCCCATTGCAAACTTCCTCCCCGCATGCATGAGTGACGCGCAACTGATGCAACCCTGGAATTAGATCCGACCGTGATGATTTTGCATTTGTTTGTGGCCAATTTATATGAGGTGTTATCACGTCGGTGTGACCGGCCTTTCTGAGCGTGTCGTGGCCCAAGCCCGTCGGTGTTGCAATATGCCGACTAATTCGTTGCCTGCTCGGCCTCTTATAACATTCACACAGCAGTAACAATCGAGCCCGCAGTCGGGGGATTCATAGTTCAAATACGATTAGCGGCCATCAGCAGAAAATGAATTATACAATGAGGGCTTAGCATCACTACGAGTCTTCTTTGAGGATGAGGCTAACCGGCTATGGGTACCGTCCTGAGAACGTAATAGAGTATAATCTCCCAGCAAACAATGTCAGGGAAGAAATTCATGGAAATTGTTGCTCAACGATTGGCCATCCCCGGAAAAGCAGGGCGCAGACATCCCACGTCCCGGGGCTGACGTGTGTTGACGTCTGGCTGTAGCCAATCCCCGACGAGATTTTTCAAATCGAGACCCAAATCATCTCAATGCAGAAAGTCTCGGCGTTGGCTTGTAGGCGATCTTGTCCCGTGGGACCCGCCCGCTTCCCGTCCGCGTACGCAAGGCTTGGCGCTCGTCCTCCCCGGCCGTGACTAGGCTGGACCCTGGAAGTATGTCGACCTCGGCACGAAGCTGACTTTTTATGCCATCTTTATTGGGTGAACATGTTTGCGCGTACCGTCGAGTCGGAATTAAACATGTTTCCTCCCACAAGGCTGGTCTTTTCTTAGCAGAACCCAGCACAGCCGCCCACACTTCCCCTGAATATGCATGTTTCCGTCCTTCATGCCACACGGCCCCCCTTGTATAGCGGTCCATTCAGTCCCACAATTCTCACGAGTATCCCTCAACGCCTTGGATCTTCTCTTGGGATTGCGGAATCAGCCACGATGAGCTTGATATCATAGCCCACAGGACGCGTAACGGGGCGACGACGGAGGAGAGAATCATGTCTATAAGAAATCGCGATGGCCTCAGTCCATCAGGATTCTAGAAGCACTCATCACCACACTACCCAACCAAACACTCAATCACACAGCTTTCTCTTCAGCCATCCCTTCTTTTTGACACTATCTTTCAGTTACAAAAATCATTTACTCTTCACTCTTTAGCATCAAAGATTTTCAGTAGTCATCAAGATGCGTTTCACCAGCACACTGATCCCGGCGCTTCTTGCCGGCTCGGCCGCCGCTCACCCCGGCCACTCAGTGGCCGAGGAGCTGCAAGAGCGCCGTGACTACATGGCCAATGCCCAGGCCCGCGATCTCAGCCACTGCTCTGCTAAGCTCAAGGCACGCGGAATCGAGGCCAGGAATGCCGCCCGTCGTGAGCGGACTGCTGAGGCCGCTCGAGCGAAGCGTGGTCTGAAGACGAAGCGGGACCTCGACACTGTCCTGGCCACCGACCACAACGCCACAGACCTTGGCTACACTGCCAACACTGACGCAGCGACCCTCTTCACTGGCAATGCATCCTGCATCCTGACCCCTGACGTTACTCAGGGTCCCTACTATGTCGGTGGCGAGTACATTCGTCGCGATATCCGCGAGACCCAGGAGGGTATCGACACCGTCCTGGACTACCAGGTTATCGATGTCAACACTTGCGAGCCCGTGCCCAATGTCTACCTTGAGATGTGGCACTGCAACTCCACCGGTGTTTACTCCGGTATTGTTGCCTCCGGAAACGGCGACTCGTCAGACGAGACCAACATCGATAAGACCTGGTTGCGCGGCATCCAGCCTACCGATACCGACGGTGTTGCCCAGTTCGAGACAACCTTCCCCGGCCACTACACGAGCCGAGCCACCCATATTCACATCCTGATCCACACGAACGCCACTGTCTATCCTAACGGAACCCTCGGCAATGAGGTCACCTCCAGCCATGTCGGCCAGGCATTCTTCGACCAGGATCTCATCTACCTCGCTGATGAGATCTCGCCCTACAGCGATAACACCCAGGAGATCACCACAAACGCTGATGACAGCATTCTGTCTGAGGAGGCTGCCACTGATGGCGTCGACCCCTTCTTCGAGTTCACCTATCTCGGTGATGAGCTGAGCGACGGCTTGTTCGCATGGATTGCTTTCGGCATCAACGCCACTGAGAGCAGCACTGTCACCCCTGCTGCCTTCTACTACGAGTCTGGTGGTGTTGCTAACTCTGCCTCTGGCGGTGGCGGCGGTGGCGCCCCCCCTTCCAAGTAAAGGGGCACGCATAGTCTCATGGGAGTCAGGTAGTTATAAAAATGCGGGCAGGGTAGCTCTGGGGACAATGCACTGCATATGCTTGTTTTTGTGTTTTTAGGGATCAGCTTGTTCATAAGGTTTCGGTTCAGAATATATACCTCAAAAATATCATTGCTACCTCTAAGAAGTTTTTCGACTCACCTTTGTGATCTCAAACAACATGAAATCTCGTCTACGTTGTCGGAAATCTTCTGCTTCTGAATGTATAGACGAAGTCTGAGGGTTCCACTTGGTATTTGGGGAATTCTTCGCGCTTCTTGGTTTCACCCATAACACTGGTTCGCGAATGGAAAATTTCCCCCTATTTTTGGATGAGTCGAATCCGTACAACCTAGGGCAGAACTTGACGTATAAACAGGTATCATGTTATGTAATCTGATAGCCCCGTTCTTCAAACATTGCTTGTATTTATCCGACAAGGACAAGGACCGAATTTAACGAAGGAATCATTTCTTACGGACCTTCCGTAGAGAACTTGGAACATTCTAGAATAGTGAACACCTTCATTTGACCAAAGCCACGGTAGGGCCCGGTTGGAATGAGTTCTGTCTGTCTATTGGACACACGAAGCCGTCCAATGCCAACAAAATCGAGATCGGCCCTTATAAACCCCCAAATACCACCGATTCTTTAGCCTCCGAGCCCTTAATACGTCACCGCCGCAGCCTTTCGTGATGTGAACGGAGTCATCCCAGCTCAATTTGCAAACAGTCTGTGCTGGGAGAATCTCGACGTCATCCGTACGCCGAAGCCCCTGTAGAGAAATCGCTTGTTCAAATGTATATTGAGAGCACTTGCAGCAGGGGAATATGCTGACACGTCCAAACTTGCTCGAAAGACAGTCGACCTAGCTAGCCTGACCGCAGATTTAACTTGTCACATTTTCCGAAGGCGAGTCTCCCCTCAACAGATCATTGGCAGAAAGCTTATCCGCCCAAAGGTCAAGGGGTTTCAGCATGTCACGGAAGCAAATATTTAAACGTGATTCTTCAATGTACTGAACTTGGCCTGAACGCCATTCCCTGCTAATGATGCTTTCTATGGTTTACAAGCCCGCTCGTTGGCTAGTACCTGTCATCACACGACTGTTCCCAAAATCGCAAATTCAGCTTTCCTATTCCGCTTGATGCCCCTTCGATCTTGAAACACGTAGTCGACTAAGTTTTTCTGCGTGGCCATGACAATACGCGTTGTCTCATAACTTCTCTTGGTGTTGCCATCCGTGTCGCCGCAAATGAACTTAAGACGCCGCATGCGAGCTGGCAGGTCGTTCACAAAACAGCTGAGCTATGTATTCGCCGCGTGGCGAACTGGACGCCGTGGTATCTAATGCATTTGATGATGTTTGGAGGGTTTATCTATCTTAGATCTCTGTGTCCAGGCTTTAATCAGCATTGAATGTCAACTTTGCCGTGCACAGTCGTCCACTAACCACTGCAGGTGCAACCCTTGCGCGTAGCTGCGTCAAGCGTGGGAAAGCCTACGCAGACCAGTCCTTGGCCGCAGACCTCACTCGATTCACCACAGGCGGCATTGGTGCATGGGCCAGCGAATTGCGCGGTTGCCGAAACGGCCAAGGTGATGAGGGCCAGGAAGAATGAGGTCTGCATCTTGAGGATTGTTGAATTGGCACGGCTGGTACTGTCTCGCGAAGTCGAAGATATTTGGGTGCAGCGATTTTGCAGTCGGTTGTACAGATAGAGAGTTGACTAGTTGAAGGTAGACGACTTGGGTACATCTTTGTTGTCATTTTGGGGCATGTGAACTTTATAACTTGATCTTCCTACGATAGTTTGGCCTAATGTTAGATATCCCTAACTTTGGTGTGGGTAGCGTGTTATGAAGTCCAGACGCCAATGTCTATTCCTGGCGTTTCATGCGGCCTGCGGCAGCTCACAAGTGAGGCTTGGCCCCACACAAATTGGCATTGATCGTCAAGGTCAATCGATTTAATCAAAGCCTTGGCCGTCTTGACGTGACTCGAGAATCGGTCAGGGCGAGTCTTTTCCACTTTAAAAAGTTCCGGGTACTGCCGGCTTCTCCAGCAGACAAGCCTAGGAGCCTGTAAGATGCAAAGTGCCCAAGACATTTGGGAGCAGCCAAGAGGCTTAGCCACTGGGCTTCAGCTGCTTGTATAAATCCCGCAGAGGCTTGAGTGACGAAGCCTGCGGCTGTTTCAAACTGCGATGCATGTTTTTCGTGCCCATACCAAGGCAGCTCTGACGGTAGTTGTCTCTGTCAACCACAAAAGGGGGGGCATGGTTCAGAATATGAGGCAAGTTGTACGACTAACTAAAAATACAAAAATATTCAGGCCACTTAGATCGGGACCCGTGAGACTTATAGGCGCTCAGAAGGAGACAGTGACAGCCAAATGGAAGGGCTGGTCTGCCCTCTCAGGAGACAATTTGAGTGGAAACACTTGAATGGTCAACAGCTTGTGTGTAACAAGTTTCGAAGAGGGAACGGGGAGACCGACGAGGGAGAAGGTGATTTGGGGCGGTGAACATCCTCCTGTTAGCTTGCACAGCTGGACAAGGGTACAAACTCATGTAGACAATTATTCGTGTATGATAGTATACCTCTGTACAACATTCATTTAGCAGAAGACAAATGCAGGCTGCGCAAGTCATCTGGAAATCAAGAGGCGTATGCACGTAGTCCCTCAATGTCCAACCATTGCCTGCAACCTTTCGTTGTACCTGTTTCCGACAGGCTTAGCTTTGTTGACAACTTCGCGAAGCTCCTGTTTCTCCTCTTCAGTCAAGTCAACATCCCTGGAAGCCCAGTTCTCCTCAAGGCGATGAGCCTTGGTCGTGCCCGGAAGAGCAATCATCCCCTGGGCTGCGACCCACGCTAGCGCAATCTGGGCCAGAGTGCATCCCTTGCGGACAGCGAGCTTCTTGATCTCCTCGACAATTGCCTTGTTCTTATAGAAGTTTTCTCCTTGGAACTTGGGAACTGCGTTTAGAAAGCTGTCAGCACTCAGGAAGCCACAACTTTCCATGAGCAATGTGTATTTGTCATGGATAAATGAAGATTTACAACTTACTACTTGTTTGACGCAGGTCGTCAGGAGGAAAATCGTCAGGCGATTTGTACGGAAAGTCATCCGTAAGCCAGCCATGGCCCAGTGGGCTGTACGCAACGTAGGCCACTCCAAGTTCCTTCGCAGTACTGATCAAGCCATCTGTCTCGTGTAGTGTTTCAAATGCTGAGTACTCTGCTTGAAGGGCATCGATTTTGGCGACTGTTTTTGGGTGTCAATACAAGTCGAGATTGTGCAAATTTGGTTATGCTCACTCGAGTTGGCTTTGCGCAGTGTTTTCGCGGAGCATTCTGAAAGCCCAATGTACTTGGTCTTGCCTGCCTTTCGAATCTCATCAAGGGCAGGGATCGACTCCTCAAGAGGCGTATCTGACGACATTAGTGGCAGTTTACATCTCGCTGATGGAATAAACATACTAGGATCAATGCGATGGAGATAATAGAGATCCGGGGTGAAGCCGAGCCGCTCAATGGTCCCGTCAATGTACTTCTTGATGTGGGAGGCCGAGTTGGTGATACTGCCATCGCCAAACACGTCAAATCCGCACTTGGAGGCAACTGCATATAGTACAACTTAATGAGAGTATGGATATAAAAGGCGATTGGTGTTGACTTACGGAAGACCTTGTCTCTCACATTGTGCTTCCTAATGAAGTCACCCAGGAGCTTTTCATTGACTCCGTTTTGGTATATAACCTGCGTCCGCGATGTCAGCTATAGCATATGCAGTATAGAACAAGTCGACGGATCAACATACAGCAGTATCCCAGAATGTACACCCCAACTCGATGGCTTTGAGCAGTACAGGTTCAGCCTGCTCTAGAGTCAAGTTGTTGCCCAAGCCATGGCTGATCCCCACTGCAGCATCTAGAGTCAGCTATCAAAGCACCAAAGCAGAAGCTATTACGGGAACTGGGAATAATCTGACCACCATGTACCAATGACCTGTCTTGAAGCCTGCAGCCTGAAAAAAGACTCTGAGGCAAGTAGTTAAACAGACCACAGATGGCAGATGTTTGTTCTTGAAAGGGTCCAAACTGTATCCGGAAGCTGCTTACTGGCGCCGAAGCCAGGGGTTGGGACCTGGATGTCCGCGAATTGCATTGTCTTAGCCATGTTGCTGGAATTTTCAACAAAATTGACTATGAAGTGTTTGAGGAGAGTGTTTTTGGGTGAGACTGTAAAAAAGTCTCAAGGTCTGGCGCGACAGCTGCCTTATATACCGCCAAAACTGCTTCGTATTCTTGATAATGCGGTGTACTCACCGAACACGAAATCATGCGCTGTTTCTTGCGATCTTACGAATTTGCCGAGACAGTCTTGTCACAATGAAGTCCTTGAGCGGGTTCTTAATGGTGGAATCGAGTTCTGGTGAATTTGTATGACTTCCTAATTCCGCATGCGATGGACTATGTCGACGGACATAGCGCGCTAACACCGAGGACCTCTGCTTTATCTCGACAAACTTTCTCTTGCTCCGCAAAAGCTATCGGCGATAGCTGTCAATTGTGTCCTGGTCCCGTCTCGAAATTGCCGTGGATACACCGAGATCTGTACCCATAAGTCGGTAGCTGAGGTCGCAAGCTCTCCAAGCTATGCAGCAATTTCCTACACGGTCTATGGGCCGGCCACCTCCTGCTACGCGGTGGCGATGAAAGCCGGATCAGTCTGGAACGACTAATCATTTGCAACGATTGAGACCATGAACAACCAGTACACATGACTAATACCTAGCGCACAGCACTTAAGTAATACTAGTCGCCTACTGCGTCTACAAATACATTGATAGGAAGCGCTTACACCTGACCATGCACCGTCATACCCAATAACCCTCGTCAAATGTTCCTTGAAAATTGTTGACAGAAATACGTTTACAAGTATATGACCGCATCATCACATACTCTGTCTCGAGCAAGATTGTCAAACCTTCATATTTACATTCATTGAATGGACTCACAGCCGCAATCTCATCTATATGCGAACCAATTTTTGTGTCCCAGCTTCTAGGTGGAGCGTTACCTAATCAAATAATCCTAGCCTGAAAATGTCAAAATGGCCCCTGAGATGAACACTCCACTCGATCTCATCACTGAAACCGAGAGGCAGAGACAAAAAGCAGGATTTAAGAGGAGAGCTTTCGAGAGGAGAGACTTTCAAAACATGAAATATTTCACTACGCCTGCGGCATGAAGGAGGCTGCATATTGACATTACTTCTCAAAGCATCTGGAAAGATACACTTTTTGCACTTCTACTACTTATGTCGGCCCGTCAGACGACAAGAGACTATACGCCACTGCAGGATACGCTCGGGACAACAACATTCGGTGCAAAGTCTAAGCCCTGTGCAACAAACCTGGCCCCTTCTATACACCTTGCCAGTAGCCATCGTAACCACGACCTATGCACTGGGTTTCGGTACGCCCTAGGCAACTTCATTTACGGGAAATGTTTCCGCCCCTACAAGAGCAACGTTGATCACGATCGCTTTGTCGCAGGGCTCATTTGCTATGCATATATAAAATTCTCTGACACCAGGCCATCAGGCTGAACGATTGATACACTTGCGGATATCAACAAGCGCCTTTGCGGCCTCGCTCACCCCTCCCGGGACAAAACTGTAACGGAACTCCAGGATTTTGCGGAGTCCGCAAACATGTATTCAAGCAGGGAGGAGATCATTTAGCTTGCAGGTGAATGTAAGCATCAACATCGCGTCCCAGCCCTGTTTCGCGCAACGTTGTAGTCTGCGTCCATAATTGGTGAGATGAGGGATCTGCCGATATTGATAGGATGCCAGTCTTCCTGGCTTTGACTGGCAGACAAGACATATTAAATAGCTGTATAATGTTTGATAGTCTCTGAGATAAAGTGGATGCAGTTCTGCAACTTGGAAATAGGATGACTATCCAGACGACGATAGAAACTACAGTAACATTTCTTATGGACTTGGAGCAGCAGCGCGAGGCTTTCTCAATGAGACCGAACAGTGAGTTACCGCGCGATGGCAAAACCTATTTGGGTCGATGGAATATGTATTTCCAAGGCTATGAACGCATTCTAAAAAGTATGGCTCAGCTGGGACCTTCTTCGGACTGGGTAGACACGATGCATGTGCTGGGTGGACGGGAGCAGGTTATTTGCAGGATTATTGGAGTACGGGATAGAAGAGTCATAGATGCGAGCTGACGAAGACTCACGGCGTGAGTTGAAGAGATTCAACTCTTTTATGAGACATGTAATCTACTATTTATGAAGGTTTGCGGGACTGGGCAACGAAGCGGAGTGTATGCCCTCAAGACTAAAGTTGTATATGACCAGCAGAAATCAGAGAAGAGAAACGAAGTATGAAGGCAAATTAACCCTTTTTGGGTCCTCTGTATCGTGTGTGCATGTTCTGGCGAACTGTGAATGAATGCAAGGTCCCTGTGAGCCTATAAAAACCGCGGGTGATCACCCTTCTATTCGTATAGTACAGTGGTTATTGTCCTCGATAAGACCATACTAGTATGGTGCGTTGCAACACAGGCTAGGCTTGGTTTCTCGCGAGTAAATTGACTGTAGTCTTTTCAATATTACTCTTCATAAGCAGGGCCCCAAATTTAAAGACAGAACGAAATGACGACTTGATTAGTTCATTCAATATATATTCAGTTTTCTCTGTCTGCTTCCAAGGCAAAATTTGATAGTCCTATGCTTACATCTCGATGCTATACTTGGCGGCAGTCTCCACACCAACCTCAACTAGCCGTCTCGACGGCCATCCAGTGCTCATCGCGATAGTCACTGGCAGACACCTCTGGCAGAAGCGCCGTCATCCCGACAAGGTACGATAGCGTGCTGAATTTTTCAATTGAAGACCTAAAGCGGAACTTTTCACCTCGTTGATTGCCGTTGCCATCATCTTGGCTACTTTTACTAATCATAATTCATCTAAGCGTGTTCTGTTGTGATTTCAGACCTGCTATGTCCGAAAACATATGGACATGCAGCAAGACAACCATGACTGGTGAGATTGGACCTAAAGACTGACTTCTCTTTGCTGAGAATCTACAAACGACGTTGGACTCACCGGAATATTTTGCTCTTAGCTCGCTGCCTTTACCGTACAGCCCATAGATCCCTAGCATGTGACAGAACTTAGCCGGTACAGACTGCAACTTTCCTACAACCAGAATACCGTCCTATAAATGGCTTGTTAAAAATAGCTTCCTGTGGAGCAACCTCTTATGGGGTAACCTGCCCCAGCATCACCTACTGTGGCATCGTCTCCAAAGCAACCCAAATATATTTACAATACCCAACTCTTAACATTCAGAATATGTACACCAGTACATGTTTTGCTTAACGAATGAAAGATGGTAAATTGCTCAATTGAATTTGATTGAAATGCTTAGAAAGTGTAAGGACTTTCGCACCAGGACCCTGCTCGTATTTGCCGAGTGCGACGGTATTGCAGCCATGTCTTAATCTCCCTTATCGGTGGGGAGTAATTTCGCAAGACGTAAAAACTGCAAGTTTGGAAGCCAAGAATCTTGCTGCAGTACCGTGCCTTTACCGTTCTTTCTTGATCAACGCCGCGATGCATCTCTCAGTGTTTATTGCAAAATGTATGATATGGACGGTATTTTCAGGGGTTGTGTATGCTGCACCGCCTACTCCGCGACGCAATGACAATCAGACCACTTCTATTTGCCGCAGAACTAAAGTAGCCATCCTAGGCGCTGGTGTTGCCGGCATAAGTGCAGCTCAGGCTCTTTCCAACGCCTCTATCACGGACTTTCTGATCATCGACCGCAATGATTATATTGGCGGAAGATTAGCACATACTACCTTTGGCTCTAAGCCGGACGGAACACCCTATACTGTCGAGCTCGGAGCGAACTGGATCCAAGGACTGGGAGCAGCGGATGAAGAGGCACCGGAGAACCCCATCTGGACGTTCTCGAAGAAGTGGAACATCTCGAACACCTACTCGAATTATGACTCCATCCTGACGTACGACGATACCGGAGCAACTGACTTTTCAGAGCTCCTGGAAGAGTTTGACAATGCCTGGGATGTCGCTGCAGTGGATGCAGGAGTAATTCTCACCGAGAATCTGCAGGACACCTCGGCACGTGCCGGACTCAGCCTCGCAGGGTGGAAGCCCAAGCAGGACATGAAGAAAGCTGCGGCGGAGTGGTGGCAGTGGGACTGGGATGCCTCGTACTCGCCGGATCAGAGCGGTTTTGTGTTTGGGATTACAGGCGATAATCTCACCTTCAATCAGTACGGCGAAGATAACAACTTTGTGGTGGATGCGCGAGGCTTCAACGCGTGGCTCGTCGGAGAGGCATCGACGTTCGTGGACCTGTCTAGCAATGATCCGCGCTTGCTCCTGAATACCACGGTGTCCAGCATTGAGTATTCTGACTCGGAAGTTACCGTCCGACTGTCCGATGGCGAGTGTATATCGGCCGAACATGCAGTCTGCACTTTCTCCCTGGGCGTCTTGCAGAACGATGTCATCGAGTTTGAGCCCCAGTTGCCTCGGTGGAAGCGAGAGTCCATCGAGCAGTTCCAGATGGGCACATATACCAAGGTTTTCTATCAGTTCAACACAACTTTTTGGCCGGGAGATGTGCAGTTTTTCCTGTACGCGGACCCAGACAAGAGAGGTTACTATCCAGTGTGGCAGTCCTTGTCGACCGAGGGCTTCTTACCTGAAAGCAACATCATTTTCGCGACTGTTGTAGATGACGAATCTCATCGAATTGAGAAGCAGAGTGACGAGCAGACCAAGGCGGAAGGCCTGGAGGTCCTGCGCCGGATGTTCCCAAATGTCGATGTCCCTGAGCCCGTGGACTTCTTGTATCCGCGGTGGACAACAGAGCCATGGGTTCATGGAAGTTACAGCAATTGGCCAGTAGGGATGACGCTGGAGAAACACCAGAACCTGCGGGCCAACGTCGGAGCGCTGTGGTTTGCTGGCGAGCACACCTCGGCGCAGTACTATGGGTTCCTGCAGGGCTCGTGGTTTGAAGGGCGAGAGCGAGGTATACGTATCGCTGCGTCGCTGAAGGGAAATGACACCTCCATGGAGACCTATGAGGTGTTGAAGGGCACGACTGAGATTTCCGAGTACGATGCCGCGAATGGGTGGCCGGTGAGCAGTTTTCTAAACTACAATTGACATATGAGAGTGGCGTAGAAAGTTGGGGAGAGTCGAGCCAGGATTCAACGCTCTGGCATTCATGCCTGACGCCTCAGGTCTTTGAGTCCTGCCATCGCGTTTGCTGTCTTCGCCGCCGCCGACGCTCAAATATTTTGATGCGGTCCTCATGAATTGCCCTTGAATAGCTAGTTGAACAGGATGGGTAGCAAAGATCCGGCCACCCCAGTGCCCTGGTCTTCAAACGAACATATCAATGGCGGTTTACTTTGAGGGGGATTTCGGAATGTTGAAGCTACGGCAGAACAAGGAGACGTCATCCATATTAGTTACCTCACCTGCGTGAAAATCGTGCCCACAGACAACATTGATTGAGACGAGTCCGTGACAGGTGGGGGCGGGGGCCCGGTCGAGTGAGATCGGTCGGGGTTAGGCGTGATCCACTGTCTGTGGCAAGCGAAATGCAGCCCCCCCCCTGTCGCTTGAGCCGTTGCCGCAAAAACGACACAATTTTGCTAGCAACATCGGCAACTTATAAATATCCTCTATAACACGCCACGTATACGTTCAATCGAGATACAGTCAATTGGAATTGATTCTATACTTTTAAAGCATTTCAAAGATATATATAAATCAGGATTTATGATAATGCGCAATAACATTTTGATGAAATAATAATAAATAAGTTGATGGTTGCGAATTTGATTAGTAATCAAGTTCTAAGGATATTTGTGAGTGAGCCGTGCACGCCGTGCCGCAAAAACAATCCAAATTTGCTAACAACATCGACCAAACGACAGGGGGGGGGCGGCATTTCGCTTGCCACAGACAGCAGTATTCGACCTCGGGAAGCGGGACGATCTTCTTGGCATCGCGTCTCCCAAGTCGCGTCCAAACCCAGATAATCAATCCCTCACCCGAAAGCGACCTCGCTTCCTACAACCCGCCCGAATAGCCTACGCCCGCTGCCTATGTTCCCGAAGCATTTGGCACGCCATGCCACCTAAACAACCAACATCAGGAGCCTCACGCGGCCGCCCTGCTGGCTCCAAGAACAAGGCAGCGGCATCCTCAGCCATCAGCAAGAAGCCTAGTGCGGCTGCCAAAGGGAAGCAGCGAGCTCAGCCCAGCGAATCTCCCGAGCCTCGGCGCCGCGATGACTCCGAAGAGGCCATGGACGTTGATGAAGACCTTGAGGACGACGGAGACGATGAAGAGCCGGAGAAGACCATCCCGCCCGAGCTTCTGACACGCATCTTGCACGAGTTCTTTGAAAAGGACGGCACACGAATCACTAAAGATGCGAATAACGCCGTCGCCAAGTACATGGACATATTTGTCAAGGAGGCTATTGCGAGGGCTGCGGCTGAAAGAGACGGAGGGTTCTTGGAGGTGGGTTCAAGAAGCGGCCGGTGCACCTACGGGGGCTTGAGAGCTAACTCAGTTGTTCCTACCGACAGGTTGAGGATCTCGAGAAGATTGCGCCGCAGCTACTGTTTGATCTGTGACCGATCTCCATCACGAAGCGTATGCATTCCAGCTTACCAATTGAGGTCGACATCGCTCCGGGACGACTGGAACAAGCAGCGGCTGTTCAGTTCTTCCAAGATGTCCCTCGAGCTCAGCAAATCCCTCACCTCCGAGCCTGCGGGAAACGAAGCGGCGCATGACTACCAAGAACTTGACCGCAAAGTATTGAATCAGCATCAGGAGTCTAGCGACTGGGTTCTATCGGCATGGTTCGACACCAACAATTTGTCGCTGATGGTGATGGTCGAAGCATCTTCATAATAGCATTATGCAAAGCGGCGGTGTCGCGGAATCGTCACGTCAGGGCTTCAATATGCGAGTCTGATGGGTGATCAGTAAGCCGTAAGAGTTTCCAAATAATGACGGGGTGTAGAGCACTATGACTCTGACGGGCTGCTAACACTCTTCGACCCTAGATGTGTGGTCAGATCGACGCACAAGTGCGACTCGACTTTGCTCATCTGAGACTCAGCGTCGTGTTCATTAAGAAGAATAACGTCCCATCAGTTGCAAGCGCAATACTGGTCACTAAAGTGTTTGGCTGAGCTCGACCCATGTCGCCGCTCAGTTCCTCCCATGGTGCAGCAACGCCGTGTCCTTCGGGCCAAGTTCGGTTGCCAAGGCTCAAACATCGGCTCAGGCCCGGGCGGATTTGGGGTGCCAGCTGGGACGAGACCGAGTTTGGAGCCCTTGGCCACTGTCAGAAACTCGTCCGAAGGCGGTCATGCCATCTCGCCGACCGAGACCGAAATAAAATACCTGCTCTGACATCTCAGACGCATCGTGCGGCTGTCTAGTTCCCATTACGCACTCCGCGTTTGGCCTCATGTTGTCGGACGAATGTGTCTTAGATCAGACTCTCACCACCGGGACTCTATCGAGAACTATATCTCGCGTAAGCGGAGGGACGGCAAATTGTGGAGTGTGCTCCGATGTACATCATTGCAATGCAGTTACAACTTGGGCTGAACTGGCAGCGGACTGCCGGCCTCTCGCGACCAATGATGGTGGCGAAGCCGCAGTGAAGTCGTGATGAAACAAAATACGGAGCTCTCGTGTGCTTCTTGACACTCTCGTGACAGTAATTTACAGTTTGTTTGCAGATCTGCGTCCGTTGAGTCTCAGCTGGATGACAAGCCTTACCCGAACCTCTCGGTATTTTCGTCTCAACTTTAGCATTGAAGACATGAGGTGTCATGTCAGAGACATCATTCCAGCCAAACTAAGGGCCCTAAGTGCGAGTAGATGGGACGTATCATGCAGGGAAATCTGCAATGACATGGTGGGAGAGTTGCCGCCGACATAGGCAGAAATCCCCGACCTCCAGATGTTGTTTCAAAACACGAAAGCGTGGGGAGGAGTGCTTGCGGTGATCAAAGATCACCAACACAGAGCCAATCTGCACATCACGGCTTGGCTGTTGGCAGGACCATTGCCGATGCTGCAGGGGATGGTGGGCTCCGAAGCGGCAGACTTGCATTGGCACGTATCACGAACCATACCAAGAAGTATGTCAGGGGCGACTCGAAGAGGGTCAGGAGAGCCTCAACGCTGGGCGACACGACCCTGCAGCGTGGCCAAGGTTGCCTTCTTGCGGCGCAAGAACCAGGGTAAAAGCAATCCAGCGGCGTGGGAAAGCCCAAGCCTCACTGCCACCTCGGAAGCGACGAAAGTCGTCGCTTAGGTCGGCCTTTGACGTGCGTGAAACCGCCTGGAGTCTCGGACTTGTCGCAGACTGCCACATCCGTGCGGCTCCTGGCGAGACGACAGGGGCGACCCCTGCTGCAACCTTAAATTCAGGTAGCGGCTCCAACGTCGTCCGGTTGCTGGTTCAGCTCATCACATCAACCTCGTCACCATCGAGCCTTGATGGCGGTGCATTTCAGCTGAGATTGGACTGTCACCACAGACGATGCTATGCGACGAAGAGCAATCAGTCTGCCCGGGACCAGACGTGACGAGATGGCCCTTAGCGGCAACGCCACCCGCTCGCAGTTGCCGCCTCGATCCCAAGATGAGACCAACGGCTTTGCCGACATGGCCAACAAGCTGCCTAGCTTGCAGAGATGCTGTGACTTGCACGCTCTTGGAGTCGATGATTCCAGCGCCTCCATGTAGCTAGCTGGTGTCATTCAGGATCTGGGCAACCGACAACCCAGCAGTGCCCAGTATGAGTATGGCCACCAATAGGCAGCTCATTTCACTCAAGCGCTGCTGACGGGTAAGACGGGGCCGCGCTGATGGGCCACAAGCCACCCGGAAAACGTTGAATTCCGGTGCCAGGAGCCCACCCGGGCTGCCACGATATGACATGACAGCATTGAAAGATAACCTTGTTGCCATTAAGGCCCAAGCTGCCGCCGAAAGAGAGCGGGTCCTTCCTGCAGTTCGCCGTGGGTAAGTAAAGCCATGGCAGGCTGAGACGGCTAAGGTCTCCCGCCCCAGGAGGCACAGGGTGCACTATGAGCACCACATTCCCAAGGCCTCTTGGGCCCAACTCATCATCAGCCAAGCGGCAAGACATGGGGACGAAGATGAGTCCATCCATGCTGGCTGCCTCTGCGCGCCTGATGTTCTGCTGGCCCGACTCCCGTCACTTTCGGCGCAGCGCACAAACCCAGGTCTCGACACTAGGTGTAACCGCCAGGGTCTGGTAGCTGGTCTCGGTGGGCGGGCAGGGCTCACCAAAACAACGACTCCCGTTTCATGATCCCCCTTCTCTCACGCCTGCCCTCCCAGCCTTGCCCATGTCTCATCTCATGTCGACTTCAGACTTGGCTTTGCCGTTCTCTCCGCCAGTAGCGGGATAGCACAGCCTGGCAAGGGTACGGCTGCGTCGATCAAGCACAGGGGACCGTCGTACATCCGAGAGAGGATGTGCTTCTCGAGACTTGTGTGTGTGTTGCATCTCTCTTATATTCATGCACCCCATCTTCCTGTCCTCTCCTCCCAAATTCTTCTTCTCCATCCACATCACGACGAGAAGTTTGACCGACTGTTTCCTTTCTTTTCCTACGAAATAATTCGATTCTCCACGACACCTAGGCCAGTCCTGCCGTCGACATCAGCGCAAGCCGCTCAGTAATTCACTCGATAATTCCAAGTTTCAGACGAAGTTGACTTCGCCTATCCTCTCATTACATCATCAAACTACACAGACACAAACGTCAAAAAGTCAAAATGCAGTTCACAACAGCAGCTCTTGCCGTGTTGGCTGGTGTCGCCTCGGGTGAGTAAAAACGCATTTGAGCGCGGTTTGGCACAGCACGGTCTCTAACAAACCAATTTACAGCACAAAAGGTCCAGGTTGTCACAGTCTCCACTGCCAACAACTCCCTCGTGTACACGCCCGACAACATCAAGGCCAGCGCGGGCGAGATGGTGCAGTTCCAGTTTGTGGCGGGCAACCACACCGTGACACAGTCTACATTCGACCAGCCTTGCACGCCTATCAACAGCATCATGAGCAATGTCACAGGCTTCCACTCGGGCTACCAACCTGCCGCCGCGTCCAAGCAGACGGGTATGATCCCCACATACAGCATCATGATCAACGACACCAAGCCACTTTGGGTGTACTGCGCCCAGGGAAAGCACTGCCAGAGCGGCATGGTCATGGTCATCAATGAGAAGTGAGTAGTTGCCACCCCTGTGCGCACCGAGGTCAACGAGTCACTAACAACTTGTGTGTAGCACGGCTGCCAACGCTACTCGCTCTTTGACAGAGTTCAAGGCCCTCGCCGCCAAGGCAACATCGAACACTGCTCCCTCCAGTGGCTCCACCACTGGCGGTTCTACCGGCACCGGCACCGGCACTGGTACTGAGTCCGGTTCCTCCGCATCACCCTCGACCTCGACTCCCGCGACTGCCGCAGGCTCCATGGTCAAGGTCGGCGGCAGCCTCGGTCTTGCTGTCTTTGCTGCGGTCTTCATGCTGTAAGCAAGCAGTGACCTACTGTTGACAGGATAGCCTGTTCACTGAGGGGTTCTGGGGGGGTTTGTTCTTTTCTTCACACATATGAACGGTAATCAAAGAGTTGGGGAAAGGGGAGCCGACATAAAGTTTCGGTGACTGGTGGGCGTCACGGATACCTAGGGTACAATATCACACACAAAGAACTTGACGATTCGCATATTACTTGTTCGCTTTGCCCAGCTAAATTATGATTGAGATGTAAGATGATACCACGCCCAGGGCGGGTTCAATAAAAGCCAATGCATGACACAAATTTCAGGCCTCTCGTGTGCAAATGATACGACTCAAATATGATAATTCGCCTCTGGATGCACTTAGGAACCTCCTTGCTTGGCCATGATACTGAACCTTTAATTAATTAACAATGCCCGATGTCACAAGAAGTCTTCTCGCACGACCTCCACTGTTGTCAGCATCTTTATCGCTCGATAGGTCGTAATGTCGCAACCAGCTAGAACACAGACAACGGTCAGGCGGTATCGCCTTGGCAAGACCGCAAACTATAAAAGCCCGAATCTCTTGTGTTCTTGTCGACTGTGATTGTTTTGTAATTGGAAAGTGGATGAAGGGAGTTGTGGCGGGTCTACACCAGTCTACCCGGGCTGGTGCTGAAAAGAAGAAAGCAATTTCGAATGCAGAGGCATCTTTGGGCCTATTTGTATTCCAGCGTGTTTGCTTTGGCCTGCCTGTTCCAATGAGCTGCCGGGGCCAATACCTCCTGAGCATGTTTCTTGGAGTAGGTTTGCTACAGCAAACTTGCTCAAATACTTCCTTGGCACACCGCTCTGCTGCGTGGCGGTATGATTAAGCGCAAGAGTGGCGTGTCACAACAGTCTGCAGCCTGCTTCGGCTCGGTCGATATCATATCAGAACCTCAGACGATGCTGAGCTTTGGGGAAGCATCGACGCACGCTTTGACGCACCGGGTGTAAAAGAGATAGTATGTCCATTGTCTGCCCTGCATATATACAGTTCTGCAAGAAGGGCTTGCAATCATCTGCCCCTCGACCTCTCCGGGGCTTACTTTCTGTCCTCGGGGACCTTCCGGGGCTTCCTGCCTTTCCTCGCCTGCTCACACAGCTCCCTCTTGGGCTCCTTCTCGAGCCACCCTTCCTCTCTTTTGACATAGCCGACAAAGGAGTACTTCTGGCTGTTCCCAAAGAAATCCACCCAGTGCTTCAGAGCTTCATAGACCTTCTTCTTGGCCTCGCGCCGTTCCTGCTCCCTCAGTATCTTGAGCTCGGCCTTGCTCCAGTGGCTGTCCACCTCCGGGTCGTCAAGTGGCAGGTGCATGTCCTCCACACCGCGCATGTCGGGCGTTCGGTCCTCAGCGAAGCAGCCGGTGACGAAACCGCGGGAGGCATCAACGCCAGCGAAGACGTGGTAAGAGCCGCCGGGGCCGTAGACACGCGAGCCGGCGGTGACGTCGTAGACGGAGCCGTTGATGGCGAGGTAGATGGGCTTGGCTGGGTCGGAACCATCGTGGAGGGCGAGGTCTTCGGGGGTTATGTACTTGGGCCCGTTCTGGGAGCAAGTAGCTGAGGTCAGTCAAGTTAAGCACTCAAGGTGATGGCTTGTATACGTACAAACAAACCCTTCCATGTTTCCACTCGCAGGTATTTTGGCGGCACCTTCATGCTCCAGAAGAAAGACTCTCCACCCGAGACGAGGTAGCTGGCACCGCAGGACACGAACAGAAGGAAGGAGAGGACACGCAGGACGTCGACCCATGGGTTTCCGTACTCGACCTCATCGCTGTCTACCGTTTTGCTCTTCTTGCTCTTCTTCTTCTTGCCGCCCTCGTCACTTGATGGCTGGGCATCTTGGACAGCTGTCTCGGCCGCCTCAGCAACAGCTTTCCGTTGACGAACTGCGGAGTCTGGTTCTGCTGCCATGATTGAGGGTGGTCGAAGAAGCGACAGGTGATGTCGGAGGAGACAGTGATGAGCGCTAGGACCGCGGTGGAAGGAAAGGGAATGATGAGCGAAGGGAGAAGACTGGAGACTAGCTGTCAGCTAACTCCATCGACGTATGCAAAAGAGCACGTCGTGTTCTCTTTCCGTGAATCCGAGACCGAGTCTAAAATGTCCGGACATCCATGCAGGGTCGAGCTGTCAGGCTGCTCGGGTGCAATTGGGGAAGACCCCACTGGAAATCGGCCCCAGTTGATTGGCCTTCTAGAAGGAGGTGTCAAGGGTGGCCCATTGCAGCGGATGTCCCGCCACGCCCAGGCAAGCTGCTCGCCTGAATGGCTGGGAGGCTCTCGTTGCTGTGACAACAGCCAGAGAGCTGATCAACATTGTGGAATCCGGCCCCAAATTACCGTATTGCGAGGGGATAAGGACGAATTTCAATATCTCGCTCCGTCACCACCACCTCGCATTGCATCGCAAGTCACCTCCCCCTTGCTCTTGCTACGGAACCACGTCACGGCACGACCACTCCCACCCACCCACCCACACAAACAAAGACACCAACATACACAAGACTTATCGTGTACAACCTAGTCGCAAGAGCGTGCTTTGCTGGCCGCTGAACCTGATCGCATGACCACCATCCCTACCGGACCTGGATCTAGTTCTACCAACCAGTCACCTTAATAGCCTGTCGCTATTGATCTGTTTACCACGGCGACGAATGCGACCACACCCGAGACCAGTTGAGCCACATCTTCTTACAGCCAGCCTCCGGTAGGAAAAACACAATGGAGCGCCCGTCCACCCGCGACGGCTCATCCACGCCCGCACCAAGCACTCCCTCGCCATCCAAACGAGCGTCCACTTTTGCAGCAGAAATTATGGCGCCTTTCGATCCCGTCTCCTCGGAGCGCCTCAACAAGCAGCTTGGATCAGAACAGCGGCTTTCACTCAACAGCCTCGGCTCTCCCACAAAAAAGGGACACTCGCGCGACAGTTCAGTCAGTGATAAGATCAATCAATTCAACACCCTCGCCTCCCAGAGCAAGCACCTCGAGCGCAAAAACGCCGATGCTGCTTTGAAGCGCGCCATGCTGGGCCGCGAAGAGGCAGAGGCCGAGGTGCGCAAGTACAGAGACGACGTGCAAAAGTACAAGGATGAAGTGCGCGCGCTGAAGAAGGAGCTCGAGGAAGGCAGGGTTAGGGAGAGGAAGGTTGGAGAGCGGTTGGAGACAGTCATGGTACGTGTAAAGATGATCTCTGCGCATTTACCGCAGACGCGCGGTCGCTGACAGGCGCAACTCATCACAGGAGAACTACGGCCGCACAAAGGAAACGCACGCACACACACAAACCCTATGGGAGAAGGAGATCCGACGGATGCGAAAGGAGACGTTCAAGAGCCAGTCCGCTATCGTCGACCTGCAGGAGCAGCTCAACGCCGCTCGCGCCGCCCAGAAATTGGCCGAAGCATCTCTCGAGCGCGAGAAGGAGCGCAGCGCCGCCCGCGAGCAGGAGGCTTTTCAGGCCAGATACAATCAGGTCGGCCTCCAGGAACAGCTCGAGAAGATCCGGTCCGAGCTGAACCAGGCCCTCGAGCGTGTTAAGCTTGTCGAACAAGAGCGGGATGCCTTCAAGACTCTGGCCAAAACTGAAGAGGACGTGGCAAGAATCGCCTCTGAGGGCCGGCTCCCGCTGCCACCAGCTAGTCAAGAGGATGAGGAGGACGAGTTTGCAAGCCCCAGGAAGTCGAACGACTCCCGCGCCGTGTCGCTATCCCTGATCGACATCAAATCATCTGCGGCAAGCGAGATGGAAATCGAAGAACTCACGCGTCTCTGGCAATGGGAGAAACAGCGAGCCGACCGTGCTGCTGACCAGGTCGAATACCTTGAGGCCGAGTGCAGTCTGCGTGCATGCTCGTGCATGAAGAAGCGACCTCGGTCCAGCATGATGGGCCTGCTTTCTCCAAAGCGACAAAAACGAGCTGCTGCCGAGCCTCTCCCACCCCTGGCCGACCCGTCGGACCGCATGATTCTTAGTGAGAAAGCGACTACTATCCCTCCGCCAAATGAGACCTCTGCTCATGCCGTGAAGCAGCCAACCAAGAAGAAGACCAACAGGAGCGATGATAGCGGTGATAGAAGAGCGACCATCTTCTTGCCAGATTTGGGCACGTTTCGTACCGTAAGCATGGAGGAGGCGGACGCCATGGAGAGGACCAAGGAGCAGCAGAAGAGGGATGAGCCTGTCCTGGAGAGTACAGAGCCGGATGACAAGCCTATGAAGGATGCACCCGCACATGTCGAGAAGGATGCTGAGCCTGAGCGGTACTCGCGCACCCCTTCCGTTGAGCCACCTTCCTTTGCCATCCTAGGACAAGAGCGATCATCCCTCGTGTCTCTCCTGGACGCACCGCACCATCAAGAGCAGCCGGTCGAATTCAAAATCCCATCGATACCTACCACGCCAGGCCTCGTGTCCGAGCAGACCAGGAAAGCTGCCACGGGCGCCTTGCAACAGTCCGGAGCCACCTCACAAGCTGAGACTCGCCCGAACCAGCCCCGACGCCTGCCTCTAGGCTCACAAGATCCAAACGTGGACATTTCGACTGCCGCATTTAGCTTCAAGACGTCCTACAACTCCCGCCCGCACACAACCCAGTCTTTTTACACATCTACCACTACAACATCCGTTCCTCTGCGCGAGGAGAACTCAGACCCGAGCATGGCTAAGAAGCTGCTCGCCTTGCAAAGGACCCCTTCCCGCGGAAGGGTGGGCGACAACGAGGCGCCGACCTGGGACGTAAACAACCCTGCCTTGACCCCCACGATGACCAGAGAGGAGGCCCTGGCCAAGATCCGAGAGCGTCGGGGGAGAGCTAAGAGCGGCAACGCAGGCACTGCAACGCCATACAAGGGTATGATCAAGGGCGCGCGGGGCGACAGGAGAAATGTGAGCGCACCCGCGGGCCGGAAAGGGAGGGTTGGCTCATGAACAGAGGGGCCGGGTTGATGAAATGACTCTGCGATAGTGTTTCTCTTTCACGGCAGCAAGACTGCTAGTGCTAGACCTTGATTCTCGTGTACATGTTTAACGGTGGTTTTGGGCCTGTCTGTCTCGCGGCATCTTCATGGCGTTGGAAAAGGCTGGACACGATCATGGGACATGATTTTGGGCTTTAAATGTTATGATAGCGGGGCCTGTGCGAAGCAAGCTGTTTTTTTTTTTAATCTTGTGTTCCCCTTTCCCAGAATCAGAGCTTTCGGGAAAAGAAACATAATTCAAGGCTGACCTGATGTCTATTCCACATGGCTTTGCATTACCTAAGGTATACCGAAATCAACTGCTGCCGAACCTTGGTGCACCACCCATTGGTAATATCCTCGCCCCGATATTCTGCACGGAGCATATGCTGTATATATATTCACCGTATATCACTCCGCACACGGCCTCAAATCTGCCGACGCTCCTGTTTAGACAGGATGACCACTCCAACCCTTAGTCCCCGCATGCATGCATGCATGGAAATCAAAGTCCGGCTCACCCTTTCAAGAACCCCCTAGCCTCATTCCTGGCGTGCTCCCCACTCATAGCATCTAGTTTCACGGCAATCAGCACGCACTCCACGGCACTCCTGCCGTTCTTGGCAGCCTGAATGCGCAGCCTCCACTGGCCGGTGCGTACGATCCAGAAGCCCCTGGTGGGCAAGCCCGCCCCGCCGTCGACGCCCACGACACTCCCGTCTGCTGCTCGCCTTCGCTTCCGCGGGGGGTTGAGGGACAGGCCGGCGAGGCTGGCTGGAGAATCCATGTTTGCCGGACCGGCGCTCGACGGCGCTGACATGTTGTTGCCCCCGCCAGGAGTTTCCATGACGTCGTCCGAGGGATCGAAGATGCTGGGCAGGTGGCCCGTGTACCTCTGCCCGTCCAGGGTAACGGCCGTCTCGGCCTCCAGCACACACTTGACCAGGTCCTCGCTGAGCGGCGTGTTGCCCGGTGTGGCCGGCTGGCTCGATGCGCCCCCGCTCGCCATCAGCAGGCCAAGGGGCTGCGTGGTCGGCGGGAGGTTGAGCTTGGATGCGATCACTTCGAACAGCTTCGTGACCCTGGTCCTCATCTCCCGAAAGAACTCCAGCCGCGTTCCCCCGCCGCCGCCACCGTCCTTGTCGAAGTGCAGCCGCGTGCACTCGCCGCCGATCTCGAGGACCAACTCCGCGGGCCGCTGGCTGCTGTCGACAAAGGGGCGGGCGTAGTTGACCCAGCCGAGGAAGTTATCCCTCTCCCTGGCGGCAATGTCCATGCGCTCTGGTAGGACGGAGATGCCCGACTTGAGGATGTCCTCCAGGCGCAGGACAATCTCGTCCTTGGCGCGGGACTGGTTGAAGCTGATGCTGTGCGGGATGAGGCGCTGCTCGACGCCCTTGAAGTTGAAGTAGCGGCAGTCGCGCAGCAGGGAGGCGCGATGGGCCTCGGAGCGGATGTCGACAGGGTAGCCCCTTAGCAAGTGCAGCAGCTCGGCGAAGGTGTCGGCGCTGCGATTGGGCACGCTGGGGGGCAGGATGCTAGGCGGGCGGATCAGGCCCTCCCTGTCAAGACCGGGGAATAGGTCTGCGGAAGGGTTGCTGAAGAAGATGGCGAAGCCCAGGCTGAAGAAGTTGGGTGAGTTGCCCGGCTCGGAGAAGGAATCGCGCGGGATCTGGAACTCGCGGTGGCCGATGGAGATGAAGATGGACTCCTCATAGAGCTGGGAGATGAGCTTTGGCAGAGAGTAGAATTGCGCGTCGGCGAATAGCCGCACAAAGTGCGTCCCATCACGGGGCTGCACATGGTAGCCCTGCAGGTGGAGGGAGATGTCCTTAAAAGTGACGGGGTCCCGGTCAATATAGAGAGTGCGGATGGCGTTGCCTATGTCCTGGCCCGCCTCCTCGGCCTGTTTGATCTGGCAGAGGAAGTACTGAGAGAAATAAGACGGGGCTGTGTATTGTCAGTGAGGGTGAGCGCAACCCGAGGTGCTGGCTGGTTTCGGTCAGGTCTGACGTACCGTCCGATGAGAGGGATGCGCCTGAGAGCTTGTACAGCTCGGAGCCGATCTGGATAGGAAAGACGCGCTCATGAGGTAGGATGTAGGGTATCTTGGAGATGAGCTGGATGGGCGAAGTCGACTGGCCTTGGCCTTGGGGTTGGGATTGCGATTGGGATTGCGATGGGTGGCGCTGGGCAGAGCTGTTGTTGTGGTTGTTGATGTTGCCCAGCGGCGTGTTGGTGTTTGATCGTTCACCCGGCATCTTCGACGTGTACCGAATGGACTGATATCATCATCGTTGGGCCGTCATCTCCTACTACCGCATCCTGAGCCTCAGGCAGGGACAGACTGCGTTCGAATGTGTGGGAGGCGCGTGAGAGGCCCGCGAGGTGAGAGCAGTCCCAAGGTGGCCTGGGCAAGCGATCAGCCCGTTTTGATATTGGAACAGGTACCCAGGTACAAGACCAGATGGCTTGTCATGCATTGATCACCACAGTCGACAGGTCACAGAAGCATGAGTCCCGACAGCTCGGAGACGCGGGTGGGGAGGATAAGTAAGGCAATGCAGAGGCATGAGTGAGCGACTGGATAAGTAGGTGGTGAGTGGGCGAGTGGGCGAGTGAGCGAATGCAACCCAGAACGGGCGCCTCTGTTCGAACCTGATGTGGCTAGCCCGATGCCGAGATGGAGCCGATGGCTGGGCTGGCTTGGGCTGGCTGGGCATCCCAGGCGCCTGAGCGAACATGAGGGGGCGCTTGGGCCACATCTTATTTCGGCCTCACTCTTTTCCCGATTCTGACTAAATGCAACTCCCTTGTCGCTTTACCTAGTGAGAGAACATTTTACTACGTTGCTTAAACCTCTGTCAATCTACCTAGGCACTATCATGGCCAGTGTATCCAAGACCATATATTTTAACTCACAATCTTGAAGGCGAAGTCACAAGTCGCACTGCACACATCTGAGTATACCACGTAAAGACCAGCATGACAGAATTTAGCATCAAGGTCCAATACCGACGACACCTGGTTCGATAAGACGAGCGCGAAAAGCATGGTATCACGCAGACAGATTGTCTCTGAAATCAGAGCCTCGATTCTCCGCTTCGTCCCGACGATTTACAGTCGGGGCAGGATGTTGGGAAACTGGACCTTGACCATCTCCTGAATTTATGGAACTCGACAGTCTCAATTCCGGAGAAGACAGTCTCAGAGGGACCAAGTGAAAATCTGGACCCAGCTAGAGCGGACTAGACGATGACCTCCTTGAATCTATCCGGATCGCTCCCCATGAGTATGAGCAAAGCAGCCGTAGCTATATGTATGTTCAGTTCATAGGCAAAGATTGTATCCTCTCCCTGCTTTGTTGGTGTACGGCATTCTTTGACTACGGTGGCGATTCTGTGTCTGAACCCTGGAATGAAAGTCTCAGCACAATCGGCCATGAAATCATGTCTTGGATGGTAAAACGGGCCTTGAAAAAGGCGTAGAAGGGTGCAGAGGTGTTGGCAGCTGGAATACGTGAAGACTAACGACTACATGTCGCAACCCACGCAGATATAGGTTGGCGGTAGTCAAGGTAATGAGGCTTACCTTTGATATTAGATACACCCAGATCTCGGCAATGGAGTTCAGACGGCGATAGAAACCAAGGCGCCCGAGGCAAGTATTTTGCGCGCCTATCATCTGGCGAGACCCCCCCCCCCCTAACGAAGGAACTCTGCTTGCGGTTTGCCTTCATCTCCTATTGCATCTTCGGATACGATTCACGTGCTGTTAATTATTCCGAGGCCAACGGAATTATAGTCCGACGCCTCGATGCCTCCCTCGCTAGTAACATCTCGGATGTTTCTACCTCGGTATTGATCAAATTGGCCAGGGTAAGTGAGTGGAGTTTTTGATTTCTCCCTCTGGGTGTCATGGTAACTGGCGGCGGCTTATGGTTGCGAAAAGGAATGTTGCTGAAGTTAATTTATGTGTCAAGAAAGTGCACATCCTTCAGGGTGCATTGCGTTCGACAAGCAATTCGCTTGGTTGTAAGAAGAAAAATTTGGGTTGCAGAGAGATTGCTATTAGTGCGCTTAGTTTCCATCGCAATGCATGTCCCTTTTCTCCTGTCCTCGCCTGCCGTCTGGAGACACAAACAGTTCTAGTCCCTTATCTGTGGTCTCTATTCTCTAAGCTTTGGGCCCACTTCTCACACATATCTATCTATGCAAATGTATCAATAGATGTCCATCAGTTTGTGTATCCACATGTTTTTGATTGAAAATATCGTGGCCAGATCCATGTAAATATTAATATCCAGGGATTTGGGTACACTGACTCGGATTTGTGATACATTTGACCTTTTCAAGACTGTTACACTCGTCTCTACCCGGGGCGGCCATCAAGGTATCAGGTACAAGAAGATACGAGGAGCAAGCAGCATACCACCTGTGTCTTTCCTTGCAGACAAATGTCACTAATAGTCTATTCTCACTGAGAAAATTCGACTGACGCAACAATAGTACCACAATTGCCTTAAAGGGTTTATCCCATTGGAGACTGTAGCGTAGGGGATGATCCCGTAGCAGGCTATCCCACGGGAACGTGATTTGCAGTGAAAATCATACTACGCCCGAATGTTCGGGTTCTCTGTGAGCTGAACGGCACAGTCGGCTGTAATGGACCAGGATTACAGCTGCCGCACGGCGGCATTCATTGGGATGAGACGTCCGCTGGACACGGTCGAGAATTGTCCCTTCCATGAAGCGAGTCTTTGGTCATTTCCTTTCACAAGCCGCACCTGGATGCAAGACAGCACAGGTAGAAACACGAAATACGGTATCATAGAATAGCTTTCTGCCAATCAGTCGCGTGGAATCAATAAGATTCCGCCCAAAGCTCCGGTAAACTCAACATTGCTTTGCACCTTACACTTTTCCCTTATCTCCCCCAAGTCAAAGTCGCAAATCATCGCTTCTAGACCGATGTGCTTCTCAAAGTCTGTCATCAAGGATGTACCACCACGAGAGTGACCTTTGTGAATGGGCGATCGGGGTCGTAAGCTGTGTAAAGCACCAGATAAGCAAGATCTGCACTTTCAGGTCATCACAAAATTACGTGGTAAGCTTACCTGTGGTTCCTTCCGGGGTCCAACGGAAGTCATACATAAAATTGAATGGCCGCACGCCAACTGTGCCACCGTAGGCCAAATCACCTCGAGAAGCAATGTGCAGCTCAGTTTGCAAAGCATCTGTGTCCGGGTTGCAGCCGTAGACGACGTTGAAGATGGCGCGAGGATCGGTGCGATCAGTCATGAAGATCTTGGTGGTGTTATCTTTGACCTCATATTCTCCATTGATGCATGCGCGGCGCGGAGGGTCCCAAGGCAGAGTGATGACACCGTCGACGAGCGTCAGCTCACTTGTTGAGTTGCCAGCGGGGCTCACAAAAAGGTGCTGATCTCCCTGCCCCCAGTCCCAAATGTTGAGGAAGTGATTGTGGATGTCGGGGAAAGATGCATTCTGCAATTGAATTGCAAAGCCTTGAGGGATATTGTTGGAGAGTGGCTCCTCGGGAATAACGCATGCAATGGCGGCCGTGGCCGAGGCGACGATGAATCTTACTGATGCCAACATCTTGTGTTGTTGTTGAACTTTGTTTTGTTCTCCTCGGAGTTGCTGGGTATACGGAATCCATCCAAATGCGCCTGATCAGCGACCATTTATGAATGAGCTTGAGCTGGAAGGATTGCACACGATGCCACCTGAATCAATTGCCAAGAATTGATACGAGTTCACGCATCTAATAGATCTGCAGTCAGATACTAGCCTCAAAACTGGACCTTCTCCTTCCGGTAAAAAGGGGCAATTCAACAGCAGCGTCGCACTACATGTGCGTCGATCACCCCCGGATCACTGCAGCCAGTCCATTCTGCGGACTGAGCTCTATGCTGCTCAACGGGGAGGGCGCGCCGCTAATCCAGAGAGCTTGCGATAGCACCCTTTATCTTGCAGCTCTATTGTCTGCATGCTTCAGCTTTGGGACTTATGTGGATGGACACGCTGTGTTGCCGTGGCGCTGTGCTACGATAACAATATCGTTCCTGTCCCAGAGATGGAGATGATGGCAGTCGAATGCCAAACTCGTTCAAGCCTATGCCAGTGCATCTCGGTTAAGAATTTGCGAAGGCGGTATGTGGTATATTGGGTGTTGAGAATGCCCTAGCGACTATTCCGGAACGGGAAGGAAAATACAAGACTGAGCATGCTTATACTCTAGGGTCTTGCCAATTGTTACTCGCCTGAATAAGAGAATATCTGATAGACTCAAGTCAGCAATCTGCGGAACACATGAGGTTCAGTCAGTGTTACAGCGCATCACACTAGTACATTCGCCAAGGCAACTTTTTCCACTATCCAGACCAGATTAAAAAAAGGCAAGAACTCAGGAACTGCTTAGTTGCGTCTCTACCCCATCTGTCTCTTTTGAGCTACGCTTATCAGACAAACTTCAATTTCGAGATTATTCACAACTCATGCTTGCTTCTTCCTGCAACACTCTCATTCATGGGCGCTGTCTCATTTTAGAATGCTCTTAGAGCATTCCAAGCTGTTCCATGTGGAGTACTTCTTCCGCATTGAAGCATATATCGATCAGCGACAGGACTTTTAAGGTGATGTCGTGTTCCTAAACTGGTTTTGATATAGATATTTCATCCATGGCTAGCGATCGAACACTTCAGACTTCTGACGATAGCAGGGAAACCGTCAAGACTTTCGCACATTGCGCGTGTATTGCCCTTCCTCCTCTTATCATTCAGGAAAGCCATACTCGTGGGTAGCATACTCTCACGCATAGAACAATACATTTTCAATTGTTTCTGGACCACTGGCAAAAAATCACATCAAAGTACTGAATTGTACAATTGGGTTATCCACTCGCCAACTCAGCATCATCCTGACAAGCCTTTTGGTTCTCAAGGTGCCAAGATTCTGGTAAATCTGTGCGTGTTGGTGATAGTACCATGGTCCTCGAAGATATATGCTTGGGATCCTCTTTCATGGGATCGGCTGACGTTTTTAAGGTCTCTGTGTGAGTGGCGAACTCCCGGCGAAAGGCAGCCTTCCGCTATGCCAGCGTCAGGTAAGGAACAAATGATTTAAATAAGCGCAGAAGGCTGTCGCAGCCCTTGGATTTGACAAAAGTCAGAGGAGAGCGGCGTCTCGAGCGAAAGACGCTGCTGTGTAACAATAGTCGTGAATCACAGTCGAGGTCCCGGCTGACTCAGGGGTATATTATTCGGCAAATTGGCATGGTCGAACATTCGATGACTCCCACAATATTTCTCCTGAAATGCCTCGCCTCCCGACTTCGTCCAATTGTCGGTTTCCATGCGGGATACCTGCATGGAATGTGACCCATCCTGCCCAACTCGGGTTAGCAGATATCTGATTATCACCTTGTGTTACATCTGGATAGGACATGGGAGCCCCAAACAAACCTCCCAGTCTGCCCATATAGTTTCAGGATCGTTTGTGTGTTGAGAAAGACAGGATTCGCTTAGTCTGAGAGTTTCTAGACCTCACAGTTCGATTGCTTGTGGTGAATCTGGGGACAAATCATTGTGGTTTGACTACGATCAGCATAAATATCTTTCAAGTTCTCACGCCCTTTCAACTTCTTTTCTCCCCACTCTCTTCTGCAGATCAATTACATAGATGCAAATCGAGTCTTCATTTTCTTGCATTTATATTCAACGCTCTCATTCCCTCAGAAAGTTTGAGCTTTTCTTCGTCTCTCATCCCTACTATACTAGTGCTGATTATATCTGCGTAATGGCGGATGAGCGTACGCGAGAGATCGATCGACCTACTGATCCCAAGTCTTGCCTGAAAAAGGTCAAGAAGGATACATCCGAGCCGGTCGAGTGGGCTGAGATGGAGCTGAAGACCGAGGATGCCACCCTCGGAACCGATGTATCCACTCCAAAAGGAAGCATCTATGAGTCCTTGGAGAAGCGATTCATGAATTCATATAAGGTGTTACTTATAAAACAGTGGCAGAAATCGAGCGAAGCGCAGGCGAAGGCTCGAGCCTAATAATGTATGTTGCGTCTCTATCGTCAGTCTATTTTATTGACTTATTCATTCCTGGGAAGAATGTTGGAAGCATCCAGGCTTACGTGCGTGTGATGTCTGGATTTGCCGATAAATGGAGTCGCTTGGTAAATGTGACTGACAAAAGCCACAGACAAGGCCGAGTCTGGCTGGGGAAGCTCTACAGTCTGGTGCAGGACGTCGACTTAGATGGCTGCTGGGTCGCAGCGGACCGGGAAATGCATGACAATTGCCGTGATCAAAACGAACAAGGGGGATTGGCTTCCTAAAACATTATGTCAACAAAGTGGTAGGCAATGGAGAGTTCATTGTCTCTTGGCATTTCTTAGCGAGAATGCGTACACATCGGTTCTTGCAGGACGATTGACCACCTGGTAGATGGGGGAGTACTGGATCCATGTCACCCATTTGTTCTCAATGTCATAGCTTGCAATTATTCGAAGATTCCTGTGTGAAGGACAAGTCACTTACCAAGATTGTGTAGCCCTCTAATATACTTATATATATATCAATATTTGAATAAAGGTTCGGTTTTAGTCGACGAATGGAGTTGGACATCAAACGCTAGTAGTCAATAATCGAGAGCATATACATCTGCGTCTGCGCATGTGTACATACAAGTGTACACGCACATAGCGCGATATCGAACTTTTTTCAAGTTAATCGAAACTTATTCTGAGCATATATATCAACTCAAAATCACGGGCTTAAAGCTTTGCAGCAATATGCCAACGACTACAGGGGAGAAACAAAAACGTGGTAATCGTATATACACTCCCACCCCACATGTTGACCACTTCTATTTACATGCTCCCAACAGAAAACACTTATTTGCACAAACTGAACGAAGCGCTTAGTAGACCGGGATCTTCCAAGCGTTCAGGTCGTACTGCCAGGAGTCGTAAGATGCCTGGTCAAAGACGCAGTTGAAGGCTGTGTCGCTGGTCCAGACTGGGCGTGTGGGCCACTGGCAGAGTTGCTGCACCTCGCCAGAGTAGTCACCGCTAGAGACAGTGGCGTTGAGGCGGGTGGGCGTAACACCCTGCTCGACCCAGCTGATTATGGTGTCCATGTTGTTTGCAGGGTAGGGGCCGGGCTGCAGCGAGTTTGTGCCGCAGTGGGCCGCACCGGGAACGAGGTAGAACTGGTACCAGTCGGAGATTGATGAGACGGACTGGTTGAATCCGACGTTGGGGTACATGGCCTCACGGACGGCCTCGTGGTAGCGGACGGAGGACGGAGGCGGGATGGACGGGTCGGACTCGCCGTGGTAGTGGAGCAGCTTGCCACCGTTGTTGTTGAAGACGCTCAGGTCAGTGTAACCGGTCTGCAGGGAGTCATAGTATCTGATGTAGCCGGCATGCATCCTAGATGCTATTAGCATGTTGTCACTGCTCTCTTGAACCAGCAGTGTAGGGTAATGATCATAAATGTTCTTTGAGTACGACCTCTCAGACACAAGAGAAAACATCGCCCTATAGCTTCGCTGGAACCAGATACACTTCTAAAATCACTTACCACTCGTAAAGCGTCTCATAGGTCGCGTTGTCAAGGCTCTGCACATTGTCCTCATCGAGGAGCTCGACAAACTTGGCAACGAAGACTCCGCCGGTCGAAGGAATGGTGACACCCCAGGATGCGGTAGTGTTGTCGTAGGTTGTCGCAGCGTCATCGAAAGTGGAAGCGATTTGCCATGGGAGGTACACCTGCTCGCCGGTGGAGAGGGTCAGTCCAGAGTAGAGCTTCTGTGCCAGAGCGACACCCTCGGCAGTGACGGTGCCATTCTGTTCGGGAGTTGTGCTGGTCGTGGAACCCGCAGCACGCTTGCTGAAGCCGAATCCGAGAGAGCTGCTAGTCGAAGCAGCACAGTAGTAGGACTCGCCGATGATGGAGGTCAAGTTGAAGTTGAGCAGGCAAAGATCAGTTCGGGCCACAACGCCATCAGTTCGGCCGTCCAGGGGATCACAAGCAGCGATAGTGGCGTTGGCGATCTTGGACATCTCGCAAGGGGGCGGGAAGTAACCCTCCACAACCTCGGTGACCGAGGAAGTGAGGTGGTTAACCTGCTGCTGGGCGTGGTGAAAAGCAGGAGCACCGGCAACGATGCCGTCGTAGACATCACCGTAACGCTGGGCTTGACTCATGGCCTCACGACCACCATCGGAACATCCCTCGAAATAGGTGTAGATCTTGGTGTCAGAAGACAGACCATAGAAACCCTTTGCCATCTCTTTTCCAACCAACGCAGTCTCTCCCTGGGCCTGGTAAGAGAACATCATGATGTTGTCCCAGTTGAGAGAACCGTTTCCGTTGAGGACTACTTCATCGAGGCTGTTTTCGAATCCGCTGTAGCCAGAGTCGGTTGATCCAGAAACGGCTCCGTAGGAGAGTCCGCCGGTAGGGTTGCTGGTGCCCTCGGAGTAGCCACCGCCACCGCCGATGTAGAAACGGTTCTCGAAAGCATCGGGATCCGGGAAGCTGTACCACAACAGAACGGAGTCGTCCTTACCAGTGTGGGTGTATTGGACAGTAACATTGCAGTAGAGGGAGCTGGTATCTCGCTTTTTCATGCCGCCCATGCCGCCTGAGCTGGCCGACGAGTTGGCAACGGCAGCAGTGACGGAGGAAGGGATCAGGTTGACGCCGAGGATTGTGCCATTAGCGGGAAGGGCAGCCTGCACGTTTGCCACGGAGCAAACGTCAGTGAGGGACGACATTGTAACGAGTGTTGTCGAGGTAAACTTTGGCGAAAAGCACGGTCAGGAAACGAGAGACTCTGGCAACAAAGAACGACTGAGAAGTTTTCAGAGCTGAGTGCTCGAATGGCAGACAGTGGCAAGCCCCAAAAGAAGTATAGAGCAGGAAGCCATCCTTTTGAAGCATCGTGAGGTTCCCCTCCACGCGGCAGTGGATAAGGGGTGGTCAGGATAGGGGCGGGAACGAAACATTGTTTCTCAAGCTCTCGTGGGTCCCAAAAATACATCACCAACCCCACACCCGAGGGCGATGATGGGATGAACCACTTAGATAGAAGATCTTGTTATTGCTCTTCTCGACTACGCGTAATCTTTTTGATGTAGCTGTCATGGCATCTGGTGTCTCGACTAGACAGAGCACTTTGACTCGGCTCGGACTCGGCTCGGAGGGCCGTCAATGTTAATTCCGAGTGGGACAAAGACTTGGCCACAGTTGAAAATCGCGTACAGTAGGAGGCTTAGCATGGATAAAAACCTCGATCAACCCACTTGTCTGCTAATTTCGGACGGAATATGGGGTGTAGTGCCTAGGGAGTCTTAACTTCAGTGCCACCAGCCCCATGTATTTACGCGTTCAAGTACGACAGCAATTTAAGAATCCGCTCTTAGGGCTCAGGCCTTTCAACACGAATCACTACTGCACTGCTAAAGAACGGGTGAAGAGCTGTGAACACCAATCTTTTTCAGAATCGCTGTGCTGTTGTCTGCGTCCTGCTCCGTGACACATGTATGAATGGCAGTCAACTGGTGGCCCTTACCTTCGACACAAGAACAGAACATTCGAGGCGGACATACGCCCTGACTGACCGCCAGGGCTGAGAAAAGTGAGTCCATAATCCAATACCCCTGGATAATACTTTTGAGATGGTAGACTTTCGGACAGGCGGGGGTGGATCCGCGTGTCCCGTACTGGCTCACATGTAGACTCTGCTGCAGTGCTCCCAGCAGACCGGAAGCACCGACTCCAGCATGAACTCACCCTGTACTTCCTCAGCCACCTGAGTGGGCACAGGCCCTGACACTACGGCATGTGGGAGCTCAGTCACGCCAGGAATTCCAGTAGATAGTGTCCCGTGCTGCCCAGGTTTGGCACGTGAATACAGCGAGAAAAGTCTCGCTTGTGGTACCTGCATTCCACAGCGCATACGGTCTTGGCCGCGTCACTGGCTTGCATGACCCCGTCCTTGAACATATGTTAGCTCATTAAACTCTTGCATGAGGCTTGGAAGTTCTGGACAACATCGTTCCGGTGGGGGTCTTTCGGGTTGTAAACCTTGGAGCCTAACAAAACTCCTGCTCTTCGACAGACTCTGGTCCTTCTAAGTTACTTCCTGAAAGGAATTCTGAGTATTGCAACATCGAGAGCTCGAAGGTTCCCATGCAAGAAGAAAGCCTTTCTACTCAGATATCACAGAGCAAGGACAAAGCAGAAAATGAATCAGATGGATCCGTGCTGTGACCGTTGCGTCTAACGTGCCATTCTAAGCAGCCCGTGAGGAGAGTGCTTTTCGGTCACGACTTTTCTTGAATGACTTCAGGACTGCAATGCAGCACCGTAGAATCAAAATAGTTGGAGGTGCCTGCTTTTTAAATTGGATAAGGGCATCAGGTCAGAGGATCGTGAGCTTGACTTGCAGGCTGTCAACTCATCTTGTCTTCCAGGCCGACAACGGCGACTTGTGGGCCAATGTACTGATCTTCATGCCCTTGGAAGAACATCTAGGCAGACTGAACTGCTGCGGTCGTGCGTTGGGGGTCACGGTTGGTTCCAGGCCACACCACACAGGGATTCCGAAATTATTACAACACGGCACGTTAAACACCTCCAAATATTTGAAGTTGTTCCTGAAATATCCAGTTTATTGTTTGATTCTAACTAATTACAACAGTATATACATGTTTTTAAAATAGTTTTAAAAATCTAATAATAAGAAAACTTGTTAGGAGGATATATAAATAACTCCTTCTAAGCTTAAATTTAAGCTTATTCTAAGGGATGATATAAAAGATTGTAACAGAAAGACACTTAAAACACCTCAACTGTATGAAACCTGCTAAGGACCGATTTATAATTATATAAAACGTTTTTATATTTAAATTTAATTTAAAGAATAAGTTCTCTGAAAAAGATGTAATATCTTTTAAGTAAACAAGATAAGTATTCTCTATAATCCTTACAATATATTACACCTATTCTTTACCGCTTTTGAGCGTTCTTTACTTAATTAATACTAAATCAATTCCTTCCCAGCTTTTTAAATTCCTTTGCTAAAGGAGAAACGTTATTAACTAATAGTCTGAAATACATCCAAGGCAACAACTCTAAGTGGAGCACAACAGAATTAAAAGATAGGAATAAGGCCCCAACATATTAATATAGTCTGTAATTCCACTGCCCCTAGCGGTATTATCACCCTATTTTCAATTTCTATTTTTAATTTATTTTTCAATTTAGAATGGAAAACGCACAACTCGAACGAGGTGCTAGTCGATGGCAGCTTCTAATCCTGGGAATTTATTTAAGCTGTTGAAGTGTCTCCATGAATGAATTTCCAACATACGAAACATAACAACAAATACATTTTCAGCTTTGCCCTAGTAATAATTTCAATATTAGCTACGCATGCCTTGTTAATCAGAGAGCTTCAGCATGCGACATCAATCGAGGCTTCCACGTAGGAAGGGCCATCAATAACGCTGCTGTGACGGCACAGCTATATAAGACTTAGGAATTCTGACCCTTTGGCTTCCTTTGCTATGGTGCCGCGGTATGGGACGCCGTCTCAGCTGCAGCAGCCCTTACCCGCTACGAACTGTCTTATTTAACACGATTCTACATTTTTGAAAAACAACGAGGGTCATTTTCCTCCACTTAAAAGCCGCTCGTCAACAAATTTGGCCTGATGAATGGTTGTCAGACCTCTTTCCGTACTACAGTTATAGACTTGTTTTGGCTCAACCGCCGAACCGAGCACTCGATTCTTGTGGCAGCTGCAGTGAGTAGTGACATCTTGGAACAGCTGGTATTAATTGATCCGTTGAATACAGGTCCACTGAGGCTGCAGATACCTGCGAAGATAATATCAGTTCAGTCATTTGCGACTATGCTAGGAAGTTGTGCCACAACTGGCGCTGAGACCGAAGGGATCAAGCACCACAATGGTTCTGGAGCCACATGTGCGCCGTGCGAAACAGACAGAACAATGAAAATCGCTATTCAACTAAAGTGTTTGATCGCATTATTCCTTATCATCTGACGACCGGAGACCGTTCCCTAAATGCAAGCCTCACACGGACCATTCGTCAGAAATACCACGTTGACAGCGGCAAAGCTAGCAGCTGGTCAGCATTTGTCGCAGTCGGGATCGAAAGTAATAGGTTGAGACCTACGCAGCTGTGGCAGCAAAGATCTCAATCCTCCTAGCATTCGTCATTAGCGCCAGAGCCAGCGAGAAACAAGCGGAGAAAGCCACAATGACACCGAGTTTCATGGTATTCGACTGGATGACGTAGAGCACTGTGATAGACAGCAGTGGGAGCAGCGATGCGACGACTGTTGTGAAGACGTTTGCTGCGGAAGACAGAATCGATTCCTTGTAGTTGTATATTCCATCTCCAAGCTCAGGTGATTCTGGGTCCTGGGCTGTGGTCAGTACTGTCCGACTGTGCAATCCACTTTGACTAAGTTCAGGAGACGCTAAGACTTACCTTCAACTTCTGCCCAATTAGTCGATGATAGAGCGGAAATATGGTGGTAATGAACCATGACGAGGTGGGATCTTTTGGTGACCGAGGCTTCAACGCGACGAGATCTTCGGTATGGTTCCAAGCATCCATGTCCGGCCCGAGAATTGGAAATGCACCCATGGATTCGCGTTGGAACCATTCCTGCAGAAACTCGAGGTCGAGCTTATTTGGCCCTTCGAGCTTGGCCAGAAAGGCCTGTCTGAGAAGGCGCTCATCTGGCGAGTCCGTGTAAATATCGCGCGACTGTCTTTGCCTGCGCCGAGGTGTACCTTCGAGTGTCCTTACTGTACGTGTCCAGCTTCTTCCTCAGCTTCCGTATCGTCCGCCACTGTTCTCGTCCCTCTTGATCTAGGCCGTGTGCTAGTGTCCACCAGTCCTTTGAATAGAAGTTCCGATCAGGATGGGCCGCATCTCGGTCGACAAGCCGGTGTAGACGTTCCTCGAGGTGTACGATTTCTGCTTGGCTGTAGAGGAGTTCCTGGTGGTTCAAAATTTTGAAGCGACGCAGAATGGCAAATTCATCATACTTTGCCATCAAATGGGCGACTTTGGCATATCCTTCCATGGCTGACCAGGGACATACTTTGTGATGGGAGGTTACTGCTTGTCATCAAATTGTCGGATACGCTTGTCAACGTCTGATGCATACCCTGTGTGCACTGCAATATGATTCGATGAATGAGTACTCCGCCTTAGTATCGGCTTGAGGGGCTTTGCATGGTGCAGACGCAAGCCACAAATGCGCCCGACTAGAGTGATGGTGGGCTGGCAGGCTTTCTGAGAGGCTCCGTGGGGTAATCGCAACTCGCAGCCTGCTTGAAGAATGCATATAAACCCAGCGAGCCATGCCATTATCACGAATGGTACCATCCAACTCGTCCTTCTGCCGAGGCTAGAGATTGGTCCGTTAATGTGCACTTTTTGGTGCCTGACCATTCCGGGACCGCATTCGCGATTGAGTACACCAGAGACGGTGTGATTGGGGCCCGACACCCTCCCAGAATATGAACAGAAAATGTACGGCTCTTATAAGTAGGTACACAAAACCCCACTTGGGATGTCGGCCCAAGCTAAACAGACCTCTGGATTTATAGTGCACAAGGCTCAGAGCTTGCTCGCTGGAGGCCTCCTCAACAACCACACCACCACTGGCTTTGCGACCAACACATCGGCTCATACTGGGGTGAATTTAGCATGGGGGACCTCAGCGATGCAGATTTTGAGCGAAGGAATGGGTTCTCTCGAGAGGAGCTGAGAGAGGTGGAACAGAAAAGGCTGAACGAAAAGAATGCATTGGAATTCGGGGCACGTATGCGCGGTGGTTTCACCACTGTCTCCATGGAGAAAGCCGCAAGGTTTCTGGATAAGCAGGAGGTGTGTGGAGACAAGAAGATTCTGACCCAATTCATCTGTATACCAGATCCTGCTAATGCTCGTTTCCAGGCGGAGGAGGCGAGACAAAATAAACGCGAAGAGATGAGCAACTGTGCGCGTTGGATGTGGTTCATGGAACCTGAGGCTGGGGTCGCGCGCCCCGTTGAGATTATAATGGATACTGGTTCTGGAGAGAACTTCATGACCGAAGGAATGGCCAAAGACCACAAGCTTCCGGTACAGAAGCTTTCAAGCCCGGTGACTTTTGACTTGGCCGTGGGCGAGGTCACCTGCCAGTACCGAGTCGAAGTCAGCTGGATGGGGGCCGGTAACGAGCACGGCATCGCGGAGTTCTATCTTCTCCCACCGGATGACCCACGAATCGATAAACCTTTGCTCGGGAGAGACTCGATACAAGAGTTCCGGGACTTGCTTCTGACGGAACGTCCGAGGAAGGCCATTGCGTATACTGCAATGAAGAAAAAGACGGTGAGTTCGTGGAGTTGCTTGCGGGATCTCTAGCACGAAATAGCACGAGACTTCTTGTCTCTCTGTTCCACATGAGACTGACGCTTTGCGTCGAGAAAGACACAGGACGACATCCGCGCACAGCAGGTGCGTGAGCAAGCGATGGCGGATCGCACAAGACTAGCACGGGATCGAGAGAGATATCAGAAAGATAAGGATGAGAAGCGACGTGACAAAGGCTCCCAATCCAAAGAGAAGAAGTAGAACATAAAGGCGGTGGGATGTTTTTCAGTGGTAATTGTGAGTGTGAGATGGCGAAGGGGAGTTGGTTGGCACTGTCCGAGTCAATAAGCACGCAGACATGAAGGTAGTCAGTCTCTTGACCGCCTTCGGTGACTTATTTCAACAACCCTTACCACTAGTATGGATGTATATACCGTCAATAACAATAGAGTCGGGCAAACATAAGGTCCACCTGTCGTCCTGCCGACCTATGACGGTCCGTGAGTCAAGTTCGGGATGGCTTTGATTGAGCACGGCCAGCTATAGTGCTCCTGAATAGAGTTGGGAGCGTTCTGAGAAGCTACCCATAGTGTGCTTACGGTTTCCAGAGCCGCAATCACACTCACACCGCCTCCTCCTGTGCGCGCGCCATAGCAAGGTCGTAGATCCGAGTGCATCTTTGTCAACCTGTAGCTGTAGGCCGTAGTATGTTTGATGAGGCATCGCACTGAACATTCCAAAGGTCTCTCTGCACGATACTACAACACAGAGAGATTGGATCTCTGGACTGAAAGCTGGATGGGCTGGTTATTGTATCGTCTCTGCCTGTTATCGATGCCAGGGGTCAAGACTGACCGCTGTCCACCTGTGCGTCATCCCACACAGGGCCCAGGCAACCTGGAAATGTCATTTCTGATACCAACCTCTAATGGGAAGCACTACCAGATGCAGTAAAGAAGTGGACGAGGGACCGTCCTGCGGCAACCAATCGTCTTCTCGGGCAGCACACCATCGTCCTCCTCCCATTGCACAGCAGCTGTGCAGGTGGAACACGCCCCACTTTGAGCAACTCGACATCCGTTACTTACATCTCCATCCGGCTCATCGCACTACCATTGTCCATCATCTATTCCTGAGCATCAACATCGTCTTGTCGCAATTGCTCAGTTTTGGTGGCCACCGTTACTGTTCTCCACACGCGCATTCATCACAACCAGTCCATTCCTCTCTGCCTTCAACGGTCTACCCTCGTCTCTCTCTACATTCCGTGGGATCGAAGGAACCAGACACCCAGAGTTCCTCAACCCCCTCGCGTGCCGTCGCCGCGCCCGTTGCATCAGATAGCATGCAGCCTGACCTATTGCGCCGTCACCGACAACCACCCAAAATCCGCATAAAGCATCCGTGACCGATGTGTGGACCATTAGCAGTGCTCACAATCAACTAAGCGGCGACGGCCTCGACGGCGCTCCCTGCGCCGCGGCCTATCTCCCGCATGGACCCGACCGATCGCCGTCTCGTCCTGGGCGCTCTGCGGACCTCCTCCAATTCCCTGGACACCGTTAGGGACCTCGTCAATTACCTCAAACGGGACCGCATATTCACTGAGGCGCAAATTTATGACCACATGGAAGAGTTCATTCGTATCTGGAAGGAATGGAAGCAGCAGGACGCTCTATCCCCTCCCGACAGTAATCTTGGCGGAAGGCAGGACGATGCCGATTTGGACAGTCCGACGGGAAGGCTGGCTTTGTACGGCCCTGTCGATGAAAAGGTGAGCATGGTTCAGCGTGACACATAGACGGCTTCTTTTCCTTCCTCATTTCCCTCTACAATCCCCCATTTCTCTCACTCTGCTTCCATTGACCACTTAGACTGACTTGCTGTAGATGGAAAAGGAACTCATCTCCCTCTTCCGACCGCAGCGCGCCAACTTCGGTTTTGCCAACTCAAGACACAGCGAGGGCACCGTGAGCTTCATACAAGCCAAGACGGTAAAGAACAACGGACTCGAGCCAGATGACGACGGTACGGTCGTTATTCAGTGGAAGTCTTCCATAGCTGCAGGCGGGGACCCCGACGAGTACGTCGATGAGACAGCACGTAACACCCGCTGCATCGTGCTGGGGCCTGACGACGTCAAAGAGGTGGGGATGACCGTTGATATCGTTTTCGGGACTTGCTGTGTGGCCGACCTCGACGAACAGCGCTCGCATATCCCACCTCCTCGGTGCCCTACTCCTCCCGAGGGGCCGCCTTCCGACATAAATCAGCCGGATGCTTCCATGGCCTCGTCATCCGATGAGGCCGAGGCGCAACAGATGGTCCCCACCCAGCACCCGGTTCCTTACCCTCACATGTCGTCTGCGCCCGCCCAGATGGCCCCTTATATCCAAGCTACCAATGTTTTCATCCTGAACAGCCCAGATCAGATGCCATGGGCAGCACAGCTGGGCAGCACAATGGAAAATCGAGGAGTTGCGGGCACTGCAGGGCCATCTGCTGCATCAATGAGCGGAACTCAGGCCACCAGTGGAAGCAAACGCCAGGCCGATGGGAATGCCCAAGGCTTTGGGAGAGCAAAGAAGTTCCGTTCCTAGTCACTGGGCCTTGTTGCTAAAGTGGGAGACAGGCCAGTCTTCTTTAGGGCGGACTCAGCACTCTTGCTTGTCCTCGGTGTGTGGCAAACAGTGACGGCTTTCCTGAAATCTTCTCTGTCTTGGATATACCCTTTTCATATCTGGTTTTGGCGCGCATGCCAGGGTTCTGGGATGAATCTTTGGGCGGGAATATCCACTTGCGGCTGGGAGTCTGGCCTGGACGTGCACGAGTCTATGTTGCAGTCACAGGGAAGAATTACAACATCAATGCTCTTGCCAGGGCTCAGAGAGGCTTTCTCATTTTTATTTATCAAGCTGGCTTAGAATGCGGCGTTTGCGAGAGGGTGGTTTCGGTTTACGGTTGGCCAAGGTGTCCGACCACCTAGGCATTTCATCGTGGTGGGTGGATGTTCAAAATATGTGCCAAGCATACGATGAGGGAGGAGATACCCATTTCGTTCATAGCAAGACCTGAGAGCTGGCGAAGAAACCATGGTGCAGCGTATACTGGGAAAGAAAAGCTAAGGGACGACGGACACGACGGACAATAAGTGCTATAAACATGCGAGGAAAGCTTGATTGGGCTCCGATTACCAGCAGGCAGCATCGGAGGCATTGATACCCAAGGGCCCCGCCAGACGAAGACAAATCATATTTGACCAATTACCTACGTTAGGAAAGAGTAAATATATTGAATTCACAAACAGGGGGACTCCGATTTGTCTATTGCCTTGCGTGGACGCGTTCAGGTCCAGTGAGGGGCACGACCGCGTTTGATACTTCAATGATATTGCCAGAGGACTGTTCTACATCACCCGTGTCTTACGAGGTGTAGTGCGCTGGCCCATCAACATGTCACTTTGGACATTTGTGTGTGTCTTGGCAGGATGTCATGTTGATGCAGGATGCATAGCATTTCCATCGCCTCCGAGCTTGAGCCTTCTGCCGGTAAAATTCCCGATCTATGCTCTTCTGCCAGGTGCAAACATCCACGTGGCCACCTAGACAATGGCCATATTACCGAAGAGCCAGCAAAGGAAGAAGGAAAAAAAAAAGAATACAAGCTCATGCTTTTCCCTGTGCTACATAAATATTCCCGAAATATGCTCTGAGGGTCCTCTATGCAGCCCATATAACCCCATCGAGATAACACCGGTCAAATACTTGTGTGTTTAATGCACCAACTCCAGAAATCAACCTCTACTCCTTGGCCGCCTGGATCTCCGCCTTGGCCGCCTCCTCCTCCTCAACGAGCTCCTCCTCCACCTGCTTCTTGACCAGCTCGCCCACGGCCTTCCAGTCGTTCTCCACGAACGCGACCCGCTTCTCCCGCTCATGCATGCCCACAAACTCCTTGGGCAGAACCTTGGCCTCGAAGTCGTAGCCCTCCAGCCCCGTCAGCGCCTTGTCGACCGCGTTGGCGAACTTGGCGGGGTGCGCCGTCGCTAGCGAGATGTGCGGCACCTCGGCGCCGGCGCGGGCAACGGACCGTAGCGATGCGGCGATGCCGACCGCCGTGTGCGGGTCCAGGATGTAGCCCAAGCGGCCGTAGAAGTCCTTGATGGTCGCGACCGTCTGCTCGTCGTCGACGCGCTCGCTCTCGAAGTCGCGCTGTGCTGAGAGCAGCACTGCCTTGTACACGCTGAACCCACCCTTGGCCTTGAGGTCCTTGTGCCACGCGGCGACTTCCTGGCCTGCCTGCCGCTTGTTCCACTCATCGTCCATGCCCGCAGCCGACGCGAACTCGTACGCCAGGAACCACAGCAGCCGCTCGAAGTTGCTGCTGACCAGGATGTCCATGGCGGGTGACAGCGTGCCCTTGACGCCACTCTCGTCAGCCTTGACGCCGTCGGCCACGAGGCCCCCGTTCGCCTCGGGCGGGCCCGCCGCTGGCTTCTTGTCGTACCGGCCCGTCCGCCAGAACCGGTAGAGGATGTCGTTCTCGTTGGTCGCCACCACGAGCTTGTCGGCCGGCAGGCCCATGCGCGTGGCAAAGTAGCCGGCCAGGATGTCGCCAAAGTTGCCCGTGGGCACCACGAAGCGGACCTTGTCGCCCAGCTTGAAGCCCGGCGACGACTTGGCCAGGGAGAAGTAGGCATGGAAGTAGTAGACTATCTGGGCGAGGATGCGGGCCCAGTTGATAGAGTTGACGGCGCCGAGGTTGAGGGTGGAGTTGGTCTCGGGATCGGCGAAAAGGGCCTTGACGATGTCCTGGCAGTCGTCGAACGTGCCTGTGACGGCGAGGTTGTGCACGTTCTTGTCGAGTACGGTGGTCATCTGGGCCTCCTGGATGGCGCTGACGCGACCCTTGGGGTGCAGGATGAACACGGAGACGTCCTTCTTGCCGCGAAGGCCGTAGATGGCGGCGCTGCCTGTGTCGCCGGACGTTGCGCCGACCACGGTCAGGTGATGGCGATCTGTGGGCGGTGTGGTGTTAACCTCTAGTTTCGAAGACCAGCTCGCACCCCGCCATGTGCCTCTCGCGTATACGTGTATGAATCTCACCTCTTCCGATCTTGCCCTCGTTTTTCCTCGTCAAGAAGTACTCAAACAGGTTGCCCAGGAACTGCAGGGCAACATCCTTGAATGCAAATGTGGGCCCGTGGAACAGCTCTAGGAGATACAGGTTGTCCTGTAGATGCCGCAGGGGCGTGGTCTCGTCGTGGCGGAAGGTGGCATAACTCCTGCTGATGATGCCCCTGAGGTCGTCGGCCGGGATCTCGGAGGGGGAGATGTAGAGGGAGAGGATGTTGAAGGCGAGCTCGGGGAAGGGCAGGTCCTTCCAGCTTTCCCAGCCCGTGGCCTGGGGGATCTCCTCGGGGATGTACAGGCCGCCGTCGGTGGCGAGACCCTTGAGCACGACGTCTTCGAAGGACAGCTGCAGAATCACCAGTCAGCCGTTGTCAGTCGATGGGTTTGCGGCCTTGCGCTCAACAAACTGCAGCGGAAAGAAGAGGAACAAGGGGGTCGAGGGGCTATCATCGCACGTCATTGTCGTCTCCGCGGGTGCTGAGATATCGCTGGGACTGGGTATGGGTGCCGTTGGAGGCGCCATTGGCCCCTTCTTGGTTGGACATGGTGACCAAATAGTCGGATATGTGAGATCAGCTGTCTAGCAAACTATGTCCTGAAGGCAATTGACCAGATCTTGGGGCAGAAGGGGGGAGGTTGGCGGAGGGGTGGAGGTTGGACCCCGCGGTGGCCCATGACTCTGACTTGCGGCGAGAAAATCCACAGCTTTCTCGCCGGCTTCGGCCCCGCGAAGGCGTGCCTATCTATTCGCTGTGTGCCACTGGGGACTGGGGCAGAGACCCGCCACAGGGAGTGCGCGGTGAGACCGGCTTGGCGGCACACGCCAAATACGCCATTCGCCATTGGAACAAGCATTGACACTGCAGCACGCAACTGCAAGGGCAGCACCCATATCAGCCGGGATTGCATGCGCATGCAAGTAACTTCGTCGAGCTAATGTATATTGGAGGAGCTAGTTCCGACGTCAATTCGTCTTCATTCGTTCGACCGTGCACCTGTTTTCGTGCCTCTCGGTTCAGCACTACCCCCTCTGGCTGGCGAACAAAATCATACACGCCTCAAAAAAGCCTATCCGGCAGGTGGACGGGATGATAATTAAAGCCAAATTTTCGAGCATAACGGCTGATTTGCCATTTTACTTGCGAATGATCTTCAGTAGAGGCGCAATCCTCGATCTCTTGCTCAATCCCACCCTTAACGGTACCTTACCCTGTTGGTTGGTGGTGCTCGAGGCAGACCTGGGGTTGTCCTTTACTTTGGCCTCTGGTGTGCCCTCTCTTAGCATGCCAGCAGTATCTTCCGGGGCCGCCCCCTCCTTGCCTTCGATCTCTTCTGCGGGCCCCTGAGAGGGCGTAGTGTTGCTGATATCTGCAAGAGCCTTGCGATTTACCCCTGCTGCGGCTTTGGGGCAATCTTCTGCAACACTGGCAGCTTCTGGCTCCTGTTGAGAACTATGGACAGGCTCAGCCGACTCATCGTCTGCAGGAGGTTCCTCGATCACCTTTCTCTTCCGTCCTCTCTTGGCAGGGGCCTTTCTTATTTCCGTAGCCTCTTCATGTTCGATGTGAGTGGCTTCTTCTGCACCGTGAATGCTTGACTCTTCGTCTTGGGCTGCAGGCGTGTCTGCCACGACCTTCTTCTTGCGGCCTCTCTTTGACGGCGCCTTTGATGGGACAGGTGCGTCTTGCACAACTTGGGGAGATTGAGCTTCTCCCACATCTGCATCATCCGCAATGTTGGACATATCTTCGGTCCCGTACGCGAGCGTAATATCATCATCAGCTGTTTTAGCCGGCGGTGGCTGGGTGATATCTGATTTCTTTGGCCTGCCCCTCTTCTTCTTCGTTGCAGTTGTTGGTGCAGCAGCAGCTTGCGAGTCAGCCTCCTCTATCACGGTCGATGCATCCTCATTGGCCGTCTCCTTCTTCTTTCTTCCTCTCTTCTTAGGCTGTAGTGTTTCCTCACTAGGTGGCACGTGGATGTTACCACTTTGACTCGGGCGACCACGACCTCTAGTCCGTGATGTCTGTGAGTTGCGGGCCAGCTGACCAGCAATCACCTCTTGACGAAGGTCCTCCGGCAATGCAGCGAGGTAACTAGGATCTATCCCGTCGATTGTGTCGTCTTGTTCCTGTGGCATCTGTTGTCCCGACGAGATTAGGATAGGTTCCGCATGTCGAATACCATCTGGGCTACCCGGGCCGGGAGGGCAAGTATCCGGCATGGACCGTTCCGGTGCCGCCAGGTCCTCGTCTCCTGCATCGAGGATTGCCCTTGACCTCCGCCGACTTGGCCTGGGCTTGTAGCTCTCCCGGTGAGCTCCTATCTTATCAGAGTCCCAGGAGTCATCGTGAGCCACATCAGGGTACCGATCTGTCTTCTGGCGTTTCTTCGTAATGCCCGCATCGACGTCTGCTTGCGTGCGTTGTTCGTCCTCATCAATTCCTGATCTCCTTCTACTCGGTCTGGGGTTGTATTTCTCCCGGGCATATCCAATCTTATCAGAGTCCCAAGATTCATCTACCACTAGCTCATCTGTCTGATCTGCGTGCCTCTTCCGTTTCGTCCGAGGCCCCAGCTGCTCCACGACGTGCGAGTTAAGCTCATCAGGCGAAGAATGGGGCTGAGAATGTCAGTTTGTTGCACAACGGGACATGGCCCAGAGGAAAAGAGTGGCAACTCAATGTAGGGGGACAGAGACGAGACAAGCTTACCTCGGTGGCGCGAACCATGCTATTCTGCGCCCTCTTACTGCTAGAAGTCAAACCTGACGAATTGCGACCGTCGTTCTCCGGACGTTCTGGAAATGCCGGAGCAGATGAGCAGTATCGGCTCGGTGTTGTATAAGCGATAGTTGCCTCACTGCTGCGAAGTTTTTGAGTCTGTGTATCGAGATGTTGTATTGGCAAGGCGTCCTCGTGGCCGGCTTGATTGTCGTGTTCCGAAGATCCACTGACACGTACATATTCCTGCTTCTGGCTGGTGGTGAGGTGATTTGGGGGAGCAATGAAGAATGAAGTAGCTGTCTCCTTCGTGGGTTTTGGTGCCTCGTCGAGAGTGTCGGGAACTACAGAATCCTGACCATCACGGCCATCACACGTTTCCGCGGGAGATTGGTTGGTCTCTGCGGTCCTAGGGACAACCAGCAAGTCGACATCTTCGTCGAGACCGTCCAAGGTTCGCTGAGTGCCATTGTTCGTTTTCTTCCGTGCAGGCTTTGATGATTGAACCTCATCCTCCTGCATACGGGTCATAGACAGGCCTTGGCTCCTTGCTGAGGGACGCGCTGGGCTTGAGCTGGGGACAGCTGATGCTGGTGTCGCAGACTCCCCTCTCTTCCGCTTGCTGTAGGTTTTGGCAGTCGTTGCCTTGGTCTTTGGCTTCGCGTTGTCGCCTTCACCGTCACTACTGGGGAACTCATAGACGTCCTTGTGCGAGCCACTTGATCCATCCTTCCTAGGAGTCGTGACTTGGGTAAGGTCGGCAAAGTCCTTTGAATTCACGGCCAACCTTGACTTCCTCTTTGCGCTCTTCTCGGTCGGATCAGTGATTGATGACGAGTTCTTCGCCTTCGGGTCAGAGCTCTTCTGCCTGTCTGAGGAAGCCCCTTCAGCCCTGCTATTCGCTGCAGATTCAGGAACATGTTGCTGTTCATCATAGACTTTTTGGAAGAAGTCTGGATCGGTGGATCGCTGGTCGATGGCTGATTCTCCCAGCTGGGGGCCCAGTGCATCGCCTTGCAATGCGATCGCACCGTCCGCGGCATCAAGACCACCTTTGACAGGGCTATTGATCGGGCTGAAACCGGCGTCTTCGTCCTCGGAGTCATAGATGATCCTCCGATTCGGCATCTTTGCTACTGTGCACTGGGGCGCATGATTGGTGAACTTGGACAGCAATTCGAGGGGTCTGATACAGAATGCCCAGGAAGTCGACATCAGACGCGTCTTCCCAAATGGAGACGCGTCGCTGGGGTATTCAAGTCACCAGGGTCGAACCCTTGAAAGGCTCAAGCTAGCTAAAGCACGGGGGAGGGGGGGACCCCAAGAGGCCCTCCATCCTGGTCGACGATCTGCTCGGGGATGAATTGGCAGATCCAGTGCAACACACACCTCGCCTGCTTCCGTCTCCGCCTCCGTCCCCAAGAAGGACCGGCCCTAATTTCCCACCCATCAAAGTGCTGCTGACGGGGAGATTTCCATGCCTGTTCGGCTCAGAGAGCCCTCCTGATCTGGGCGGTGGAGTCTAAATCAGGCAGGTTGCACGTTTTGTTTCCCATCATTTTGTTTCACCTACATTTTCACGAGCTTGGCACTTCTGGGCCACCACCACAGATGCAACCCTTCGCTATTACGGAGGAGCTCGCCAGGCCCTTGCTGATCCACTCCTTGCCGCTCGGGGGCATCACCGAGTCCACCAGCACCTAGAAAGCAAGCATTATGGCATCCAAATAAATAACCATGAGGCCCCTGGTGCACCCGCGCGCGCTTCCTGCGCTCACGAGGTCGTGAGAAGCAGACACTCCATCTCTGCCTCTGTCCCCTTTCCCTCTAGATTCCTTTATCCTGCCCTCCTGGAGCGTCCATTCTTTCTGTTCAACAAGATGAAGTTGTCCAAGCCTGCCTGCCTCTTGGCAGCCTGCTTCTCAGGGGCTTCGGCCCTGCTCGCCTTTCCCGGAGCCGAGGGTTTCGGCCGGAACGCCCTCGGTGGACGGACGGGCTCGGTCTACCACGTAACGAATCTGGAGTGAGTACACAGTCACTTTCACTGCATTATTCCGTGCCAGACTGACAAGCCGCTCCAGTGACTCCGGAACTGGCTCTCTCCGTGATGCCGTGTCCAAGAATAACCGCATTGTCGTCTTCGACGTCGGCGGCGTCATCAAGATCACAGACCGCATCGCAGTCGGCAAGAACATCTATATAGCCGGGCAGACCGCCCCCGGACAGGGCATTACCGTTTATGGCAACGGCATGTCCTGGTCCAACGCCAACGAGGGCATCGTGCGGTATCTCCGAGTTCGCATGGGACGTGGTGGCGACTCGGGCAAGGACGCAATGGGCATCGCCGAGGGCTCCAACATCATCTTCGACCACGTCTCCGTCTCGTGGGGCCGCGATGAGACCTTTAGCATCAATGGAGAGGCATATAACATCACCATCCAGAACAGCATCATCGCGCAAGGCCTCGAAACCCACAGCTGCGGTGGCCTGATGCAGACTGACGGCGGTATAAGCCTTTTCCGCAACCTGTACATCGACAACAAGACGCGTAACCCCAAGGTGAAGGGCGTGAATGACTTCCAGAACAACGTTGTCTACAACTGGGGTGGCGGAGGAGGTTACATCGCAAGTGGCGGCGACGGCCAAAGCTACGCGAATATCGTGAATAACTACTTCATTTCCGGACCCAGCACCTCCGTCACAGCTTTCACGCGGGGTAACGCAAACTTCCATGGCTTCGTCTCCAACAACTTCTACGACTCAGACCGCAACGGCGAGCTGGATGGATCGGCTCTCTGCGCATCAACCACCTGTTACAGCGACATGGACATCGTCACCACGCAGTACGACTACTCGGCCCCCGCGAAGCTGCTCACGCCTCAGGAGGCCGTCAATTTTGTCCTCAACAGCACAGGCACCTCATACCCCGCCCGGGATGCGGTGGACAAGCTCCTGATCGAGCAGGTGCAGAGCTATGGCAAGGATGGCGCGCTGATCTCCAACGAGGACGACGTTGGTGGTGTCGGTACCGTCCTGGGAGGTACGGCGCCAAAGGACACTGACGGTGATGGTATCCCAGATGCCTGGGAGACTGCGAACGGATTGGACCCCAATGACGCTTCTGATGCTATGAAGATCAGTGACTCTGGGTACGCGAACATTGAGGTCTACGTGAACTCATTGGTGCCCTCTACCTATGCCTAAGGGCCAGGAACGCTCTGGTGGGGTTGTTTTGCGACTTTGGACTGTAAATATTATGGACACTGGATGTATCTATTTATGAGGCAGAATTAATTCCTGACGCTTCAGAGAACTGATGCTTTAATTACTACATATTGCCTGCCTCCTATTGCTCGGCGCCAGTTTAGGAATGCCACCCAATTCCGGCCATGTGAACTCCGGGACTTTAGCACCAAGACAACGTCATCCAGGTTGCGTGAGCTCAAAGTGAACTCGATGACAGAAGTGAACAGTGCTTTCATCTTGACTTGGAAGAATCGACACGGGACGGGATTGGATTAGATGGGATTGAATGCGATATCGGTGTTGGGATTTTAGATTTGTCTTGTCTTTCACTCGATCTCTTCAATCCTAGGTCTCGAAGTCCTATTTGCCAACGCTGCCCTCTCAGGATCAACACTCAATCCCGCCAGCCTGGTCAAAGTCGTCCCTGATGCCTGCTCTTGCGTCTGAGGAACAAGTGACCCAAGCCGCCAGTTGTCCAGACTCTCCACCACATCACTAGCGTGCTGCTTGACCAGACCGTCATTATCAGTGCTGGCAACATAGCTCAGCACCCTCTTGATGTCCTCCTGGCTCTCCTCCGTCAGCCCGAAGCCCACGCGCCTGCCAGTCTCCTTGGCCTTGTTCAGTGCTCTCACGAAAGCTAGGATGACTAGCACGGCCGATCGCCGCAATATGCCGGCCTCTAACCCCGACTCCACCGTGAGAATGTTGACTGAGAGGTCGACGCTGGCAGAGACGAGAGACGAACCAACACCGGGCAGGTTGGTCTCGATGCCGACGGCGAGGATAGACAGCGCAGACCCGCGGATGCGGATATCCTCGCTGCCCTTCTTGCTGTCCCACCCACTGATGATCTGCGTCAAGAGCTCTTTATTCGCCTTGTCCTCCTCCGTCTCTTCCTCGTCGGAGCCGAGGTCAGGTACCTCCCCTCCCCACTCCTTCTCGGCTCTCTTCTGCTTCATCAGCCTCAGCTTCTCCTCCCGCTGCTGCTTCTGTTCCGTCTTGGGCCGGTATCCTCTCCGGCCTGCGGTGGCCAGCAATGCCTCGGCGACCTGCCGCGCTGTGTCGCCCGTGAACATTTCTCCCAGCCGTTCGATCACCTGCAGCAATGCCTCGCCGAACCGAAGCCGTATGTCTACGCTCGCCTTCTCTTCGGCGTCGACGTAGTGCTCCACGAGATCCTTAGTGACGGTTTTAGGATGCTTGTTCGCGAGCTGTGTATACATCTTGATCATGCGCAGATTGATGTAGTCATCGTCACCCTGCAACAGCGAGGACATCAAGACCAGGGTCGCAGGGATATCTAGGACGGGGCTGTTTTCGACGATGAGGGATTGGAGGAGGCTCAGGCCCTCGGCGCGGACGGGCGGTGGAGAATCTGACTGGGTTATGTAGGAGAGGGCTAGGTCGTAGGTCTTGCGGTCTTCGACTTGGCGTGATGTTGGGGCGGAGGGCCTTTCGGACGGGTCATCGAGCTCGTCCCGGTATTTCAGAAGTAATGATAGATTTCTAGCTGTTGCTGATGAGCTTCCTAGATCGGCCTTGCTGAGTCGCTCCAGTGATACTTCGACAGATTGGATCAGGTCCTTGTTTGTTCTGGCTTTCACGAAATTTGGCGCCGTGACAACAATATTGAGCAGACTGAGCGCCACTGGCACCGTCTCGTCGTCTCCTTCATCGGCACCTTGTTTCAATATGGGCTCCACCATTCTCAGAATCGAGTCAGATCCGGTTGCTAATTGTGATGGGAAAGCATCCATCATTCTTTGTAGCATCTTAACCTGTATCAATTGGTTGACCGGATCGGTCTGGGTCTCGTCAACTTTGGTCAAGAGGACATCGTCGTTCTTCTTCGTATTCGCCGAGAACCAACGGCCGAAGAGTTCGGTAAATATAGAGGACACATCCTCCGCTGAACAGACAGATTTGATCAGCTCGATCAGGGATTCGACCTTCGGTTCAATGTCTGTCCACTCAAATTGCATGGCACCTTCATTGACGGTATCTCGTGGTTTGATAACTTCTATGTCTCCACTCGCTGTTTCCCTGAACCTCCATCGAAGGTCTCCTTCATTGCTGCCTTTAAATAGAAGGTTTTGGATTACAGTTTCTATCCTCTGCGGTTCAGCAGCGAGTTTGAGATAAATGCGGAGCAGGTTCTGCGCGGGCTGGCAGTAATGTTCTTCACAATGTGCTTGAGGGCGAATTGAGCTCGCGAGAGCCCAGAGAGGAAGGATGATGGGATGCAGGAGCCTCTTGGACAGGCTGGGGTTTGGATGGGAGATCAATAGCGCCTGGAGACGGAACAGGGCCTGCGCCAGCTGCTCGGCCGAGACGAGCACCCTGTCTTTGCTGAGGTCTATGATCTTGCCAGGACCGATCTGCCAAGCGGATGCTGCCGCAGACGACGGGTTGATAGGACTCAAGATAGGCTCCGCAATGGCTCTCCAGCCAGCTGTCCCGGGAGCACCAGACTGTTTGCGACCGAGAATGCCGAAGCCGATCACAAAGGCTCCCACCTTCATGAGCTCCGGTCCATCCTGGCCATCCAATAATGCGAATAGCTGCGGCGCGATCTTGTGATACCAGGTATCGGGGGAGACGGCCTTTGGAGGATATGCGATGAGCTTGGCAGCCATGCTCAAGGCCTCGTGGGTAATGTTAGCCCCTTCCTTTTGCGGCTTGGCCTCTTCCGAGGAGGTGACAGTGCTTGAAGGATGCACAGAGAAGACGAATTCCACGGTAGCCCGCACACCATCGGGCCTCAGAGGGATCTGGGTAAGGACATCCATGAGCTTGGCGCGAAGCTCAGGTGGCACCCGTCCCGGCTGGATCAGGAAGTTGAGGGCCGGAATCAACGAGAGCGTCCCTGAATTTTGCACGAAGTCATGAAATCTCCGGTCAGCGGTCTGCCGAGTGCTGTCATCGGCGTCTGGTCTCGATGCCTGTGTGCCTAGCTCGATGAGCTTCTCGACCAGAGCCTGACGGCCCTGCTTGACCTTTTCGCCTTGATCCATGCTTTGAATGCTGATCTGGCTCAAGGATTCAAATTGAAAGACTGGGATTTACAGACGCTGAAGAGCAGCATTGTCAGTGGCGAAAGCGCTGGCTGTTCTGCAAAATATGCCTGACCCAGTGACAAATTGTCGTCAAGATGTCACTAGGTACCTGACTGTAGTAATAGGTACTGGAGAATGCCCCACGTGGATGCGCGATCGCGCTAGTCTCCCTTTTAGCTTAGCGTATTTTGACGCGCCGATGCAGTTCAGTGGCACTTTAGAGCGCGTTGCTGTGTGCCCCATCGCAGCTTGGATGCTAAACAATCATCAACATCCCACCAATGGTCTTCACAATGCCTTGTAACTGCAATCACTGCCCGTACCTCATTCAACTCACCATCTCACTGTCTGAGACTCGATCATTTGCTGAAGCTCCATCGCGATACGCAAGGTGCGGAGTGCCAAACACCGCCAGAACCGCGTCAGGGACGAAGCTCTTTCGTAACCTCTTGCGACCACCCGCACGACGCCTCCCCCACAGTTCTCCGATTCTCGTTTTCCGCAAGGAATGTCTCTCTGGACCCCTCTGCTGGGCTGGGTTATCACAATACGTCGCATCTCGTACCTGTATCAGGAATCTCGATGATCGCCGCGCTATGGTCTATTGTGCCACGGTTGTCAGCAACTGACAAGCCAGTCCCCAGTGAGGGTACGAGTCTCGGAACTTAACCCTAAATTACTGGTTGGTGTTTTGCGTTTTCTTGTTAGCCCGAGCGGCCCTCTAAATCTGGCATGTTTTTCCTGTGAGGACCTTGCCGCTGAAAAGTGGTTCTTGGGCCGATCGGGGCATCGAGGATGGAACGGCAGCGAGGGTTGCCCAGACGTCCTTCTTGGACGGGTGAGAGTCGGACCCTATGAGTCGCAATGGTAAGAACCTCAGGCCAGAGGTCGCTCGTCAGGTCTCCGCATCTGGGCTAAAACACTGGTCATGATGGGTCGTTCTGGTTGTGTCGTGGAAACATACACATGGATGCGGACGTCCGCTGCAGCTTATCTGGCACGCCTCGGCTGTCAATTTCTCCTGTTGCGATGGGGAGGACACAGCAAGGCCTCACACGGTCGAACTCTAGACATTTCCCTTTTCATTGGCACGCCTCTGACTCGCCTTGCCTGATCCTCTGCGCTGGCCGCGGAGGTGCAAGGGTCTGAAGGTATCAAACAGAAATGTCATGAGATCGACTCGGACCGCCTCACTGTCATGTCCTCGGCACCCTGTCTCTCAACGCTCCTCTCTCCACAAGCTGCGGGCTTTTCGCCTTCCATCTTGATCCCACCACCAGAACTACATCACGGCAACAGCCACCGATGTGTCATGCATTGCATGAGATTCGACCAGGCGCATTAGCTTGAACCCATGGGCCCTGCCCCAGGGGTCATCAAGGCACCTGACACCTTGCTCATCGCCATCCGGTGATGTGCATGCTCCCTCTCGGCTACCAGAAATGGACTGCATGAGAGATGAAAGCGCAGTTTTTGAGGATGTATTTTGTTTGCGCGTGTGTTGCCCTCCTTCGCTGCTCTTGGGGGCCCGCTGGAGAGGAGTCAAAAACAAGTCCTTGTTGGCAGTGCGATCACACGGAAAGAGCTTCTTCTGGCGCGGCTGGCGGTCTTTGTCACAGCATCTTGCGGCGATTTTGGCGTTGCTGTGTCTACGACGACCGAGTGTCTTGGGGGAAGTTTGAGATGCGGGCTCTGGGCGAGTTGCGGGTGTGATGCACCACGGGATTCTTCGACCAGGTTCGTGGAGCGATGTTCGCCGACTGTGGCACGCATGATGAGTTCTTTCGCCTGGTAGCTGGCAGAATCGGGACCCATCTCGAGTTGAAGTCAAAGCTTTGTGCTTGTCCGGTTCTGTTGTATGCCTTGCATTTGGCTCTCACTGCGGCAGCTACATGAAAGCGTCGCGCTCCGGGATCAGGCTTGTACTTGGAAAGGGACCGGGTTCATGAAGAGCAGTCCCGGCCGCTCCCTCTCCAGCAATGGCGAGAGAGTGGCCCCCCTTTTCCCAGAACATAAGTTAGCCCCGGTCTGGCGTTATTCTGATACAGGTGCTGACATTGTCATAGGCCCCCCCCAAGCCCTTCAACAAAGCATTGTGCAAAACTTGGTGGATTCGAGCTAGGCCAACACTCAACGTGAGCACAAAGAAATTATGCTTCTCCGAACAGATGGTTTCCTTCAGGGCAGACGGCACTCCTTACTTCTTCAGCCATGCCCACAAAGGCTCGAACGCCTTGAAACAGGACATGAATTTCATCAGAAAATCCATGAACTCGGCTATTTCCTGTGCTTTTATTCTACAAGGCAGCCATGCTCAAGCAAGACAAAACCGTTCCTCAAGAGGAAGGGCAATTCAGTCATCGGATATGCCTAATCTCCCCGATTTTATGATCCGCTAAGCCTCGAATTTGATTCTCGCCCTTCCGAAGATTAAGCTCGCTGTGCTGAGCTATGGGCCTGCCAAAGTGCCCAGCCTGATACAGGTCGTCCGCACCATGTCTTTTTAGAAGCCAACCATGCTTGCTAAGTGCTCTTCGATCCCAACTGGAAGGCTCAGTACGACGACTCTTACCAACCCTTACGAGACGAGCACCGCATGACAATGTTTGGACATCAGACTATTCCCCTTGAACCTTCGTCAGAAACTGTGCCACAATCTAGGTCATTGGACGCTCCGTCACGGACACCAGACTTTACTAGACCAACACCAGTCAACTATTCCCTACTCCCTGCGGTCTTTCGCCCCGATCCTATTGCCGAGGCGTACAAGAAAGGAAAGTTTCATGACCCTGAGGCCATGCGGTACCTCAACTTTCTAGTTGGGATGGACCGAGATGACTTCAAACCCTACATGGTCGATTTCTTGAATTTTGCTGCCTTCGATGGTCTGAAGCGATACCATGATCCCAGCTTCCAAAGTAGTGTCGACCAGCGCTGTCACGCGATCGGCTCGGGGATGAAGCCCATGAGCTGGGCTGAGGCGGGACGAGGCATCAAGGACGCGCTGCAGAGGGTTCATGAGCTGAGGATCGGCGTGATTGTGGTCATGTTGCGCTGCAAGGCCCATCTCCTACTTCCCGAGGACCCAGTCATGAAACAGGCCTTCTGCATTGTGGCTTCCCTGGGGTACCTCTTGGAATCGGTCAAGAAGCTCCGGCAAAGGTTTGAGGGGATTGGACCAGGTCGTTGGAACGCGCGAAATGATGCTACTGTGCTCGGGGCTATCATGGCTCATCTCGACACCATGAGAGATATGGCCAGGGTTTTGGAGCGGATGAAGGGACTCGCGGATGACTTGGCTCTTGTGGATGATGACCGTCCCAAGAGGATGATATTGTTGAAATGGATAGGCGACGAGATGACTAACTGGCCGAGAATGTCTGCTTAGTCGCATCACGATCAAGTAAGCTTCTGAGCGGTTCCTATCAGCCTAGCTTCTTTCAAATTGCTCATGTCACAAGCTCAGTGATTTTGTTGGTGCGCTAAATCCGGTGCCTTAGAGTATTATCATTGATTCATCTATCCCCTGATTTCCTGCCTCTGCTCTTACCCCTGCTGCTGATACTGCACATGCGCACAGGGCCGCCACTGCTGCTGTCATCGTGTGAGTCAGCGGGCATGTAAGACAGCTCAACCTCGTGTTCGACGCGGATGATATTCTCAGTCGAGGAGTTACGATCCCCCTCCTCATCCCTCCCCACCAAGCTCCTGTTCGTCGGGGGCCCCGTCGTCGCCCGGCTCGCCTTGCCATACTCCAGATCCTGACCGGCTGCGCCCGAAGACACTCCGCCAGCCCCATACGTGGTCTTGGTGCTCACCCAGGATCCGAACAAAAAGGCGTCCATGACGGGCAGGTTGGCGGTTACGAGCCCCATGCACAGGTCAAGGCTGGTCCAGACCAAGATAGATGTGTAATTCCACATAATATCAGACGCATACTCACTGGACGACTGTGTCTGGCGCAGCAGGCCGCCCAGGACGCTGACAGCGCCGGCGATCCAGATGGCGAACAGACGAGCCTTCTTGTACTTGTCCATACGCACTGTCCAGAGGATCACGATCGGGCTGGCGAGCAGGATGACCTGTTGCACCACGTGCACGACGCTCATCGTCCAGGCCCGGGCGAAAACATTGCCGCACACGGGCGGTGTGTCCAGCGCGCCGGTGTAACGTAGGCTGAAGGACGCTCTCGGTTGGTCGGCGCATGAGAAGACGGACCAGAAGATGGCGAGCAGAACATAGATGACCAGCGTGGCCAGGAAGACGTCTGCTGCTAGGGCGTACCACCGCGAGTGCGACCTGTCTATCAGGCGGCGGATGAACAAGGTGATGGAGATCTTGATCAGCCCTACGGAGACGTAGTAGGTGAGTTGGGATACTGTGCCGTAGTACCAGAACATTTCGAATTGATTATATGTGACGTCCCATGTGTGGAGGCCACCTCCTCCGCTGGTGGCCATGACTACTTGGTAGACCGGGTATGTTATTGCTATGCACTAATGTTCCGCCATCTTGTGAGCATGGGTTACTTTTTCTTCTTCTTTTTCTTCGCACATAGATTGATATGTGGACAGGGGTGGAGGTGGATTTACAGATGCAAGCAGGACGGTCCAGTCGTCCCAGCCGAAGTGGAGCATTGGCTTGAAGGCCCTCAGGGCGAGCCTGGTGGCCGTGGACGCGACAATCACTGCTATCACGATAACCATGCCGGCGATTATAGCGGGCTGCTTGGAGTCGTGCGAGAACACGGCCGGAGTGGCGTAGGCGGGGACATAGCCTAGGCTCGCGTTGACGTTGTACAAGCCATAATAGCGGAATATGCCACGGACAATGTAATAGTCGTCTAGATTGTTGGGGGGCTGGCCAAGGAAGCCTGACGTTGCGTCGCTGCTATTAGTTGTTGACATGGCGTTACCACCGGAGCAACATCACCAACAACAGCGATGCGAGTGAGGGTGTTGTGGAGAAAAGGTCTGCCATCGCGAGAGACTGCTCTAAGGCGAAAATAAAAAATACGCGAGTCCCTGAAGGGGACCATCTGGTTTGAAGAATCCATCCATCCCCTTTTAGGAAACGAGGATATGCCTGTTGGATGACTGGGTCTGCCATATATCCGCAGCAAATTCAGAGCACATAGTCAACGGATAACACCTCGCCTCGTGAAGCGCAGTGGAGACATCAGCACCGGGCTCATCTACGCATGACGTGGGCGGGTGGTGAGGGACTCCGCTTGTCAGGCATTAGTTTTGGATTTTGGACGCGGCTGTTCGTCAGGTCACCCACGTCTAACAAATGGGAGGTTTGATGCGAAGCATTGGTAGTCCCGCTATTCGGAGGTGACTGAGTCAAGTCCGCAGCCGAGACTCGAGATAGGCCGGGAGTCTGCAACTTGCGAGGACTGGATCCGACAGGCTTTTGACTTTGCTAATCTCATTCACGGCCCTGCTTGATTTGAAGCAAGACGTGGACCCGGATCGGATGGACCACCGAAAAGTGCAAGTCCCTCTCCAACCTTTGTCTCTGCCGGTTCCGGGTGTCGATGCCAAGGGCGGGCTTCCCGACCCTTTGGCAAGTTGCGACCAGGTAAAGCACACCCCGGGGCATATGGCTGCCAAGGAGCATGAGAAAAGCTTGGGCACTTAAGTACTGACAGAATTCCTGCTCCCAATGAGGCATACCCCCAAAGCCGAGGGCAAGATGGGCTTCGCCAAGTCGACACTGACATTGATAGGACGATCAAGATTTGGCTCCAAAATCTAGGGCTGAAGTTTGACTGTAGGCAGCTGAGGAGGATGACGAGCCTTTCAGTCTTTGTTGTCGGTGGAGCCAAGCAGTCCACCGAGTGGGGACAGACAAATGCCAAAGTGGGTGGGAAAACCGCAGAACGAGCCAAGTTAGGATACCCGGTCACAGAGCTATGCCCATTACTGTGTAGTAAATGTGTGCTTGAGATTTGAGAGAAGAACCTCTGGCGCGTCTAGTCGCGTTGTCAGCTTGTAATTCCAGGAGAATATTGAGAGAACTCCTCATGCCGCACAACACAGTAGGGCAACCTTCAGGGGGATAGCTCTAGTTAGATGACCTCCTGTAGTATTACCTCCTGTAGGTTGGGATAATTTCTTTGGCATATACTCTTGTTAGATAACTTCTTAGCTTACTAGATGATCTATTAGAGTCCCTGCCCCACTAGTCGAATGCCCCCTGTAGTTGAACAGTCAAGGCTGGTGGCTGTGGCTAGGGCGGTTGGTCCCTGTAGGCCCCCGGGTGGGTCCTTACAGAACCCCCTTATTAATAAGGCCCGCTTACCCTACAGCTGCAGCCCTAAGGGCTCCGCTAGAACTCTCTTTCCTTTTTTTCTTTTTTAAGCTAGCCTACTCTTAAAATTCACATAATTTAGTGTAAACTTTAAGCCTACATACTGTAAAGCCCAAATAACGTCTCAATTTTAAGAGTACAAATTCCTTGCAGCTTAGGAGAGCTGTGTAAACATCAATCCATTAACTGCTATAATGGCGATAAGTACCCCAACCCGACTGCTGTTTACAGGCAACCCTCCTACTAATACCCCGCTAATAGCAAAAAAGACTATTTATTTTAGCTTAAATAATTTCCTAATAGCTAAAACCTCTTAAGCAAATACTGACTTAACTGTAATCTGTAAGGAAGTAGAGATTGAAAGAATTAAAACTATAAATAAAGCAATTATAACAACTATTAATAAGAAAGGTAAAGATATACTTTTTAACAAATATAATATTATTACCCTTTATAAGAATTAAATAAAAAAAGCCTTAAAATACTATATCTTAGTAACTTTTATTAATAACTATATTAAGTAGGAGATAAGCCAATTAGGTAATAGCATTTCTATTAATAAGATTCTATTTATAACTCTAATAAATAAACTAATATTTGCTAAGCATTAAGGCCTATTTACCTATATATAATTTAAAAAGTATTATAAAATAAATACTAAAGCTACTTTTTAAAAGCTTTATATTATATACCTGCTTATTAGCGTGCTTTATAAAACAAACAATAAGCTTTACACTATTTATAAATGCATAAACTATAATATTAAATACTTAAAAAAATAGGGAAATGTAATTTATAATATAGTAGAGATTAATTAATAAGCTAGCGTTTATAACAATTATAGCTAGTTCCTAGTTAATAAACTTAGTAAGTAGGTTTATATTTAAAGAACGTTTAAGGTAGTAATGTTCTGAGTAATGTGTGATAATAATAGATTAAAAGCTTTATAGCTATTTTAGGTAAATATTTAGATTAACTGCTAAAGAGCTATTTTAAGTTAATACTATTTACTGGTAATAAGTGTAATTTATATAGTTTATCTTTTTAGCTGGAGTAATATGAGTATTATTTTAAGCGGCTTATTTAAAGTATTGTTTATTTAGAGTGATAGGAGTATTAGATTATTTGAATTATTTGGAGCAAAGCATTACTTTAATTGTTTTAGTTATTCTTTTACTTTATTATATAACCTGCTTTTATTATATAGTAAATCCTTTTAAGCCTACTTTACTAGCTTATAGAGTTTATCTATGCTTTTAAGGGATTAATAGTACTTTCCTAGTTTTATTTTTGTTATGTTTGTAATATTATTCCTTTTCTTTATTACTTTTTTATTCCTAAAGAATTTAAGTAAGTTCTTTTTTTTTCTATTTTTTTTTATATATTTATTATATTTATTCTGCTAATAATTATATTGTTATATATAAAGAAACTATATTTTAAGAAATTAGATTAATATAATTAACTATTTACATTTATTAAATTATTAAGCTTTAAAGTTATACTTTATTTATTTTATTCTGTAAAGGAGTAGTTTTATTAAATAATAAAGAGTGTTTTCTATTATTTTACTTATATTAAATAAGGTAAAAAGTATGATAGCTTTAGAGTGCTAATAAGTGCTTATAAGTTCTAGTTTTTTTTATTTTTTTATTTTCTTTTTTTTTAACTATTCCTTTAGTATTTTAAATTATTACAAAAGAAAAAAAGTTGCATTTTTAAAAGCTTAAAGCTTAAAAAGCCTTATATAAAGCTTATTATTAAGCAAATAAAGCAATAGCCTGTTTAGATTATTTGTATTATTAAAAAAAGTTTTTAGTTTATTATAAAGCTAGTTTAATAAATAAAAGTTTAGCTATTTTAGATATATTTAAAGAGGCTAATTATGTTAAGGCTATTAATTAAGTTATAGCTAAAAAGTTTAAAGCTATTTTTAATATTTAATAAAATAAGGGTTTTAGTATTATAAACTAAGGTTTTATAATAAAGTTTATTAATATAGATTTTTCTAGCTAGTTATTTAGTAATATACTTAAAGTACTTTTTAATAGTTTATTAAGTTTTAAATAGGTTTTTATAAATTATCTTTATTACTATAATTCTCCTATTTAATTAAGTATTCTATTATTCTCTTATATATTTAATAGTTTAAAATATATTTTATTTTATATTTTAGTTTATAGTTATTAAGCTTAATACTAATAGCTAGCATTATATTAGTTAATATAGGTTTTAATATAGAAATATAAAAAACTAAGTAGATTTTTATTTCTTTTAATAATATAAGTTTATAATTTATTTTTAATATTTTTTTTTTAATTTTAAATAATTTAATCTTTTTAAAATTAAGTTTATTATTAGGTTACTTAGTTTTAATTTATTTTTTATAAAATAAGTAGATTATATCTTTCCTTTTAAAGGTTAGTTTTTTTAACTTTTATTAGTTTACCTATTTTACTATATATTTTTAAATAAATTTTAAATTTATTATAATTTTTCTATAAATATTTTTAATTTATTTTATATAGTTAGTAGCTTATAGTGCTTTTATATTAAAAATTAAGTATTAATAAATATTTAGATTGAATTTATAGTTAATATAAAATAGTAAAATATTAATAATATATATATTTATACTATTATATACAAATTATATTAATAATAGTAATAATACTTAATTATTTTATTAATAGTTAATATAATAGTATATATATTATTTTAATATTTAGTTAAATTATTTTATTTACTTATTTATTTATAAATATATTATTATTAAAAGTTTATATTTAGCTTTTAGTTATTTTATTAAAAAGAATTAAAAGTTTAATATAAATAGTTTATTTTAATTAAATATAATTTTATTTAATAGCTTATATTAGCTAATAATTGTTTTAAGGAATATATAAGTAAATTTTTTTACTATACTAGCTTTTTTATAAGGTATAAAGTATATATATTTTATAAATTTATTTATTATAATTAAAATACTATTATAGCTAATTTTTATTATTAGTTTTTTAAATAAGGAAAGCTTAATAATAAAATTTAAGCTAATTAATTTTTATAATTTATTTAGTATTAATAATAATTATAATAGCCTATATAGCTTATATTTTATAAGCTTACTTTTATTATAAAAGTTATATTTATTAATAACTTAAGCTACTTTTTATTTTATATTAAAAAAGTTTTAATATTATTTTAGCTTTAAGTATATAGCTTAAATACTTTAATAGTTATATACTAATACTTTATAAAGTTTTTAAATAACTTTTTTTTAAAAAGTTGCTAAAAGGTAGTATTTTTTTTTATAAAATAAGGTTTTATTTATATTTTATAACTATTTTTTTTTATTACTTAGGATATTTTTATAGCTTTATTTTACTTAATTAAGTTAGTTTATAGTAAATTATATTTAATAGGCTATTATAATTTATTACTTTAGTAAATTGTTTTTTAGTTAGTTTATAGTAAATTACTTTTTTAAATACTTTATATTTAAGCTTTTATTTAGGTTTTTATAAAGTACTATATAGGTTTTAAGTAAAACCTTTTACTAATAGTTTAATTATTTACTAAAAGTATTTACTTTTTTATTTTTAAATTCCTTTTAATATATAATTTTAGTATTAAATTATAAAAGGTATTTTAATTATTAAATTTACTATTTATTAAGTTCTTTAATAATTATAAAGTATATTAAGTTTTTGTAGTTTATAAATATTTATATTTAGTATTTTATTTTAATTAAATAGTATTTTTATTTTTTAAATACTTTAATAATTATTATTAGTTTTTTATTATATATTAAATAATTTAATTTAGGTTTATTAAATTTTTATAAGAAGAATATAATAGGGTAAAATTATTTTTATTTATTATATTATTTTAATTTTCTTTTAATAATAAAGTTTAAGGTATTAGTGCTTATTTTATAAACCTTTTTAGAATTTACTTTTATAAGTATAGGTTTTAAAAGAACTTATTTTTTAATTTTATTAAATACATTTTATTTTTTTTTTTTTATTTAAAAAGTTAATTTTTTTTAATAAGGTTAATTAATAATATAAATAACTTTTTATAGTTTTTAATATATTATTAATAAAAGTTAATATAATTTTAAAAATTTTTAATTTTTTTAATATTAATTAGGATTAGTTAATTTTTAATTACTGTGATTTTAAAAGCCTGTATTTTAATTTTTTTTAATTAAATTATATATTTAAAAAAGTTAACTTTTTATATATAAAAGTAATTTTTTTTTAGTTTTATTAAAAGTTTAGTATTTTAAAAAGTTTAAAGGACTT